GCCACCAGGTGCACATTCGATGAAGGCGACCCTCTTAGCCATGCTTGCAAAATTTGGAGCATCTGAGGCCGACCGCCTCGTGCTGGGCCATCATTCTGACCTCACCGGCAGTTTGGCGGTGTACAGCCGTGATCTGCAGGCAAAACCCTTGCGGGCCCTGGAAGCCTGCCTTGCCGCTGTCAGGGCGAAGACATTTCTGCCAGATGTTAGTCGCTCCGGGTATTTCCCAGTCTCGCGGAGTGTCTCAGGTGGGGAGCCTGTCGTGAGTGACACCTTACCGGGAAGCATCCTGCCTGGTGTGCCTGCAGAAGTTTTCGGCCCGGCTGGCCCTTCGGATGGCGCAGCAAGCTCACGAGTTCGGCTGGAAGCGAGCACTGAAGATGCCGTGGGACCTCTTGATGGTGACGATTTGGATGGCCCCATTCCTTCTTGTGCTGACCCTGAGACAGACCAACCATGCGATGTCCCTGCTCGTTCAGGTCCCCCGCTTCAAGGTGGGATCGACAGCACAGACGAGAGTTCTTCCTCATCCTCGTCGGATTCGAGCAGTGAAGCTGGCGAGGATCCCCAGGCAGATGCCCCGGCCCTTCGACCACCTCCGGCGTGGCGTGAGGGATGCACAGTATGGAGGCATTCGAAGACTGGTACCTTGCACTCTTCTCAGTCTCTCTGACCTCGTCTTCCCCTTCGACCATGTCCGTTGCGCCGCCAGACATCTCAGAGGCATCATCGCCTTGTTCCAGTGCACCAAGCTCCTAGGCTTACTGCAATGGCAAGCACGTTGTTTTTTACTACATTCAAGCGGGTGACGCCTTATTTAGCAGCAGCAATAACAACAACAAGATGCAGCCACACTGTTGACGCCACTCTCTCAGCGGCGTCCTGCGTGGCCCCTGCCCAACCAACCCCTGATCATGCCGCCGCGCCGCTCCCCAGCCGCGCTGCCGCCCAGTGTCCACGCCATGCTCCTCCTGACAAGGACGACGTCAAGGCTCTAGATTTCTTTTTACGCGCGAGGTCTCATTCTGACTCACACATGCCTCCTCGTCACCGCGTTCTGCTGCCCATGGCCCAGGCGCCTTACAAGCGCAATGAGCCTTCCCAACCTGCTATCACTAGTGTTGGGCTGCGCCAGCCTCGTCTGCCACCCTGCGTGGCCAGCACTGCCGTGCATTGCCCAGACTTTCTGTCTCCTGATGAGGAGAGGATGTGAGGGCGTGACTCTTCTTCTTATTCTTCTGCTTGAACTCGCGGGGTGGACCTGTCCATCAGAGTGAGTTAAAACCTTAAAAACAGATTTGGCTTTCGTTTGTCGTTGTTTTACGAAAGCGATTTTCCCCTCTGGTTTTCCATGTGCAGTTTTTGCAACATGTGGGACCCCGGCGAGCAAGCCGCTTTGGCCTACCCGGGACCCAAAATTTCCGGGAAATTTTGGGGCCTGGGCTGTGCCCTTTGAAAGGCTCCATTGCGTGTGCAGTTTTGGCAACATGTGGGACTCACGTTTTAACAAAGAGGGGTGTTTGTTTGAAGTTATGGGGTGAAGTTTGATGGGCATGCGCGTGACCCCGTTCTTGTATCGAGTGGGCTCGGGCGCTAGTGGTGACAAGAGGAAAATTTTTCGAACCCGCCCACCCATCCCTGGGGGATGAAGAATATTGTTTGGGCGACATGATTGTACCTTCATCCGTCAAGTCATGTCGTGTTTGTTTTTTTTGGGTTAAACTCTTTATTGTTTTCTGCACTTACAGCTGCAACGTCCTCCTGCGGCCATTCTGATGATGGCTCCCAAGTAGACCAGTCCCAAGTAGACCAGTCCCAAGTAGACCAGTTCCAGTGTGCCCACCCAGCCATGATTCACAGGCAGCTGGGAAGCCTATATACGCGCTTACAGCTCTCTCAGACATTCGTGACACAAGGTTTAGGGTTTAGGGTTTAGGAAACTCAGTCTTTTGGGTCTGAGACGGCATGTTCCAAGCAACGTCGTACGACACTGGGTCTCTATAGTTGTGGCTTGCGCATTGGTGACGCACGCAGCGGCATGCCATGAAGTATCTCCATGCTGACACTGAGATTGATTGGGTTAGGGTTCTTTGCTGACACTGCATCGCTGCTTGGCAGCGAGTTCAACATCTGCAATCGGAGGTGTGTTTGTGTGCGGCCGCTCGATCACCAGTGTATTCAGAATGACTGTTAATCACTGTGTTCTTGAGTCATCTCGTTGCAATCAGTGTGATCGTGGCAGACACATTAGAACACCCGAGCAGTTGTCCTTGCAGCTTGAGGCTTTAGTAAAGAGGCAGCGCGTTGAGCCTTGAGCAGTAGTGCTGGGCAGTTGTGTGCTCAGGTTTTGTGCTGTTGGCCAGGCGTTGGCAAGTTTTCACGGCGGTTGGTGCGCAGCATACCAAGTTTCTTCGAGACGCATGGGGTTTGCGTGGCGGTAGTGTCGGTGCCTGCCACGAGCCATCGTGCCGTCCGGGCTGGTGTGTGGTGTGCTTTCCTCTATTTGTATACCGTGGGATTGTGGCGGCAGTGTCAGTGCCTGCCAGTGTTTCCCTGCTGCGGGCAGTCCTTACCGTTCACCTGCAGCTCACGAGTGAAGAAAGATCTGCATGCCGTGCACTGATGAGTTGTTCCCGACGCTTTGTGCTTTCAGTCTGCTTGTCGTCTGTGCTTAGTTTTCGGCTGCAACTTGTACGGCACAGGTAGGTCCCATGGCATCGATTTTGGATTCCACTGCCACTGTTGAGACGCGCGCAAAGGAGCATGGCCTCCCGGCCTCAACAGTGGCCATTCTGCTCGCCCGTGGGGTCGATACTCTGAATAAGGCGGCTTTTGCTGTGGGCACGCCGGGCTCGCAGGCTACTGAAGAGGAGCTTCGTGCACTTGTGGCGCCGCCGGCAACGGCTGAAGATGAGGAGGATCGAGCGGAGGTTTCCGCTGGTGTGCTTGCTTCTTTGCGTCGCCTCATCTTTGAGAGCCAGACCATGGCTTTGGCCAACCTCAAGTTGCAGGTTGAAGGTGGTGATGCAGACCGTAAAAAGGACATGCCATTGGAAGAGATTTCGACTCGCCTTAGGGATCAAAAAGCCAGGCTTCGTGGTCTCGAGTTGTCTGGCGCTCTCGAGGTGAGTCATTCTGCGTATCAGCTTGTCTTCCGTATGTTTCAGGAGAACGCCATCTCCTGGCGCAGCTTGGCACTGGATCTCGTGGGCCTCGCCTCCTTTGAGCATGCTGAGAACTGGTCCCGAACGTTGCTGAACCAGCTGCAAATGCACCCGCCCCCAGGCTTTAGGGCTGCTACTCATGAGCAGCTCCTGCGTGCCGACAGGGCTGCCTTTCAGTACATGGCCGAGACTTTGTCCACGCTGCAAGGACTCTGCGGGCCTGTTGCCCATGGACGAGGCCTTTCAGCGTTTGCAGGCGCAGCACCAGGTTATGTTCCACCTCCTGCCTATGCCGGGGTCCTCCGGTGGCGTTTCGCGTCCAGCGCGAGGTACGTCAGCTGAGCCAGTTGCTTCCTCAATCGGGGCTCCTGGCCCTTCCACCAGAAAAGGAAACGTGCTGGTAGTGCACCGCCACGTGCCGCAGGAGGAGGCTCTGCCCCCCCTCCACCGTTGCCTGCAGCCCCCCGTCCGGCTGGTACTCGCAAGGATTCCCAGTCCCAGTCTTACACCAAGGCCCCTGCTGCTCTTCAGGGTATGCATAGCAAAACGCCTGAGGGCCGGCGCATCTGTTGGGCTTATAACTTGGCAAAGGGTTGCCCCAATGGCGAAGATTGTCCCCGTGGTCTCCACTTGTGCATGATGCCCGGGTGCTATCAAAAGCACTCCTTGTGTCAGCACCCGGGCCGGTGAGTGCCGCAGCCCGTTGGGCCTGCCTTGACGACCTTTGCCGCTCGGCTTCGGGCTAGAGTGCGGGGCCGGCCCCTATCTTCACTAGTTTTTGTCGAAATTTTCGCCGGGACAGCTGCGTTGACTGCTGCGGTTCGTAGGATTGGGTTGGGTGATAGTTTCGGGGTTGACTTGCATGTGCGGAGAGCTGTGCTTGGTCCGCTCCTGCGGCTTGATTTATCCGATCCTGCTGGCAGAGATGCCCTCGAGGATATCTTGCGCCTGGATTCCGTTGTTGCAATCCATCTGGCCCCCCCGTACAACACAGCATCCCGCGCCAGGGATCGTCGTCGGCGTGCTGGTCCCGACCCTCCACAATTACGTTCAGACCTTTTTCCAGATGGCTTGCCGTCTTTGCCTGCTGCGTCGCAGTCCCTTGTGGATGCAGCAAACGATTTGTATGCGTATTCGGCTTGGCTGTTCCAATTTTGCTTTCATGCTGGCATTTTGCCATCTGCTGAGAACCCTGGGCGATCCTATCTGTGGCAAACCTCACAGTGGGCTCCTGTTCGTGCATTGCCCGATCTTGTCTGCACCTTCTGGCATCATTGTATGTTTGGCAGCGGTCGTGACAAGTACACGCAGCTGCAACACCTTGGCACTCACCTGCAAGGCTTAGGCAAGTTGTGCTCCAAAGACCATGTTCATGCTCCTTGGGGGCGGGACCCTGCCACTGGGGTTTGGGCGTCCACTTCAAACTCTGCTTACCCTCCTCAGCTTTGCAGGGCTTGGTCTGAGTGTCTTTCCGCTGAGCTCCTGCATCACGGTGCACAGCCCCGCCCTCGCGACCTCCAGGGTCTCGACGTGCACCCTGTGTCTGCTGCTGCCCAGGCGGCGGCCGCTCAGCGCCAACCGCGCTCCAAGCGCCTGCCTCCCCTAGTTCCCGAGTTTAAGCTTGTGGTTACCCTAGTGGGTCCCGCCTCTACCCTTGCCTTGCCCGCCAAGTTGCCCGAGGCGGTTTCGCTGCCGCCCCAGGTCAAATCGTCGCCGTCAGTGGCTCTGCTTCCGAAAGGTTCTCGCCGTCTTGCTCTGACTTTGCCTTTGGGGGATGTCGGTCAGAGCGAACTCGACCGTGCTGGACTTGAAGCTCAGTCGGCCCCTCCGTTCCCTATGTCTGCCAGCCTGTCTGATGATCAAGCCCGGGCCCTGCTGAAGGTCCTGGGCGAGGCTTGCTCCGAGGACCTCTCCTCCCGTCGTCCAGGGGTCCTCAAGGCTTCGGGGAGTGGTACAAAGGGGTCTAGGTATTTTGTCTTTGGGGCATACAGCCATGGTTCAAGGTCGGGCCTCACAGCGTATACTAAAGGTCGAGAGAAAGCTGTTGGTGTCATCAACTCTTTTGCGAAGGCTTTGTTGCCGCATGCCACTTGGACCTCGATTGCCGTGTCGCATAACGAGCTTGCGTTGCCACACAGGGATGTCTCCAATGGTGAAGGTTCCTTGAACCACTCGATGACGCTGGGGAGTTTTACTGCTGGCCGCCTTTTCCTCGCAGGTGGTGGCGGTGACGACCTCCTCAGCGACGCGGCAGGAGTGGAACATCGTGGGTTCTATGTTGACAACCATGCCAGGTTTGCCACCTTTGACGCAAGGTCTGTGCTGCATGCAACTGAGGAGTGGCAAGGTGACAGGACCCGCACTTTGACAAGTCTCATCTTGATACCTTGTGTGGAATGGGCTTGCAGCCCCCTTCCCATTGGAGCAATCCAGTAGGGGCCGAACCTGTGTCTGCTGCCTCTGCCGTGTATGGCTTACCGTGGTCCCCTAAGGAGTTCGTTGAAGAGGCTGCTGCCAGGGAGCACCCGCTGCAGGCTTGTGTCGTCCCCTTGTGCGTCAAGGAAGCCATTGACAAGGAGGCGAGGTGCTCGGCCCATAGTTTGGCTCAGGACAGGACAGCGGTACTTCGCAAGTGGACGCTGCGCGCCCAGGAGCTCTTGGATAGTGAAAGGCGGCTGCATGAGAGCATGCCGGCGCACGTCTCGGTTGTTCTTCAAGGCAAGCGGTTGCTTCTCCTCAAAGAGATGCTACAAGACGCCGGCTACTGTGACGTTGGCATTGTTGACCAGATTGCCAGCGGCTTCGATCTCATGGGGCACATTCCAGAGGCAGGCGTGTTCAGGTCCAAAACCGTTCCTGCCACCCTCACACCCGACGAGGTCCGCCGAACTGCAAAGCACACTAGGCAGGGCATTCTCCTAGGGGCAGCCGACGGCCTGCGCGATGAGCATGCCTCGCGCCTATATGAGATAACTCTCGAGGAAAGGGACAAGGGTTGGTTGCAGGGCCCAGTGGACCCATCTACACTTGACGATCGCGCCTCGGTGTCCAGGAGATTTGCCGTTTTCCAGTCGGGGAAGGTCAGGCCGATTGACGACCTGAGTGAGTCGCTTATCAACTCGACTACGTCTCGAACAGAGGCAGTGACACCACATGGGCTTGACACCATCTGCAGGTCACTTACTTGGAGGTTCCAACACCGGGCGACGGTCCCTGTGCCCAATAACCCCGTGCTTAAGTCCAAAGACCTGAGGAAGGCCTTCAAGCAGCTGGCCTTGTCCTCTGAAGGAGTTCTTGATGGGTACTTGTGTGTTGGCAATCCCGCCACAGGTAAGGTTGAGGTGTTTAGTTCTTCAGTCCTCCCTTTTGGAGGGTCTGCATCTGTCACAGGCTTTTGCCGGACCTCGCATGCGTTATGGTACGCAGGCACGGTCCTGCTGTGGCTACACTGGTCCGTGTACTTCGATGATTATCTGGTCACTTGTGAGGCAAGCGTGTCTAAGCACTGTGACCTCGTGCTGTCATCGTTTTTCGCTTTGCTTGGCTGGGGCATTTCCGAGGAAAAGGAGGCAGAGTTTGCGACTGCTGCAAAGGTCCTTGGGGTTGTAATAGATGTGGGGTCATGCATGTTAGTTAGGGTCAGCAACACCGATGAGCGCAAAGCTGAGCTCACTAACACCATAACAGCGCTTCTTGACAAGGGTACTTTCAGCATCAAGGACCTGACCGCTCTCAGGGGGCGGCTTGTTTTCGCTGAAGGCCAGATCTTCGGAAGGGGTTGTTACAAGCACCTGAAGGTTGTTGGGTCGCGCATTAAGTCCGACCGTCCCGGAAGGATCGATCCGCAGATGGCTGATTCACTGCGATTCATCAGGGACCGTGTGGTTAATGGCCCGTCAAGAACCGTGCGCGCTGTGCTCGATGACACAGTTTTCTTGTACACCGACGCATGCTTTGAGCCGGGTGGTTACTCGGGTTTAGGGGGGGTGCTAGTTGACTCAACGGCTTGTGTCAAGGCATGTTATGGGGTTGAGTGCACAGGTGATGTGCTGCGCTTGTTGGGAGTCGACACGGCCCAAAATCCCATCTATGTCCTTGAGGCATTGGCCTTGATTGCTGCCTTGCAGCTTTTCAGGAACGATATTCAGGGCAGAGAAGTGTTGGCTTTCCTTGACAACGATGGTGCACTTGGGTCCTTCATTTCCTGTAAGAGCTCGTGCGATTGCCTCGAACCTTTGCTTGATGCGCTTGTGTCATGTGAAGAGGCATGCGTATCCTCTCTCTGGTTCGAGCGTGTGAGTTCGGAAGCCAACATTTCAGATGCCCCCTCCAGGGGAGACTTCACAGAGCTTGAAGGCGTTCACAGGGTCCATTGTGATCTGCTATCCCTCGTCCAGGACTTGCTCAAATCGGCCCGATGACGTTGCGGTGGGAAGTCTGTCACTCGGGCACTCATTGCAGTCGTGTGCGATGGTGTGACCTTTGATGCAGTTGTGTGCATCAGTCCTGTTCTGTGTTCTCACTGCAACCGTCCCGGTTTGGGCAGACGTCCCATCGCCTAGCAGTAAAACAAAGCAGTGCGCGGAATTTGTGAGGGAATCTGTTTTGATTACTCCTTTGTTTTATAGATTCTGATGTCTCGTATACATTCGATGCTCACAAGGCAGTTTTGTTTTTGATACCTACAAGCTACCTCTCTGCTTGCAGATAGGGTTTTGTAGGTCTCAAAAGCAAAAAGTGTGTTTATGAGTTTTGCATAAACAACACGTCTGCATTGTTGGCATTTTCGGGAGCTGATTTTCTTGCTTGTCTCTGTTTGTCACATTGCCAGAGTCTGGTTGTATTTGTGAGTTTCAGACAAAGCATGTGATGCGTCGCTCGCTCCACCTCAAGTCAAGGAAGCTGGCCATTGTTTTTGGCCATCAAGATTTCTTTGTTCCCACCCACCCACCCAAAGAGGTTTGTCTCGGGGGGAAGTCTGTCACTCGGGCACTCATTGCAGTCGTGTGCGATGGTGTGACCTTTGATGCAGTTGTGTGCATCAGTCCTGTTCTGTGTTCTCACTGCAACCGTCCCGGTTTGGGCAGACGTCCCATCGCCTAGCAGTAAAACAAAGCAGTGCGCGGAATTTGTGAGGGAATCTGTTTTGATTACTCCTTTGTTTTATAGATTCTGATGTCTCGTATACATTCGATGCTCACAAGGCAGTTTTGTTTTTGATACCTACAAGCCTAAATGCTTGGAAGAACTGCTTAGTGTGAGTTTCTCTAAGGAAAGTAAGCTTCAAAATAATGTGGTTAGTCAGCAAATGATTTGTAGTCGATTGTAGATCAACTCTGTAGCGTGGAGAAGGCAATACAGATTGTCCTGTATGACTTTGTAAGTAACAAAAGGAAGAACTCCAGGCACTATGCAAGTGCGGTTGTGGGTGTCGGCTTGTGTGGTAAACGAACCCAATCTATCCCAACGGGCCTGCCGATCTGTCTTGGAGAGCGTGGCTTGTAGTTCAGTTCCTTCATGCTGTGCGTTTCTTGCAAGCAAAGGCTCAACCTGCAATGATGGCATTTCTCAAACCATGTATGGAGCGTATCAGTTTGCAGTTGGGCAAAGGGGGCCTCAGTAGCCAAAGGAGGAGCCGGGCCCATTGAAGAAGACAGACTTGGAAACAAACAAGGCCTCTCCACTGTTCTGGTACTCCAAGCGTGGCTGCTTAGATTTACGAGTTGCCAAGAGGACTTTCATCTTAGCTGGGTTCTGTCTTAAATCTCTAACCAAAGCTGGGTCCATGTCACCCCATTCAATTGGTTCTTCATTGGTCATAGCTTTTGAAGGAAATCTCAATCCTGTAAGTCCTGAAAAATCCGAAAGGGGAGGGCGGGTGGTTCTAGTAGCCAACAACGGCTCATACACTGCCATTGGGCTGACTGTCTTCTCACCGTCCGAGAAACTAGCGTAAGTACCATCACTCATGGTGCGAATGTGCAAGTTGTGGTACTTCATGGGGTTCTACAGCTACCGGGTCTTCCGTTTTTGCTAGTGGGGAGGAGGACTGTGCTGCCAAGGTCGGCTCTGACATTGCTATCGTGTGGGTTAGGCGAAAGAGAACAAATACAAAAACGATGACCTAGATCACGGCGCTAGATGGGCAATGTGCGAAATGCGACCCTCCATGCAAGGTGACCAAGGAATGCTTCTTCTTGATAATTCTTTATTCCCAAAAGGCGATGCAACAGATGTGAGAGCACATCGTCCCAGAACAAAACTGTTTTACGTGTCAATCATTGGTGCTTTGGGGTTTGTGGAGGGAGGGGTCCGAAAGTGATTCCTGAAGTCCCTCGAGCTTTTGGGCCATGAACGACAGTGGGTTTGCATGGTGGAGGGAGGGGGGTCCGAAAGTGATTCCTGAAGTCCCCCGTGCAAAAAGTCCCTGTGTGTGAGCTCCAGTGTTTGCATGAAGTATTACACTATATTTTCATTTGTGGGAAGGGGCACGAGTGTTTGTTTGGGATGCACTGAATCATGTGTTGTGTGAACGCATGCACCATGTCAGTGCTCAAAGGCCACAGAAAGCTGTGGCATCAGAAATTTTGTCCGGGCTCTCTACAGGCTTGTAATTGCTTCGCTAGAGGTCCCAGGCTCGGTAACCTCTGGGGTTGCCCTTAGGGCTTCGTGCAAGTCAGCCCCGTGGGGGCTGGCGGATGGTACACGGCCTCGAGCAGCGAGCTCGTTCCAAGGGCCGTGCAGCCTTAGAGAGGCCTGTGAGTCTGTGCCAGGCGCCTGCAAGCAGTGGGATTCATCCATTGACGTGCTGTGTTTCCCACTTCACGTGCTTGTTTTTGGGTGCAGTTTTGGTTGTCGTGTGGGCAACGTGGACTAGGGCTGCTGTTCCTTGAATGCAACTGAACCTTCAGAGTCTGGAAGAGCCGCATTTTGTCAGTCCCTATCACGAGCTTCGGACAGAAGTGAATCAGCTTATTTTGGGTGTGGACGCTTTGCTGCTTCGCATCCAGAATCTTGAACGCCGGAGTGTTGATTTGCTTTCCATTGCAACAGATCATTCCCAGCAGCTTCGTGCGTCTCAGCAAGAAGACCTGCAGGTGCGTGAAAGTGTTCGGGACCTTGCGGATCGTGTGCTCGCGTTGGAAGAGCGAGTAGAGTCGCTGCGCCTTGACACTGATTCCGCTCTTCGTAGGGCTGGAGATAACGGGATCCAGGTGGCGTGGTGGCTGGATCAACATAATCAGCTGCGTTCTTGGGTCGTCATTAGTGTCCTTTCCCTCTTCGTCCTGCTCCTGCAGGTGGCTTTCGATGGCTTCAGGGTCATCGTGTGTGTGTGACAAAGGGGGGGGGGATAAGTCCGATGACCTAGGGGATTTGTTCTTCAGGGCTGCCTTGTGGAATGCCGGTGCAAGACCCAAGCGCCCACTATTGCCGTGGGAATGTGAAGGGTCTATTCTTGCTGACACACTAGGACAACCGAGTCCGTCCAAAGCTATGAGGGTCGAGTGGCCGTCACAAAGCTTGCTGGACCAGGACGATCTCGCTAGTGTGGTGTCTACTGCCGTTTCGGCAAGTGACGCAGACTTGGCAGGGGCCGGATGCTTGAAACTTGTTGTGTCCAAAAAGTGGCTAAAGAAATCGGGGCAATGCAGGGCATGGCAAGATGAGCGAGATGCGGCTCGCAATGCTGCGCTACAGTCTTGGAAAGCTTTGATTATGGTTTCGGGCACAGGAACCAAGTTGGGGGCTATCATCCTTGATGCAGCTGAAGAAGACGAAGAGCTTGTTCTTGAGTCGGTCCGGGATGCTTTTTCAGGCAAGGCCACGTCTACGTTACGCAATAGGGCAAACTCGTTGTTGTGTTACGGACGATGGAAGGCCTCGCTTGCAGCTGAGCAAGTCGTTGCAGTGTTTCCGATCACCGAGCAAGAAGCTTACAGGTACATTTGCTACATGCGGCGTGAAGGGGCACCGGTCTCAAGGGTGTCAAGGTTCGTGCAAGCCCTTGGGTTCGCCTGTGGTACCTTGGGAGCCAAGGTGTCTGATGTGCTTGAGTCTCCAAGGGTTAAGGGAGCGTGCAGCAACACACAGCCCAGACAGGTGCATAAGAAGGTGCCACTTACCGTCGCTGAGGTGGTCTTTCTTGAGACCTTGGCCGCATCAAGCGCATGTGTGGATGCCATCATCGCAGGTTTTGTGTGTTTCGCTCTTCACTGTCGCTTGAGATGGTCTGACGCAATGCACTCAGAGGAGGAGCCAGTCCTGGATGCGCCTGAGGGAAGGGGGTTTGTTGAGACGAGCCTTTACAGCTATAAAACCGTAGCTGCCATGAAGTTTCGGTTGTTGCCGGTTGTAGCCGTGCTACCGGGAATGTCCAAGCTTGATTGGGCGGGCAACTGGTTGCGCAACCGGAGAGACCATAATCTGGTGGCGAGCCGGAATTGCCCGTTGCAGCCTGCGCCCGTGTCCACAGGGGGGTGGTCGGCATTGCCATTCGAGCCCATGCATGGGGCTATGTGGTTGCGTGAGAAGCTGGCAGGTATGCACGTTCCGGTGAGCCGACTTAGCGATATTGCAACTCACTCCCTGAAGGCAACGGTGTTGTCGTGGCTGTCACGTGCTGCGTGCCCGCAAGACTTGCAACGCAGGGCAGCGTACCACATGTCAACCTTTGAGAAGAGTGCGTTGGAGTATGAGCGGGATGGACAATCAGCTGTACTGCATTTCATTGAGGGCGTGTACGAGTGCATCATTCATGCCATGTTTTCCCCTGACGCATGTCGATCTGGTCGTTGGTCGGGATGCAGGTCGGTTGAAGAGGGCATGAAAATTTTGGCAGGCGCCGTTGATGAGGTGTTCCCACGAGCGACTGAGGGTGATGGGGATGCCAGTGATTTGGAAGATGAGTCGGAGCCCGATGCACAAGGTGCAGAAGCTGATTCCGAGGATGAGCAGATGATGGCGGAAGTAGCTGTGCATCAGGTCGCAAAGGCCGCGCCTATGGCCATGCCGGAGTGCATAGCCTTTAGGCACTGGATGAGTGGAGTTGTGCACTTGAGCCCTGTTGTGACTTCAGATGACGATGGGGAGGCATGCGTGTTCAAGTGTGGAAGGACGGCCAATTCTAACTACGAGCAGCTCAAGTTTGTGCCTTCGTGCAACACCAGACAGTGTTCCGTGTGCTGGATGTGAAAGAATGTGCGTGTAGGCCGTGTAGGGATCTGTGATGTGCGAGCAGGATTCTGTGATGTATGTAGTAGCATTTCGTTGTGTGCATGTACGCAGAATCGATGTTAGGGCGTAGGAGAAGTGTCTCGCGACATGATGCGCGCGCGCGCGCGCGCGCATCATAAATTTTTCATGCCGGCGGGAGCGGGGGAGAACTGCGTGTTGCTTTCTTGCTAAACGAAACACAGGAGGCATGCCCTGTTTGTGCAGCTTGGGAAGGCCCGAGTGCTCGTGAGGCAAAGGCCCGCGACTGAAAGCTAGCATGTCCATGGTCGACAGTGAGCCTGTGTTTGCTGCGAGGTGCACGCGCATTGGCATCCCGGGAGCCGTTGTGAAGAAGCTTGCTACCCATGGGTGGAACACTTATGCTACCTTTGGCTTCTGCATCCAGAATCATGCTGATGACAAGTCGTTCGAGTCACAGGTCATAGGACCCGTCTTGGGTACCGACCCAGCTATGGTCACCCACGCTGCGAAGTTGCGTAGGTTGTTCATGGAGTCCTACACTGTGTCTGCGGGAGAAATCAAGAGACAGGCTGAGGCGTCGGAACAGGATGCACCGCGGAAGTTGCCACCACAAGAGATGGCAGCCCGAATCGAGCTGTTGGCAGCGAAGATTGCTCCCTTGAAGATTCAGGATCGCCTTGAGCCATCCCAGAACTTGGTTAGTTTGGCGTGCCAGATGTTGGATGAGGGTCGTGTCAAGTACATCTCTTGGGCGCAGTGCACCACAAGGTCGCAGGAGATCAACGCTGTCAAGGAGATCAATAGCCTTAAGATTTGGCAGCCAGCCAAGGATGGTGTCATCAAGGAGACGCGTGTGGAGCCAGGCATGACAGCGGCAGTGGCTACGGAGCTTGAGGTTCACCAGGCTCTGCGTCGCAGAGGCATTGCTTATGCTGTGGCACAGGTGATGTCCTTTGCCCGTCATGAAGAACTGATAGCCCTCTTGTTTGATGAGTTGCAACGCGAGGCAAAGGCTGGTTTCCACCCCGTGTCGCTGGCTCAGCTTGCGCAAGCGGACAGAGAGATTCACGTTCGGCTGGGCGAGGCAACCAGGGCAGGTCTGGTGAACGGACCTGGCGGTGAGCTCCCACTTGATGTTCCGTTGACCCGTGTCTTGCAGAGCCCGGCGGTCATGTGGTTGCTCATGCCTCGTCTCAAGCAGGGGTCAGCGCCAGCAACCGAAGATCCGGAGGCGGCTGAAACGCCCAAGAAGAAGAAGACTCGGAAGAACAAGAAGAAAGACCCGAAAAAGGAGGCGGATGTTGAGACACCGCCTGCCAAGAAGCGTCGGGTTCCCATGCCGAAGGCGCTGATTGGCGGCACACCCGAGGATCCTGAGGGAAACTCGCTGTGTTTCGGGTTCTCGTTGAAGACCTGTAAGGTGCATGGACCGAAGTGCGACAAAGGTCTGCACAAGTGTTGCTTCTGCTATGGGCATCATCCTGGTGTCGAGTGCAGAAGCAAGAAGACGTTACGTGAGGGCCATGCCGTGTCCGTGCTTGACGATGGGGGGGCCGAAGGGCCAAGCCTTGACGCTCATGTGAAGCCTCCGGAGGGAGGTGATCCGTGGGCGTCCGTGCATCGTCAGGTCAAGGGGCCTAAGTTTGTGCAAAGGCGTTTGCAGCGTGTGCTTGCGGCTACGGGTCCAGTTTTGGTGCGCCATGAAGCGGTTCATAAGCCGTGCAGCCTTCATGGTGTGGGACACTCGCCTACTGATTGTGATGCAGCTCAGCATCCTGCTGAGAGACTTGCGGCCACGATCAGCAATCCTGACAACAATGATATCCTCAGGCTGTTGAAGCTGTTACCGTCAGAGAAGCCAGCCCGAGGTGTTGAGCAGCCGAATTCACATTCTTTCAGCACAGGTGCTTTTTCTAAAGATGGACGGGTCGGGGTGCGTAATTTTCTTAAGGAGTTTCCTGTCACATCGCGTCTCTTGACGGCTTTCGTGCGCCGACATGCCCCGGGGCATTGCTTTGGGGCCGTAGCGCTCTTTACCAATCTTGAGGCAGATTTTCACAAAGATGTCAACAATGATGCATCATGTCACAATTGGATATGCCCTCTCTCGCATTGGGAGGCTGGCGGCGAGGTCTGGGTCGAGGACGAACAAGGCTCTTCCTGGCAAAATGCCCGTGGTGTGTGGCGACGAGGCCGCCTTTTGCCCGTGCGACAGCGCCCTGTTCTCTTGGCGTCGCATGACTTGCACAAGGTTTTGCCATGGAAGGGGCACCGGGTCGTGCTGGTGGCGTTCATGCCTCGCGGTTTGTCTGGACTTGAGCCGGAACATGCCTTTTGGGCCATGCCCCAGGGGTTTGTCGGGGGGGTTTGAGGGGAGGTGGGTGGGTGCCTTCATGCTTCTGAGTCGCATCAGCCATCAGGCGATCGGAAAATCACTTGATTGTCTTTGGATCGTTGTGGCAAATTTATCATTTCCCTTTTGTTGACTTCGTTGCTCGTGCTTGAACAATTGGTCTCTGCTTTGAGGCTCGTGTCTGCCCGGATAAAAAAAAAAAAAATTTTGAGTGTAGGGGCAGTAGAGACCTTCGGCGCATGGAACAGATGACAAAGCTGCAGGGGTGCGTTGGCACCGCCGATGGTCCAGAAGGGCGGATCATGCCCCTGCGACTGATTCCCATTTTTGCTGGATTCAGCTAGTTCACGCTGCATTATGAGTGGTGAACATTCTGGCGAGTGGGACAGTTTGTCACAGGTTTCGCATTCACTATGTGTGGCGCTGAAGGCACATTTTACTAGCCCTGAACAGGTTGCATTGGCAGGCCACTGCGAGACAGCTGCTTTTGCATTGGTGGAGGATGCCCTTGCAGGGCAGGTGCAACCTTTTGAGCGGCAGATGATTGCTCAGGATTTTCTTGAATGGTGCAATAGGAACACCACTCGTGTTAAGCCCAGGGCAAGACAATTGGCCTCGGCTGTGAGAGCAGGGCCACTGAAACTGCCCCGAGTGGAAGCATCACTGGGGGAGCGCTACGAAGCCATGGTAGCACGCGAACCAAGGGTGAGTGTGCAAAACTTGATTCGTCAGCTGAAAGCAAAGCGCGCGTCCTTGCCGGGCAACCGGGGTGAAGTGGAGGAAGCTGAACGTACTCGCTGGGCAATGGAGCTGGCGGACATAATTCGCCAGGCAGGCTTCCCTGCTGCTGCTCGGTACGACGAGGCTGGGCATCCACCGCATTTCTGGAAGCGTGCATTTGGGTCACGACGCTCAAAGACACTGCGCAACAGGGTGACGACTTACAGGAAATTGGGCGAATGGCTTTCGGCAACTTTTGACTTATCTTGGCCGGCAAATTCCGAGATGGTCTTGAGGTATCTGGAGGAGCGACATGAGGTCATGCCCTTGGGAAAGACAGTGCCCAGGTCTGTCTGCACTACGATTGCACTGTTGGAGACCGTGGGCCAGGTGCCGATGGAACAGCGGATTAGCGAAGACGTGTTGCTTACGGAGGGCATTCGGCACTGGACGATGACGCTCGAGGAAGACGCTCCCCCAACAAAGCAAGCGCAGATGTTCAGCATTGCAGTCTTGTTGGCGTGTGAGCTCATGGTCTGCATGGATGATGAGGCCATTGGTTTACGTTTCTACGCATTCATCTTGCTTTTGACTGTATGGGCGACACTGCGATTGGATGATCTTCAGCACGTGGACCCTAAGGAGTTGACCCTCTCGCAGCTGGGGCTGAAGTTCCCACTGAACCGCACGAAGACATCGGGAGCTGGGAAGCCAGTGGGGCGGCTGCAGGCGTTTGTTAGCAGGGCAACATCACTCACTGGTTTTGATTGGATCCGTGTCGGCTGTGGATTGTTGCGAGATACTGAGCTAGATTTTCAGAGGGACTTCCTTTGTGTGAATTTCGAGCATGGCTGGGCAACAGCACAGCGGGAGTATGTGGGGGCCGATGGTGTGGCTGTGAACATTCGATATCTCTTGAGACATCTCAGAGCTCCGGTGCGCGGGAACAATGGCATGTGGCAGGCTTCCAGACCAGGGTCGCTGGTGCCCGAAGAGCTGTTAACATTCTGGACCGGACACTCGGGGCGTCACACGTTACCATCATTGGCAGCAGCATGCGGCATCAGCAAATCTCAGCGTGACTTCTTGGGGCGCTGGGCGGCAGCACAACACGGAAGTAACGATTACATCTTGACGAGCCGACAAGTCGTGCATGGAATACAATCATCGGTGTGTCGTACACTGCTTGAGGGAACTGGTCCGCCAGGCTATGTGGAGGAGGAGTTGCACACGCTGATGCAGGAGCATGTGCATGCTGCACATGGGCAACGTCAGGTGGTGCGAGCACGTCATGCAGTTATGGAGTGGGATGAGAGTCTCGAGACCTGGAAGCTCGGAGGCGAATATCCTATGCTGCGTGTTCGACCTGAGGTACTTCCAGCCGTGCGGGGAGGCCCGCCAGATGAGCGAGCTGTCCGGGATGCACCGGTTGTGGAAGAGACTGCACCATACTACGTGACTATCTCACGCAGCGGCTTTCGCAGACTGCACTTGAGCCAGGCATGTGCTGTCAGGCGGGAACGATGCCTTGAGACAAAGCCGCTCTACAAGGTTACGGATGATTGTGCCGATGCGGTCTGCAAGCTGTGCCAACGACACTTGGATGCTGAGAATGCAGAGGAAGTCTCAAGTAGCTCAGGGTCTGAAGTGTTCGCATGTGAGCCAAGCAATGAGGCAGAACCCGCTCCCCTTGAAGCAGGGGCTGGGATTGGTGGCGATTGAGCTGAGAGAGAGAGAAGGGCCTGAGTACTTGCCTTGCATGCACGTGAGGGTGTGTCTTTGCCACATGTGTGAGTTGAACGTGCATGTTATGACGCGCCTGAAGGCCGTTCAAATAAATCACTGCGCCTGATGGCCGATTGCATCCAAGGGTTTTGGATCGAGATGTTTGAATGGTCTGAAGACCAGACAATCCTTGAGGGATCATGGCGGCTCCGGGGCCACTGGACCTCCCAGCGGGCACTACGGAAGTAGCTGCAAAAACACATTTGACCAATGTTGTGGAGCCTGAACTTGCACTGATTTTGCAGGACAGCGGAGTCGCCCTGGGTTTGCAGTTCCGCCTGACGCAGGCATTCCGCACCGTCAAACGCTTTGCTGCATATGCTGATGACCGGGCTGGCGTACGTACTGCTTTGCGAGACGATCTAGCGCTGGAGGCAAATAGCTTAGCCACGCGCGCAGCTGTAGCATCTGTGGTTGGTGCATGGGAGGCATGCAAGGACTACACGCAGAAGGAGACGGAGCTTAAAGCAGAGGCGAAGGTGATGGGCATCGTTCGCCCGGTCACGCAATCCGAGAAGGCTGCGATGCGTGCAGCTTTCGAGGCCACCCATGGGAGGCTGGAGGAGCTCTATGAGCCGTCAGACGATTACCTTTCCACAAAGCTTGAGGAGTTCAGTTCGCACGAGCCCGTGGCTTCCCTGCTCAGTGAGGTGACAAATCGAAAGGCTGTCAAGACAGTGGGGCTGCAAACGTCGCTGGACAAGGGGGGACAGGTTCGCGTTTTGAAGACCCGCCAAAAGGGGCAGCTGCCGCAGACAACTGAGGAGTTTCGTGCCCAGCTGAAAGTGGAGGGGAACACGTGGATCCTTCTCAGCGCCAAGTTCCGCAACCGGACATTCTTCCGCGATCTGACCCCGGCTTCATGGGACAAGTACACTTCCTACATGCTCGGGGAGAAGGTCTACCTGATGTCCATTCCAACTTCCAGCGGCAAGGGGAGGAGCGGTCAGGTTCCCCTCAGACCGCCTTGGGCAATCTTGCTTTCGTATGAATATGAACTTCGCAAAGAGGCAATCAAGCGGGCATACCGCGACAACCGCTCCTTGGATGAGACGCTGACTGAAGTCGTTGCATGTGCCCAGTTGAAAGAACAGTTCTTTACGTCACCAATTGCCCTCCAGAACTCCGTTGAGCAGGCGCCCGCGGCCGAGTGGGTCACTAAACGTCCTCTTCCTGCTGATGCGACCTGGGACAACTGGCGATGGCAGAAGAAAGGGAAGCCGAAAGGAGCCGGCAAGTGGAGCAGTGGCAAAGGTGACAAGGGCGCCAAAGGCGACCGAGGCGACGGCAAAGCCAAAGGCAAGGGAAAGCTCGCGGCAAACGCCCCGGATGGGCGGCAGATCTGCTTCGACTACTCCACAGTTGGTTGCGATGGATCATGTGGGAGGCTTCACATCTGCAGGGTGCGAGGCTGCGGTAAACCACACCCCACATGGCAACATTGGCAAGAGATGCACGCGTCAAAGCAGGGCACGAATGCCGCTAACTGACAGACGCTGAGAGTTCTTTACCTATTTGCCGGGAAGCCGAGGCCTGGCGATGTTCATGATCATTTGCAAATTTGGTGCACCCAACATGATGTCGACCTGCAGATGCGTGAGGTTGACATTCTACGGAACATTCACGATGACCTATCGGACCACTCGTTGTGGGATACACTGTTTCGCCAGGTGGGTGATCAGCATTGGGATGTCCTCATCGTTTCCCCACCATGCAATACCTTTTCGCGTGCCCGCCATAGACATGCACAGACCGGCGGTGGCCCCACTCCCATACGTGATGCCACCTACCCTTATGGCTTTCCATGGTTGAATGCTGCGTTGCGCACTCTTGTGGACTTGCATAATTCTTTTGTTCTCAATTCGGTACGTCTGATGCGGATGCAAACTAAGTCAGGGGGGTTTTGGTTTCTGGAGCATCCAGAGGACTTGGGGGTCTTGCTTGACGGCACTTGTCCTGCATCGATCTGGCAATGGCAGGAGCTGCGCGATCTGGTCACCGAGTGCCAGGCGGCCACTTGGCCCATTCTGCAGTGCCTTTTTGACGCCGACACACCAAAACCCACGCGCTTCGCATCCACGCTGCCTTGCTTTCGTGACATCGGCCAGCTGTGGCCGCACTTTACCTCTGATGGGCGATACGCCGGCCCACTCATGCCATGTCCGCATGCATACCATGCACGCCTAGTGGGTTTCAGAGACGGGGACTGGGTCACGAAGTCTCGGGCTGGATACAACGAGACACTGTGCAAGTTCATTGCTAAATCTTGTCTTGGCGCACTTGAGCACAGCCGCGCCACTGGGGATGATTTCGCACCGACACCGCTGCCGTGCCCAGTTGAATCCTTTGCTGCCACCACGCTCGCCTTGCGTGCCCCGACGAAAAAGGATGTGCTGTCTCTGGCCCGCCTGTTCCCCAGAGAGGACTTGCATCCAACCGCTGGCGCGCCTGATGGCCTTGCCTTCTTTGCGGGTGCATACTGCCGGGGTGGCGTTGTGGGCCTTCGCCGCCATACCCGGCAATACCCCATTGCATGCAAGCTGGTCTGCCTCTTCTTGCACAGTTTGGCACTCTTGCCCACATTTACCTCTTTTGCCATCTTCTGGAATGCTGAGACGCAGCCGCATAGAGACGCCCGAAATTCTACACCCTTTAATTTGGTGGTTGCTCTCACAAACTTCTCCGGAGGTGCCATTTGGTATGAGCACGCCTCGGGCACAGTGCGCCGCTTCGTTGAAGGTTCCTGGCGTCTTGGTTGTCACATCCATTTGCAAGATGGCCCCGGGCTGCTGCCGGCCCGGGATTGCATCCATTTCACAGAGCCCTGGCAAGGGGAACGTGTTGTGCTCGTGGCATACTCCGTGTCACTCCCCCATCCCTTGCCCGCCCCAGACCTTCTCTGCTTGCAGGAATGCCAGTTTCCACTGGTCCCTCCGTTGCCTGCCTCAAGCCCTGCGGGTAGGGGGGAATGTCTTGACGCAGGCCGTGCTCAGGTTGGACTTAACACCCCTCTGGGAGGGACCACCCCAGAGGCCCCGATAGGACTTGGGGGTTTGGGCACCCCTCTGGAAGGGACCATTCCAGAGGCCCCGGCTTTGAGCTGTAGTGTCGGCCCCGCTCCTGTTGAGGTTAGCACCCCTCCGGAAGGGCCCACTCCGGAGGCACCGATAGAGCCTAAGCCACCCGCGGTAGTGAGTGCCGTTCTTGTTGACTCTTCGGACGAAGAGATGCAAAAGGTTCCCATGACGGCCCCGTCCGGGGTGGAGTTCGACCCAAGCACCAGCCGAGCTTTCGGCTCACCCATTCTTTGCAGACACAGCCCTGACCATCGCGAGTTCGTGGACGGCTTTGGATTGTGTTCTCCGGGAAGATGGAAACCCGAAGCACGGGATCAACTTGCATCACCCATAGAAAAGGAGCATGCGAGGCTTGTGGGCGAAATCCTCGAGGACTGCTTGCGCAAACAGAAGTGGGATCTACGCGAGATGGCGTTCAAGCTCGCTGCAGGCAAAATCGCGACATCACCTTTCGATGAAGGTTCAAAATTGCAAAGGTGCTGGGCGATCCGGACTTGGCGAGGCAGGTGCCCGAGCGGCAGCCCTTCTTGCTTCCCCTTTTGAGCCGATCACTGCAAATGTTGGGGGACCCAGACTTTGAAATTTTGTGCATGGGCCCGGAATGCTTTGCCGAGGGCGTGCCTTTGGGGTGCGATGCCCCAGTGGAACACGTGGCCCAAGTGTTCCCTCTTCGCACCACTTACCGCAAACTGGATGAGAGCGATTTCGAGCCAATAATGACAAATTACAGCACCGCAGAGATGTCAGCTGATCAGTTGGAGAAACACTTCCAGGAAGATGAACAAAAGGGGCTCATGATTTGCACGACTGAGAAGGCGGTGGAGGAAGAATACGGACCTGGTGTGCTACGGGTTGCTGCCATGGGTGCGGTGACCAAGCCCAACGGCGATATCAGGCCGCTACATGATGGCACGCATGGAGTACGAGTTAATCTTGACATCAAGGTGAACAACAAGCTGCAGATGCCAGGCCCCGAGGACCTCATGGAAATGGTTGCACAGGCGCAGGATACGCGCGAAGCCTCCTTCTCGATTTCTGCGGACATCAGCCAGGCCCACAGACGAGTCAAGATCAGGCGCCGGGATTGGCCAAGACTAGGATGCCGGGCCCGAAACGGGAGCCGGGAGATTTGGCTAAACACTGTAGGCACGTTTGGCATATCCTCTGCGTCCTTCTGGTGGGGCAGGCTTTTCGCCCTACTCGGCCGGTGGGTCCTTCGTGTCATGGGCAAGCGCTGGAACTCTCAAGTAGTTTTCGTGGACGATCTCCACCTCACGGTGGTAGGAAAGCACAAATTCCTGCACCTGTGGATGGTCCTGCTTGCGTACGAACTGATGGGCGCACCTTTTTCCTACCATAAGTTTAAAGGAGGGTTGGCCGTTGACTTCATTGGCTACCATTTGGATTATTACACGCACACGGTTGGCATTTCGGAGAAGCGTGCTGCATGGATCGTTGCTTGGGTTGACCGAGTGGAGCGCAATGCATGGCTTGTGTCAGGACGTGAATTGTCCGAGTTTACCGGTCGCATGAACTTTGTGGCGCGTATACTCTTGTGGGCAAAACCCTTTCTCGCACCATTGTACTCTTGGCTTGCCGTCATCAAAGGGGGTACGGTGGCACGTGTGCCAGAATTGGTTTGCATCTCTCTCACGTTTTACAGGCACCAGTTCGCGACAGGACGTAGGATGGAAGACGTGGCGTTCCGGCAACCACCACCCTGGCAGGCTTTCCGCACTGATGCGAAGTGTGAAGACAACAGGGTAGTGCTGGGTGGTTGGTCGTTGGCTGAGGGTGTTGCCCCCTTGCATGCAAAATGGTTCGCGGTTGAACTGCGGCCTAGAGATGCACCCTGGTTGTTCAAGGAGGACGGCAGCTCCCAATGGGCCTCGACCTCGGGGGAGCTCCTTGCGGCGTGTTTTGCACTTTATGCATTTGGGCATTTGAGCGGCGAAGGCAAGAAAAGCACCTTCCGGATTGCGTTGACTGCTGGGACCGACAATAAGGCCTTGCCTATGGTGCAGCAAAAGGGGCTGAGCACGAAGTGGCCACTCCAGGCCATTCATATGCAGATGGCCAGTGCGCTCCGGGACCACAGCAAAGTTCTCCGCTTGCAATGGAGGCCTAGGGAAGCAAATGTGGAGGCTGACGACTTGACGAATCTTAAGTTTGATAAGTTTGATTTGAAAAATAGAGTGATGGTTTCTTTGATGGACTTGGACATGAAAATTTTCCAGCGACTTGTCGCAGCACGAGACAACTTTGTTTCGCTGCGGGAAGCAGTGAAGATATCTGCCGCCAACGACACACAGTTGAACAAGAAGCAGAAACTTGATTCAAAGTCTCCGTGGTGAATAGCACAGCCTCGTCTGAAGTTGGGGCATTTTGCTCGGCTGTGCCAGGATGTCAGGTTGAGGTGCCGAGATGTTCGCTGGACCCACACACTTCGTTGAAAAGAAAGAGAATCGCGCGTGTTGAGACTTTTTATGTCATGTTGGGGACTTGTCGCTTGTTGTGTTCACATGCCGACATGCTACCCGACCTACCTTCCTTCAACCAACCCCCCTTGGCTCAAACCAAACCGACAAGCCTTTTGGGCCATGCCCCAGGGGTTTGTCGGGGGGGTTTGAGGGGAGGTGGGTGGGTGCCTTCATGCTTCTGAGTCGCATCAGCCATCAGGCGATCGGAAAATCACTTGATTGTCTTTGGATCGTTGTGGCAAATTTATCATTTCCCTTTTGTTGACTTCGTTGCTCGTGCTTGAACAATTGGTCTCTGCTTTGAGGCTCGTGTCTGCCCGGATAAAAAAAAAAATTTTGAGTCCCACCCTCACCGCCCTAGTTTGTCACTTGACAACTTTGCAAGTCTCCTTGCAGTTGAAATAACAATCACCATGCCTTCGTGTTCACCACCTTCTTGTTTCCTACGAGCCTCCGGGCTAAGTGCTGCAACATCCTGTTGCCTGTGACCTCCGCTTGGGTCTTTCAAGCACACTCACCTGGAGCATTCTGCTCGGCTGCACTGGGGCATTTTGCTCGGCTGTGCCAGGATGTCAGGTTGAGGTGCCGAGATGTTCGCTGGACCCACACACTTCGTTGAAAAGAAAGAGAATCGCGCGTGTTGAGACTTTTTATGTCATGTTGGGGACTTGTCGCTTGTTGTGTTCACATGCCGACATGCTACCCGACCTACCTTCCTTCAACCAACCCCCCTTGGCTCAAACCAAACCGACAACAGCGCCTCATGTCCAGTGCAGGTTTCGTGCTGCCAGGGATTGGGCATGCATTGCCTCCTTTCGTGCGTGAGGGCGGAGCCCTGCAAGACGCCTTAGTGTCTCCGGGCGCTAGGCCTGACCCTAGGGTTCCGCCTCCCCCCTCTGTAGGCGCCGGAGTTGGGTTTCCGGGGTTACGATGCAAGCCCGAGTCCCACCCCACCCTAGGTCACTGTGCTAGGCCTTCCGACGGTTCTGGGTTACCGACCCCTTTAAGCACAGTGACTAGGTCACCTAATGCCGCTCAAGATGCAAAACCTCCCTATGTGCTGGAGATCTTTTGTGGCACTGCCGGCGTTGCTGCCGCTATGCAGGCACGAGGTTGTGATGTCCTTGGCATTGACAAAGACTTGCGTCCGCGCAAAGTGCGCGCACCGGCGGTGCGCCTGGACTTGTGTGATGCGGAACAGCGTCGGCTTGTGTGGCAGGAGATCCAACGGGCCGATGCCTGGCTGGCTCCTCCGTGTGGCACATCGTCCCGGGCAAGAGGCATACGTTTGCCTTCCGGGGGACCGCAACCCAAGGCCTTGAGGTCGGAGGATTTCCCACAGGGCTTTCCAAGCTTGCGTGGCGTCAACAAAGCACGGGTGACGGCAGCGAACACTTTGTATGCGTTTTGCGCTGAGGTCTTTGAGTATTGCCGTCAAAACAACAAGGTAGCCGTCATAGAGAATCCCGAACGTTCCTTCATGTGGCTCACTGTGTGGATGCAGCGTGTGTTGTCCATGGGCAGGTGGCATGTACTACATGCGTGCATGTATGGGTCCCGGCGTTTGAAGCGCACAGCCTTGCTGGCCACGCATGATTTGCCGTCTATGCGCAGCCAGTGTGATGGCGCCCATGCACACATGGCATGGGGGCGATGCAAGCAAGGCGCCGGGTGGGCTTTCGCTACGGCCGCCGAGGTGAGCTATCCCCGGCCCATGTGCAGTGCCGCGGCCAATGATTTGTGTGCTATCCTGCGAGCCAAGGGTTCCTTGCTTGATGGTTCATATGCTTCGCGCACCGCTTTGGCCACTGTTGCGTCGCAGCGTCAGCCACGACGCGATGGCCCGCAAGTGGGACCCGAGGAGTTCCTATCCACCGTGACTGTACAGGTGCCTGCTGAGGTCGAGGTGCCGGACTGCATACCGGCTACTGGGTGCTTGGTGCCGGGTCTTGGGGGTGTTCCTGCTGGCTCCAAATTACTTGCCTCACGTCGTTGCGAAGAAGGGGGGAAGGTAGTTCGTGAGGTTGTGTTTGGCATATACAGGACACCAGATGCATTTGTCAATGAAGCTTTGAAGTGCATACATCCGTTTGACAAGCCGGGAGCTTTAGACATGGACAATGTGCAGGCTATGGCCAATATCTTTCAGCATGGGATAGAGGGCACGAAGGCTTTTCGAGAGAGGATGTTGGATCACTACAGAAACAGAGCAAGGGAGCTGCAGCCCATGGAGGATGCGGCCAAGGGCCAAATGCACCCCGATGTGAAAGCAATTATGGGATCCAAGCGCTTGTTGCTGTTGCAGGAGCTCATGAGCGATGCAGGCGTCCAGGACCGTGAGCTGGTAGCAGACATGGCCAGTGGTTTCCGACTGACGGGTGAACTGAGACCCTCGGGCTTGTTCCCTCGGCAACTGAAGCCGGCCGCATTGACGCAGGATGATCTGAAAGCAACGTCCAGATGGTCCAAGCATCTTGTGGAAGCCTCTTGCCGAAGGGCGGCTCGCGACAAGGAGGTGGCGGCCAAGATTTGGGACGAGACTCTCGAGCAGAAGGAAAAGCAGTGGGTCAAAGGGCCTTTTTCTTGGAGCGAAATTAACGATAAATACAAAGGTGAATGGATTGCATCGAAACGCTTCGGTGTTGTGCAAGGAGAGAAAATCAGGGGCATAGACGACTTGTCTGAATTCCTGGTCAATGCTTCTGTCACAGAGACTGAGAAGGTTGTCTTGGATGGGGTTGATGCCATAGCAGCTACAGCTCGTTTCTTTGTGCGGGGTGCCCTAGGAGCGACTGAAGAATTCCACCTGCCGGATCGTGATGGTGAAACGTTCAGTGGGCGACTTCACCCCGACTTCCGAGAAAAGGAGAATCGGCAGCTACACGGCAGAGCTCTTGACTTGAAAAGCGCCTACAAACAACTTGCTCGGCATCCAGACGATGCATGGGCCACAATCCTGGCGGTTTTGAATCCTTCGGATGACACAGTGTACTATTTTGAAGCGGTAGCGCTACCGTTTGGCGGGACGGGGTCGGTCACCAGCTTTAACAGGGCGGCGCGGGTGCTCAAAATGGTGATGGCCCGACTGTTTTGGTTGGTGAGCACCAATTATTACGATGACTATTGCCAAATGGAACTTTCCCCGCTGATCGAGTCGGCTTCGCAGACGGCTGAGGCGTTGCTGGAGCTCCTTGGATGGGAGGTAGCCCGAGGCGATAAGCTCAAGGACTTCGCGAAGTCTTTCGACATCCTAGGGGTGACTGTCAGGTTCGATAGAGCTTGTGAGGGCATCGTAGAGGTGTGCAACAAGGCTGGAAGGATTGAAGAGCTCACGAGTGCGTTGCAAAACCTTGCGAGTGGGGCCTGCGGTCACAGCGAGCTTGCATCGTTCAAAGGGCGCATGTTGTTCGCTACCAACCATGTGTACGGAAGGTGTGCGCAAATATGCACCCAACTCATCAGCCAGGCCCAAAGATCCGGTGATGTTGCGGTGGCCCGGGAAGCCATACTGGATGCAGCGCGCTTGGCGTTGGATACCTTGCGAGCATCGGGCCCGCGACGGCTGTCGTGTTGGGCTCATGAACCGCCCGTGCTCATCTTTTCTGATGGTGCCCATGAAGATCAAATTGTGACACATGGAGCCGTGCTCTTTGACCCACTTACAGGGAGACAAGAGTTCTTTGGTGATTTTGTACCAGAGTGGCTAGTGAAGCGGTGGAGGTCTAAGGGCTTGAAGCAGTTGATCTTTTTCGCTGAGTTGCTACCTGTGGCAGTTGCCAAGGCGACCTGGGCACATGTGCTCGAAGGTCGGCTCTGTTTCTTCTTCGTGGACAATGAAGCCGCGAGAGCTAGCTTGATCAGATCCTTCACACCTGTGATCAATGCAACTTCCATCCTGATGGATGTGGCTTTGGCAGATGTCAAGTCTAATGCAATATCCTGGTACTCGCGCGTTCCATCAAAGAGCAACATAGCAGATGACGCATCCCGCTTGTGCTTCACCAGATACCAGTCCATGTTTCGCCAAGTTGCACCAGTGTATGAAAGCATCACTTGAGAGGCAAACGGGGGTGGTGAGGAAGTGATGCTGTGAAGGTGTGCGAGGGCACACACTTGGAACAGACGTGGGTGTACTCCTCAACGGAGGAGGGACCTGGGTCGTGCATCTGCAGGGCTTCGTACCGTCCCCCGTTTGTGCGTGTGAAAAAGTGGGAAGAGTGAGCGTGATGCATGTTATGAATTTTGAAGATATGTATTCATGATGGTGAAGAAATATTCTGACAGTTGTGTTTGGGATTGTATCGGTGAGAGGGAATAAGGAATGCTTCTTCTTGATAATTCTTTATTCCCAAAAGGCGATGCAACAGATGTGAGAGCACATCGTCCCAGAACAAAACTGTTTTACGTGTCAATCATTGGTGCTTTGGGGTTTGTGGAGGGAGGGGTCCGAAAGTGATTCCTGAAGTCCCTCGAGCTTTTGGGCCATGAACGACAGTGGGTTTGCATGGTGGAGGGAGGGGGGTCCGAAAGTGATTCCTGAAGTCCCCCGTGCAAAAAGTCCCTGTGTGTGAGCTCCAGTGTTTGCATGAAGTATTACACTATATTTTCATTTGTGGGAAGGGGCACGAGTGTTTGTTTGGGATGCACTGAATCATGTGTTGTGTGAACGCATGCACCATGTCAGTGCTCAAAGGCCACAGAAAGCTGTGGCATCAGAAATTTTGTCCCGCCCAACCCACCCCCTGGAAGTGATGCTGTGAAGGTGTGCGAGGGCACACACTTGGAACAGACGTGGGTGTACTCCTCAACGGAGGAGGGACCTGGGTCGTGCATCTGCAGGGCTTCGTACCGTCCCCCGTTTGTGCGTGTGAAAAAGTGGGAAGAGTGAGCGTGATGCATGTTATGAATTTTGAAGATATGTATTCATGATGGTGAAGAAATATTCTGACAGTTGTGTTTGGGATTGTATCGGTGAGAGGGAATAAAACTGCGTGAACTCAGAAAGCATGGGTGTCTACCCTTGCGGATCCCTGGGCTGTCCCAGGGGTGGGACGGCTCGAGCCCGAGCCTCCCACCCGCCCCTATCCGCTCTTACCCCCACCTCTCACCCCCTGCCCAGTACCTTTTTTAAACAGGTCATGCAGGTGAAATAGATTCAAAGGGCTCAGCGCAGCCTCAAACCCCGTCGCCACCAGCATGGAGGAAGCGGCTCCAGCTACCCCACACCGCCGACACAGACCTCACCCCCCTCCAAAGGGGTCATGGATTTAATTAAGGTTGCGCTGGCTCCCCCCAAACAAATTGGGGGGTTTGTGTTTTAGGACCTCAAGGCCTGAAGCTTTCCAGCCTTTAAGATTCCTGGAGCCCAAGGCCTCAAGGCCTCAAGCCTTAATTACGGCGTAAGCTCTTAACCCTAAACACAAACCCTCTAAAGAATCATCCCAAAAAACTTGGTACTACAGAGGGTAGCCAGACAAGCTTACTAAAGACAGTCTGACAGGCCCGTGGGCTACCTATCACAAAATCGGGTTGGGGCCAGTGAAATTCCATAAGGCTTTACATGGAACTGGCAGGCTTGGATTTGTGGATTCTCCGGGCTCTGGCTCGTTAAGATTCCTGGAGCCCACGGCCCTCAGGGCCTCTGAGCACCGCGCATCATACAGCTCCACAGTATCGAAACCTGTCAGCGGCTGCGGCCCCATTGCTGCGTAGTGAGAGTGGGCTCTTCGGCGTGTCGTGTGCGCAATTCCAATGTGGCTTCATGTAGCCATGTTGTGAGGTTCTACTTAGAACGCAAATGGCGGGGACTTGTACGTCCACGGGAATACCATCGAAGTTCCCGACCCCGACAACCAAGCACAATATTGCCAAAGCTGCTCGTCGGCAGCCGACGACGACCCCATCGAAGAGAATGCCACCTCCGAGTCCGACTCGGAGTCATCTTCATCGTCGTCGCCGTCGGAGCCACAGCCTCTCCCTTCCACATCTGGGACAGCGACTGGGCCGACGCACGCAACTCCGCTCTGTACCTCTTCAGGAACGCAGGGCGCAGCCCAAAGTGGCAGCACGTCGCTCAGCATCATATCTTCTGACAGGCGTCGCTAAAGCCCGCGCAGACTGGTTCTCGCACTAGTACCAGAGACATTGAGCCGAAGGAAAGAGACCTGATTCTCTAGAATGTTGTGGCTAGATGTTGCTACGGTGGCTTGCTTTCCTGGTTTTCTCTGGGGTTCAAGCTATAATGCTGCGGATTCAGTCTTCCCCGAACTCTTCCCAGGATCTTTACTGGATGCGGAACTCAGACCTCTCTGTACATGGGCTGTGTTTATTCGTGGGGACCTTGCTGCGTGGGAGCGTTCGTGAACAGGTGGCCCATGCAGGTCCGCCTGGACGAGGAGCGGGAGATTGACTCGCTTGATCGGTGAGTGGAGTTCCTTGGCAAGTTCAGGCCAATGGAGGCCCCATGGCGGATCCAAAAACGAAAGAGTGAAACGTGCTGGCTCGCAAAGCAGGTAAGAACACACACCATGACATCATGTGTGTAAGGGAGCAATAGATTGGGGTGAACGCGGAGAATCCGAAAGTTTGTGTGCCCTCGGCTTGGAGATTGCCAATGTTCGGTTTCATGTGCATGCAAAAATATTCAATTGACACGCAGCTTTGGGGCATCATGTTGGGCTCTCATTGAGTGATGTCTGGTTTACGAGACGCATGTCATGATAGCCAGCGTCGGGGCAATTTTTGAGACAGTGGATTAGACATGGGGTCGCCTTAAGCATCAATAAGTAACACTTCACTGATTCAAAGCTGGTTCGTAACAGCAATGCCACTCGAAGGCCAAGCGTAGTTTGAAGCCTGGAGTCCTACAAAAGCTCAGACTACAATTTTGTGACAAATGTCTGGCATGTATGTACAGTCTGCCATGTCCAGTGTGGATGCCCAGCCTGCCACAGGCATGAGTCATGGTGGTTTGCATGTCAGGTGTGGGAATGAGGGCCAAGGGTTGTGAGGTTCAGAATTGTAACGCATTCGCTTTTTGAGTCGGGACTTGGTTCTCAATTTTGTGTTTTGCATGAAGGGCCCGCCAGTCATTGAGGCAATGTGTTTCATTTGTGTCACGCTTCATGACCATGGCAATATGTGTGAAACCGTGAAACGGAACATGGCGTGTGCGAAAGTGTTTTCTTGGATTTTCCACCTCAGCTTGTGAGGCGTGAAACCTTTGTCCGAGATTTTCTGTTGCTTCCTACGTTACTACATCTTTTGGAAACCTGCTTAAATCCCAAGCTTTCTCTCACATGTCTGTTGCAGGTGGGACCGCCCCCGCCCAAGGCGGTGAGCCTGCCACATCGGGGCCGGTTGGTTGCAAAGGCAGGATCGGCCTTGAACCCGAGGTATTCTGCAATGATTTGTCCGAACGGCTTGATCCAACCTGGATGTTTGGACTTAGCGGTTTTCATTCGGAGTTAACGTTGTTTCCTGTTCCTTCCTCTTTGATGTTGCATGTTATTGTAAACGCTTGCGCGCGCCGCCTCGGCAGCCGGGCCGGCCCCAGGACAGGAAAGGAGGACAGAGGGTTTCGCAGAAAAGGAGGAGGAGGAGGAGAGCGGGGTTAAAGGGGCGGGGGGTGGGGAAGGGGGGAGGGGGGAGGGGGGAGGGGGAGGGGGGAGGGGGGAGGGGGGAGGGGGAGGGGGGAGGGGGGAGGGGGGGCAGGGGGGAGGGGGGAGGGGGGAGGGGGGCAGGGTGGGGGGGGCGTTTTGAGGCACTCCCTCCTCCAAGGCATCGGTTTGCAGCTCCTCCAAGCGATTGGGGGGGGTCCCACAAGGCCACAAAATCTTGCATTGGGGGGAAGGGTTGGGTTAGGGGGAAGGAGGCCCGATCCGGGTCTGCTTGTTCCAGACGCTTCTCGGCAGGAAGCCGAGGCGAATTCTTGCTTCGATGTTTTTGACTGCCGTTTTGGTTCTCTTCGGAAGTTTGCCAGCGGGACATCAGGACCCGGCCGCCTTGCGTGCAGGTCCAATCAGCTCGGCCGTGGCTGTGGCAGCGGTGACCCCGGCTGCCTCAACTCCCTTGAAAAGGTTTGGGTCTACGATTGAAACCTGGACCTTGGGTTTTTTTTGGTCAAAAGTCTTCTTACCTTCAAGCCTTGCGCACGTAGGAATGTTGTGGGTGCATCGTGGCAATAATCGTTATGGCAGGAAATTGCAAGAATGATCGCAACAGAACAATGGTAACTGAAGAGCATTTGGAGGAAAACCATTCGAGAAAGTTGAGAGCAGTTCTGTCAGCAATCCGAAGAGCATCTTTCCAACAACAGTATAAAGTAACAGTTCTAGTAATTCGAGTCGCGGTAGTGCAGGACCAAGAGATCGAGTAGCAATAGTTCAATAAGAAAAAGAATAGCAACAATAAGACTCTTCACAAGGATACCAATCGCAACAATAGGAAAGGGCAGGAGCAAGAAAGTACAATAATGACAGTTTAATGCCATTCATAAACAACAATACTGTGAAACATAGCAATAAGAACAATCAGGTCGGTGCAGTCACGCTGTTGATCTTAGTGGCGTCCGCCATCTTCGGTGCCGCACAAGGGGGAGCTTGGTGTGGTTGGGTTTTCTTGAGGAGATGGGTTTTTTCAAGGTTTCTGGTTTTTGGGGGGAGGGTTTGAGGAGATGGCCCAGCAAGCGTTCTTCCTAACTCAAAGCGTGGAGCCCGAAACAAGCATCGGCCGGGCCCCCTTGCAAGTCCCTTGCAGAAGCTCTCGGGCTCCAAGTCGTGAGCGTAAGGCCCGAAGGTTGCTAAAAACCCAATGAGGAACCTTCGAAGCTTTGTGCGATCCACGGCAGGTGCCGTGCATCGCGCAGAAACCTGGGGACAGGTGCGGGAGCTTAGGGTCCGAGAGTTTTTCGATGTAGGGTTTGCGGCTTGAGGCTTGAGGGCTTCACAGACTTGTAGGGGTTTTCGGGGCTTCAGGGGCTTCAGGGGCTTCAGGGGCTTCAGGGGCGTTTGAGACTTTGATCCTTTTTGAAGCTGTTGGGGTCAAGAAAACCCTGAAACTGCTGGTGCGTCGGGGGTACAGGGTCCTAAATCCCAAGCCTGGTGCCCCAAACCCTGCACCTTAACCCATGCACTGAATCATGCACCCTGAACTCCAGGTCTTGGATTTCCGAGACGTGAGGCCGCATGGGGTGCACGGGGCGGGCAAGGGCGGTGCCTGGGAAGAACCCCAAGATGACGATGACAATGATAGTGACGATGCTGCTGAGGATGACGCGGATGATAACCATGGGGATCATTGCTCAGCTGAGGACGGTCTTTGGGACGAGGTACAAACCCTTGAGTGGCAAAGTTCCGTGCCTTCCAAGCCTCCACGCGCAGACGCTTTAAACTTTCAAGGCCCTGAGAACACTGAGAACACTGTTAATGTCCTTAGCCCAGCCGTTTTGGGAGGCACTCCAACCTCGGGGGCCGCGGCCCCGACGAGGGCACCCCGGAGCTGGTGTACGCAGACGTCGCCTCAGCTGCGGCAGGCTGAGGGCTTCACGGCGGTTCTTTGGGGGGGGGGGGGTTTGTTTGGGGTTTCTTTGCGGGGCGGGGAGTCCGGGGGGGTTCCGAAAGGGCGGGTATTGTTTAGGGGGGGGTAGTCAGGAGGGATTGGGGTGGTTTAGGAGTTGATGGGGTAGCTTCGGGCCTCTACACAGAAAATCAGGCTTCTTCTGCAAGGCGCCCAGGTGTTGCGAGGAGCCTGTATTGCGGGGGACAGTGTTTGGGTTTTCAGGTTTTCTACGAGGGTTCATGCTGTTTTCTCTCGGCTTTTGCACGGAACCCCCAATCCCAATATGTCACATGATGCCATGATGTAGAGAAGCCCCGATCTTGAAAGTTTCAAGGCTTGCGTCGCCTAGATCGCGCTTAGGGTCTCGCATCTGGAGCAAGTTGGTGACCTTCAGACTTGTGCATCTCCAGTTCCGGCCGACCCGAGCTGTAACAGTGCTGTAACCCTGGGCCATACCTAGACTCTACCTAGACCCTACCTGCAGGCTTGCAAGGCGGCAGCAACCCTAAAAACCTTCAGACCCCTAAACTACGACGTTGTTTCAGCCGATCCCAACGCCCTGTACGATTTGGGCCACCTGAGCCTGTCCTGCCCGCCTGAAACCATTCTGTCACATCCTTGCGAAGGCAAAGTCGATCTGGCGGGCTCCCGAGAGCTAGCGTGGAATTTGTGTGGGGTTTGGATGTGAGCCTGACGGCTCCAAAAGCTTCGCAAACTCAGATAGGCTCAGATAGGTCCTAAACCCTGACCGCCCTCAAAACGTACCAAGCAGGGCCGGGCTAAAGGAGACGACGCTGCAAGGGCGCACCCCCTCTCAGGTCGTGCAGGCCAGCCGTGACTACCGAGCGCACTCGACCCGAGACAATGGCGTCGAGGCCTGGGAGTTTGCTAGTTTTTTCTAGCTTCTATATGGATGTTTAGGGCAGTGCATTGGCGAGGAGACAGGAGACCTGTTAAAACACGCAAACAAATAGGGATGTATAGTGATGTTTAGGCTTTTAGGATGAGGAAGCCGAGACATGGCATCCTTAGAAAGAATAAAGAAAGCCCCCAATGGCCCAATGGCGCTGAGAGCTCCGAGATTTTAAAATGGCTGCTTTGGGCTTCGGAAGCAGGACCTTTTCACAAACAGTAGCACCAACGGACGGCAACCCATCCGTAAACAGCCCGAAGGCTTCGGAGCTTTTCGCAGAGGTGCCGAGAAACTGCTCGAAAGCATCGCCCCATACCAACTCCAAAAGCAGACCTCGGAAACGGCTTGAACAACCGTGGGAGATCTGTCAGAAGCTCAAGGCACCCCAACAAGTCCAGCTGTTCGAACGCAGGCAACGACGAAAAGGATCCCAGCAGGAATGCTCCAATAAACCAGCAGACGTCCAGAAACATGAGTGACTCCCACTCACGTTGTGCACGATGCGGGGCCCAAACCGTGCTCCAAAGATGAAGCCCAAATCCGATTGCCACTGTTGGGCCCCTTAGAGCCCTGAAATCCCTCCACCGTCAGCCTCAGTCGCGGCAGGGTCACCTGGGCCGCATCAGCCTCCGGCCCTCGGAGGAGGCTGGGCTTTGAGCGGCTCTTCGCAGCTGATGGCCGCTCTGGCAGACCGGCTCGTATAGAGGTTCAAGTGAGCCTTAGTGTGTGTGAGGTTCGAGATTTTTGGCAGTCCAGGTTTTGAGGCGTAAGACCCCAAGAGGCCACTCCACATGGAGCCCCGGAGTTGCACCGGCATGTAGTCGAGGCCCTTCTGGGGGTCTTAGCTTTGGAGCTTCGAGGGTTTCGCGGGTTCTTCTTGGCTCTGAGCAACAGGCCCACTTCAACTTCAGCTTCAGACACTCTGAAGACCGCGTGCCCATGCAGAGGCAGTGAGGGTGGAGGATGCTCCCCTAAGCTGCTTGACACAAGGAAAACGAACTCTAAGCTTCTAAGCCCCAATCAAGTCTGAAGCCCTAGAATTCCTAGACAGTGTCCGCGTAACTTCTTTGGGTTTAGGGATCCAGACTTTGGGATGTTTCGGGCGGAAGCCTAAAGAGCCTCAAGGTCTAGCCACAGTCTAGCCTGTACGTCCCCCATCTTCGAAATCTCCGCTCCCTGCGTCATGGCCAGGTTCTTTTTCACTGTTTATCTATCTTCTGCCGGAGAGCGCGCGGGAAGCCCGGATGAGATGCTTCCCCGACGCGCTGGCGGGTTCAGTGTCCCAGGGTTCCAAGGACCTGGATTGAAGTTCCGTTTGCGTCCTGCCTTTTTTCTCCGAGGCTCTCAGACAAAGCTCCAGGATGAACTGGTTGCCAAGTCCGGAATCCCTGAGTTATGTAAGCTCGAAGCCTCAAAGATGATTAAATCCCAGAGCCTGAAATCCGACGCCGTGCCTTAGATTAGACACGACTCCCTAGACCCTCCAACACTCAGACCCTCAAGTAAGAATATCAGAACACAACAACCATGCAAAATATAGGCGCAAAATGATGTAATATTCATAATTTTTCTTTGTACAATCAGTTAGTGTAAGCATATCAAATATAATGAAATTGTTTAGAATGTCACAACATCATGTAAAATACAACAACTAGGTGTGGTAGCAGGTGCGCAGTGTCATGACTGGGTATAACACAGTAGACACATAACAATATGAACCACACAAAGAACCTGTGAGGTTCGCGTCTCCGGCTTCACCCGGCTCTGCTGGGCCCGGGGCCTGCTCACTTTTGGGGTGGTAAGATCTTGGGAAGCGAAGAGCCCAAACAAGCCCCTCCACCAAGCCTCCGAGAGAAGTTGCCACTGTTAAGGGCCCCCCGGGGCTCAGCCCTTGAGACGGCTCCTTCTGCCCTAACCTCCGAGGATCTAGATGCGAAGTTCGAGCGCCAAAGTCGGCACAGCGTTCTGGCCTCGGTCTTCGGCTGGCCAGCCTCCTCAACCCCGAATCTCCTTGAACACCCCGAAGCTGCAACTGCACGACGCCAGAAGTCCCAATCCCCTCCCTTGTGGTCTCCCCTGGGCCTCAAGGGGGAACCTGTGGGGGAATAAGGGGCAGGTTGAGGGGTCAGGGCACCAGAAGAACCAGGCGACTCCCCAAACCTCCCCAAAACCTCCCCAAAACCTCTGGGGCGCTTTGCCTTGCGAGGGACAAGACGTCCTGCTGGAAGCCCCTCCAGACATGGAGCCGCTAATGCCCGGTGACCTCGAAGGCCTCCGTTCCCCTGGTTGGCGCCACCCAAGACCCTGAATTCTACCGACACCTGAATTGTTCCTTAAACCTCAGACCCATCCAGTCCCCAAAACATGCATTGCCGACTTGCACGGCTGACGTTTGTAAGGGTTGTGAGTCATGAGAGTGATTAGCTGGTTGTGGTGCTTTATTTGCCCGGTCGTTTCCTCTGTTTTCCTGCGGGGTCAAAGTTAGAACCAGCTTTTAGGAGTTGAACCCTTGAGTGGCTTGCTGGCGGGGCTGGACTGCAGGCTGAAAACAGCATGTGCACGTTGCTTGGATGAAGGCGACACATCGAACGTTTTCAACAAATTCTGAGGGAATGCAACAAGGGTGGATTGCGATGCTAGAATCGTCCACCTCAAGCCCGACAGTCGTGGACCTGAACTACCAGCAGTGAATTCCCAAACCCCTGAACTTAACAAAACAAATAGTTTCAGAAGACCATCAAAGCGTGCATCATGCCAGAAGCAAACCAGGCAAAATAAGACGCCCGAACCGATGTGTTAGCAAGCGGGGTAGACCCTGACATTCTGAAGCAGCGCTGGCCGGAGGTCTCACGGAAAGAAGGCACGCAGCGACCTTCTTCTTCGAGTCTGCCGACCTTTTCAACGCAGCTGTCCCAGTCTGGCAAAGAGCTCTTTGAGCCCTTCGTCCTTAAAACATTTTCAGCCTCTAAGGCCTGCAACTCTTCCTCCATTTCTGCCTCTGTAGAGCTCCTCCAAAAGCCAGGATAACCCCGATAGGCCCCATAGGTCTAAGAACCTTAGGTCCCAAGCTCCGTGACCTTCTGTGAGGTTGAGGGCTTCGGTCTCTTATCCTTTAGAGAACCACAAGGCCCAGAAGGGTTCTTACACTATTATACTCTTACATCCTCATATTCTTATGCTTTGATTCTACTCTCATGATCTGATACCACTGTTTGATTGTATTCTTAGATGTTGCTACCGAAGTTTCTGACACTTGTCGGGCACTGATTGCAGCACCGACTGGGCCGAGGTGTCGGTCTTCACCGAAGGCCGGTTCCTAGTTTGCGGCCTGGGCTTCCCTTTTCAGGGACTTTTATAGGGGGCTTTGGGGAGCACCGCCTACATCATGTGGGGCATTCGGGGTTACGGGTACCTATACCCTAAACTCACCCAAGACTCGGAACAAAAAGCTTCCAAACATGCCAACAAGCCTCAGCTCGAAGTTTGGAGCCGCCTTGACGCTCTAAAGCCCATAAGCCCCTGCCCTACAAAGCCCTACAAAGATGCGGGTCAAGGCTGACCATGAGTCTCCAGGAGCCTTGACTCCCTAAATCCCTTGAAGGCCTCGAAAGCCTCTGAGGACCTGAGGCCCTAAACCTTGGGCCCGCAACTCTCTTGTTCAGGTGACGGCCAGGCAAGCGTGGACTTCCTCTTCTCGGGTCAGAACGTGGTAGCTGACTTGTGCGAGGACGCAGCTTCGTCCACCCAAGCCTCCCCGGAAGCCCGGAAGCCCGAAAACGACCCTTTTTGAGACCATGAAGCGAGCAGGACCAAGGCAGGGTGGAGAATGGGATGATGGTGGAGGTGGTCCGAGGCCATCCGTGGGGCAAGCGCGTCTGGGGGAGGGTATGTGGGGGACCTCGCTGTGCAAAGAATATCCCAAGAAGTCACACGCCTTCAGATGCCCAATTGCCGTGTTTGGGCAAAGATGCGGACGGCGCAAGGATGCGGATTCGGGAACGGGCTTGGGGACGTATGTTGGTGCATGGCTCTGTCCCGAGCTCGCCTTTGTGATCAAGCAGTCGCCCACGCAGCTCCTGTCTCCAGCCATGGCCTTGCCAATGAGGACTGCCATGAAGAAGGCCCAAACCATCCCAAACCTTTCTTCTGAGTTTAGAGTATACGGTGGAGTGATTCTTTGCCGCTGCCATCACCTGCAAGCTTCTGGCCCCCTTGTTTCCGCAACCCAGCCCGAGGCAATGAAGGGAAGCGCCATGAAGGCCAAGGCTATGAAGAAGCCCATGAAGGAGGGGAGGGTCGGGCAAAATTTAACATCCTTTCTGGGGCTTGACAAAGGCTGTTGGCAAACGCTACGTGCTTAGGCCATGAAAAAGAAGACCGTGTCAAAGATTGCAACGGGCAAGCGTGCCAAGTCTGTCGTCTTCCGCGGCAACAAGGACAGCCACATGGACGCTGACAGCTCAAGCTAGATTGTATTCCGTAGCAACTCTGCGCCAACAAGCTTCGATCATGCCCCCCTTGGCCCTCGTCAGGAGAAGACCACTGGCGGCCTGCAGAAGAGCAACCTGATGCTGAACAAGCGTGGCAAGGTCGTCAGCAAGAAGATGCACGCCAAGGGGAAGTCAATCCAGAAGTTTGTGCAGAACTGGCTCAACGCAGTCATGACGGCCAGAAAGGAGCTGGGAATCAAGGGCTTCTGTGCGGTCGGCGGCAAGAGCGCCCAGGGGAAGGCGCTCTATGCCAAGGCCAAGGCGATTTATGCAGCGTGAGCCTTCCAAGGGGACCAGCCTGCTTTCGTGGTCGTTCATGGAGCAGGCCACCCGCGACAGGGCTAGAGCTGCTTGTACAGCTGCCCTCTGTCTGTCATGCGAAGGTGATGGCAGGGGCTCGTTGAGATCGGTGTCATACAGCCAGAGCGAGGAGAAAGGGTGTTTGGCAGGCTTTGCTGAGCAGCTCGCATCTTTTCCCTTCCCATGTACGTCGGACACCTCTAAACCCTGCTCATGCTCTGAGGGAAGCACGGGGGATCACGGGGGCGGGTCGATGTGAGCTTCTCGGTCCATGCCTGCAAGCCCAGTAGCTCCGGGAGCCCGAAGAAATCAGCCATGGCCCTCCGAGCTTTCTTGGTGCTCCTGAGCTTCGCGGGTGCTGTTGGGGAGGACGTGGCCGGCGCTTTGGCGTCGGATGACACGTGCGCTGCCGGGCAAGACTGCAGCCTCGAGCTCCACCAGCTGCGTGGCATGAAGGTCAACTACCTGGAGGCTTTGGAGGATGCCTCTGACGATGAGGAAGATGAGGAGGAAGCCGTGTACGTAGAAGAGGAGGCCGAGGTGGAGGGCGGCGGATGCACCAATCCCAAAGACATGAAGGTGTGGAAGAAAGGTGGAAAGAAGACCTTCGATGCGTCCCTGAACCACTGTGGCCGCTCCTGCGCCGCCGGCTTCCCATGCACCAAGGACCGCCAGCCGCGACGGCTCTGTGGAATTCAGGTATTCAGATGGTGTTCAGTTTCTGCAGCTGCCGGTTCATGGGATTCCGGGACTGAGGTTTCCAGTTGTTGTTTTGCTTTTTTTGGGTTGCCGGTCCGTGCAGGATTGCATGCAGAAGAAGGGCTACTCGAGCAACTGCGCGTCCTGCATGGCCCAGTTGGTGGGCTGCTCGAGGGACCACTGCATGAATCAGTGCACCTTGGCTTTTGATTCTTGATGGAACTGCCTTTATGTATTTCCAGCGTCTTGCTGAAGCACCGTTGAATTCGCACAAGCGAGATTCACGAGTTTAGCCCCAAGTGTTCGCAAAGTGTGCAGTAGCGCAGCCCGCGAAGAGCACAGGCATCACCAACGACAAGTCTCCCGCCTGCACGCACTGCGTCAAGTCCAGCTGCCGCCCCAAGATGAAGGCTTGCAGTGGGCTCAACGCCGGCGGTCACTGAGGAGGCCATGCTGAACGCAACGGCTGAACAAGCACCAGGCCGCCCAATGAGGTGGGTCTGATGCCTTGGTTTTGTTTTTCCAGGAGCTTGCAACAGGACCATAACGTTCTGGAAGCACGGCTCAGCTGCAATATGCTCAGAACGTTCTACTGCAGACCTGGAGATGCACAATTGCTGTCCGCCATTCTACAAGTTGTCGTAAGAGTCGTTATGCCGTTTGCATTGCACATGTGAAGCTTGGATGCCAGCCGGGCTTCAGGGAATGCAGGGCAAGCTGCTCCATCCCCCAGAACAGAAGATCCGTGTCCTGAAGAGCCTGCGCTCTCAAGCGATAAAAGCGTTCTTGGTCCGCCCTGTTGCCAGCCATTGCCCAGCCATGGCCCTCCGAGCTTTCTTGGTGCTCCTGAGCTTCGCGGGTGCTGTTGGGGAGGACGTGGCCGGCGCTTTGGCGTCGGATGACACGTGCGCTGCCGGGCAAGACTGCAGCCTCGAGCTCCACCAGCTGCGTGGCATGAAGGTCAACTACCTGGAGGCTTTGGAGGATGCCTCTGACGATGAGGAAGATGAGGAGGAAGCCGTGTACGTAGAAGAGGAGGCCGAGGTGGAGGGCGGCGGATGCACCAATCCCAAAGACATGAAGGTGTGGAAGAAAGGTGGAAAGAAGACCTTCGATGCGTCCCTGAACCACTGTGGCCGCTCCTGCGCCGCCGGCTTCCCATGCACCAAGGACCGCCAGCCGCGACGGCTCTGTGGAATTCAGGTATTCAGATGGTGTTCAGTTTCTGCAGCTGCCGGTTCATGGGATTCCGGGACTGAGGTTTCCAGTTGTTGTTTTGCTTTTTTTTGGGTTGCCGGTCCGTGCAGGATTGCATGCAGAAGAAGGGCTACTCGAGCAACTGCGCGTCCTGCATGGCCCAGTTGGTGGGCTGCTCGAGGGACCACTGCATGAATCAGTGCACCTTGGCTTTTGATTCTTGATGGAACTGCCTTTATGTATTTCCAGCGTCTTGCTGAAGCACCGTTGAATTCGCACAAGCGAGATTCACGAGTTTAGCCCCAAGTGTTCGCAAAGTGTGCAGTAGCGCAGCCCGCGAAGAGCACAGGCATCACCAACGACAAGTCTCCCGCCTGCACGCACTGCGTCAAGTCCAGCTGCCGCCCCAAGATGAAGGCTTGCAGTGGGCTCAACGCCGGCGGTCACTGAGGAGGCCATGCTGAACGCAACGGCTGAACAAGCACCAGGCCGCCCAATGAGGTGGGTCTGATGCCTTGGTTTTGCTTTTCCAGGAGCTTGCAACAGGACCATAACGTTCTGGAAGCACGGCTCAGCTGCAATATGCTCAGAACGTTCTACTGCAGACCTGGAGATGCACAATTGCTGTCCGCCATTCTACAAGTTGTCGTAAAAGTCGTTATGCCGTTTGCATTGCACATGTGAAGCTTGGATGCCAGCCGGGCTTCAGGGAATGCAGGGCAAGCTGCTCCATCCCCCAGAACAGAAGATCCGTGTCCTGAAGAGCCTGCGCTCTCAAGCGATAAAAGCGTTCTTGGTCCGCCCTGTTGCCAGCCAGCCATGGCCCTCCGAGCTTTCTTGGTGCTCCTGAGCTTCGCGGGTGCTGTTGGGGAGGACGTGGCCGGCGCTTTGGCGTCGGATGACACGTGCGCTGCCGGGCAAGACTGCAGCCTCGAGCTCCACCAGCTGCGTGGCATGAAGGTCAACTACCTGGAGGCTTTGGAGGATGCCTCTGACGATGAGGAAGATGAGGAGGAAGCCGTGTACGTAGAAGAGGAGGCCGAGGTGGAGGGCGGCGGATGCACCAATCCCAAAGACATGAAGGTGTGGAAGAAAGGTGGAAAGAAGACCTTCGATGCGTCCCTGAACCACTGTGGCCGCTCCTGCGCCGCCGGCTTCCCATGCACCAAGGACCGCCAGCCGCGACGGCTCTGTGGAATTCAGGTATTCAGATGGTGTTCAGTTTCTGCAGCTGCCGGTTCATGGGATTCCGGGACTGAGGTTTCCAGTTGTTGTTTTGCTTTTTTGGGTTGCCGGTCCGTGCAGGATTGCATGCAGAAGAAGGGCTACTCGAGCAACTGCGCGTCCTGCATGGCCCAGTTGGTGGGCTGCTCGAGGGACCACTGCATGAATCAGTGCACCTTGGCTTTTGATTCTTGATGGAACTGCCTTTATGTATTTCCAGCGTCTTGCTGAAGCACCGTTGACGTCGCACAAGCGAGATTCACGAGTTTAGCCCCAAGTGTTCGCAAAGTGTGCAGTAGCGCAGCCCGCGAAGAGCACAGGCATCACCAACGACAAGTCTCCCGCCTGCACGCACTGCGTCAAGTCCAGCTGCCGCCCCAAGATGAAGGCTTGCAGTGGGCTCAACGCCGGCGGTCACTGAGGAGGCCATGCTGAACGCAACGGCTGAACAAGCACCAGGCCGCCCAATGAGGTGGGTCTGATGCCTTGGTTTTGCTTTTCCAGGAGCTTGCAACAGGACCATAACGTTCTGGAAGCACGGCTCAGCTGCAATATGCTCAGAACGTTCTACTGCAGACCTGGAGATGCACAATTGCTGTCCGCCATTCTACAAGTTGTCGTAAAAGTCGTTATGCCGTTTGCATTGCACATGTGAAGCTTGGATGCCAGCCGGGCTTCAGGGAATGCAGGGCAAGCTGCTCCATCCCCCAGAACAGAAGATCCGTGTCCTGAAGAGCCTGCGCTCTCAAGCGATAAAAGCGTTCTTGGTCCGCCCTGTTGCCAGCCATTGCCCAGCCATGGCCCTCCGAGCTTTCTTGGTGCTCCTGAGCTTCGCGGGTGCTGTTGGGGAGGACGTGGCCGGCGCTTTGGCGTCGGATGACACGTGCGCCGCCGGGCAAGACTGCAGCCTCGAGCTCCACCAGCTGCGTGGCATGAAGGTCAACTACCTGGAGGCTTTGGAGGATGCCTCTGACGATGAGGAAGATGAGGAGGAAGCCGTGTACATAGAAGAGGAGGCCGAGGTGGAGGGCGGCGGATGCACCAATCCCAAAGACATGAAGGTGTGGAAGAAAGGTGGAAAGAAGACCTTCGATGCGTCCCTGAACCACTGTGGCCGCTCCTGCGCCGCCGGCTTCCCATGCACCAAGGACCGCCAGCCGCGACGGCTCTGTGGAATTCAGGTATTCAGATGGTGTTCAGTTTCTGCAGCTGCCGGTTCATGGGATTCCGGGACTGAGGTTTCCAGTTGTTGTTTTGCTTCTTTTTGGGTTGCCGGTCCGTGCAGGATTGCATGCAGAAGAAGGGCTACTCGAGCAACTGCGCGTCCTGCATGGCCCAGTTGGTGGGCTGCTCGAGGGACCACTGCATGAATCAGTGCACCTTGGCTTTTGATTCTTGATGGAACTGCCTTTATGTATTTCCAGCGTCTTGCTGAAGCACCGTTGAATTCGCACAAGCGAGATTCACGAGTTTAGCCCCAAGTGTTCGCAAAGTGTGCAGTAGCGCAGCCCGCGAAGAGCACAGGCATCACCAACGACAAGTCTCCCGCCTGCACGCACTGCGTCAAGTCCAGCTGCCGCCCCAAGATGAAGGCTTGCAGTGGGCTCAACGCCGGCGGTCACTGAGGAGGCCATGCTGAACGCAACGGCTGAACAAGCACCAGGCCGCCCAATGAGGTGGGTCTGATGCCTTGGTTTTGCTTTTCCAGGAGCTTGCAACAGGACCATAACGTTCTGGAAGCACGGCTCAGCTGCAATATGCTCAGAACGTTCTACTGCAGACCTGGAGATGCACAATTGCTGTCCGCGGTTCCCCTCGTCAGGATTTTGCACGCTGTCGGAAGACACTAGCATCGCAGCAGTGCTGCGAGGCCCTTACCGCGGCTTCCGGGGGACCGCCAAGCTCAGCGGTGGGCAGATGCAGGTACTGTCGGAAGACTTGGTCTGGATGCCGGGTTCCGGATTGAGTTGGGTTGAGGGTCTGGTTGGGCCCAGCCTTAAACAGCCAGCTCTTCAGACCCTTTTCGCCAAAAACTGGAGCCTTTGGGCAAGGGCGCTTACCTGGCTTGCCTGTAGGACGCAACGTGACAGGTCATCCTGGCAAACGGCACTGCGTTGGAGGTGCTTGGCTGAGAGCACCCGAAGCCGAACTAAACCCCCAGAGCCCGGTTGACTGCTAGCTGCTAGCCATCGGTCAAGTCTGAACCCTTGAAAGCCGTGAGCCCTAGGGCAACCGAAAATATGCTCTTCAAAAGGACAACTCAGTTATTGTTGGTGCATGGTGCTTTTTCGGGGGGGGGGGGCAGAGCGTTGCTCTGCTCTGGTAAGTGTAGGCCGTCCGCCCGCGAGGTAGAGGTGACGGATTGCAACATCATCCGGGAGGCAGGGGGGCTTTGCCCGAAGCCGTGCATGCGTGCCAACCTTGAACCGGCCTCCGCGAACTTTATCTTTTGCAGGACCTGCAAGCCATCCGAGAGGAGTGGCGCGACGAAACGGTGCCGGCAACAGGCACCTGCGTGCGGCCCACAGCCGCTTTCGAAGCAGCCAAGCCCTTAAAGAATCCAAAGCCAGGAAACATGCCCCACCCCCCCAAGCTCTCACACTCGAGATCCTTTGTATAAGGCCTAAACACCACTCTCCCTCCCCCCCCCCCCAAAACGCCGAGGCCGGGCTCTTTGATGCCGAGTTGGCTTGCACCCAGGCCCGGCGCATGGGTTGTTCGAGTTCGAGTGGTTGAGGAGTTTACGAGGCTGGTTTAGGATTTAGCTGTTCGGGTACTTTAACCACGAAAGCTAGCCTCTGAGGGCGAGCCGAGTCTTTACCAAGCGTAGGGTTGAACAACAGGGGTGCGGGGAGGGGGGTGCTGCTGCGCGTGGTGCAGGGGGCTAGCGCCACCTGGCTTCCGCGTTCAAGCCTAAGGGTACCTCGTCACCCCGAAAGTTGTGCCTTCGAGGCACTTAGGCCAGGCGCCAAGAAGGCTCAGGATCGGGGCTCAGAAACCTTCAAGAACACGATAAGCACCTTCCGGCATGGTCTGGAATCCCAGGCCTCACAAACAACCTCAATCCCCTGGACCCCTCTACCCCCCCAAAGCTTCCTGAGCCCAAGATCCCTGATTCAAAAGACACTCCAATCGGGGCCCCCTGAGAGGATGGCTGCTCCGTGATCGTGGCCCCCGAGTCCTTCCTGAGTTGCGACAGGTACTGCCAGGCTCTTTTGGGGGCTCTCTTTTGGGGGCTCTCTTTTGGGGGCTTTCGGAATCATGGGGCTGGGGGGATGCAAGGCTCTTGGGGCTTCGGGTGGTAGGCGAGTTCGGGGTTCGGGGATTCAGGTTTCTACGCGATTCAGGCGCCCCCCCCCCGGCGCCAAGTTTCTGGATTGAGGGCGTTTAACTGAGTTTAGGGTTCAGGGCTCTGGGGTCACTGCATCCTTGTGCGGGCCAACCTCAATATGAGGGTGTTGCTGCGGCCCTGAGCCCTAAACCCTTTCATCGCAAAAGGGCAAGCTCGATCCTCTTGGCTGTAAAATTCCAGACCCTCCAACGCCCTGAATCCCAAAAGTCCACAGCCACGGAGGCCTCTAAACACTCTGTCTCTGAGTGCACAGTGATTGGGTTCAGCGCAGGGATTTCCACACACCCCCTACACCCCCTACACTGTTGGAAGCGCAGGCACACAGCATGCACTGCCACAAGGCCACAGAGGTTCAGTTGACTGTTCGTGCTTGGCGTGGTTCATGGCTTTGAAGGCTTGGGTACGGCTGCAGCAGGGGGATGGGGAGCGCACTCGCATAACACTGCAACGATCGGGAAGCCCAAGCCCCAAAACTGTTCTAGGCCCGAAGCAGCCCGAAGCCCAAAGCTTTGGAACTGAACTCCCCAACCCATCGAAGCTTCCAAGACCCAGGTTTGAGGTTTCGGGGCCGCGCTTCAGAGGCTAACGGGACGTGTTCTTTAGGCCCCGAGCCCTAAATGAAGCGTGCCACTCCTTGAAAAACCCTCCGCGGAGGCCTGGAGAACCCGGCGCGGGCAGTGCGAGCACGAGGAGGCGGTGGACTGTCGCTACGGGATGCCGACACCACAACAGCTGAGGCGGGATATCCACGAGTCGAAGCTTCACAGCTCGATCCCGTGGTAGGTTGGAGAAGAGCAGTTTGGGTTTCAAGAGTTTAGGGCTTAAGATTGGGTTGGGTCTTCTGGCGACTTGCTGTTTCGGGAGTAGGTCCTGAAGTAATCCGACAGGCTCGCGTACTGTCGAGGCATCAAAGCCGCCCACCGCGTTTCAACAAAAGCTTTTGCAGCAGAATCGCTGAGTATGTGGCCTGCAGAAGCCGGCATAGAGCCTGAAACCTAAAGTATGCCACAGCCGTCTGCTCCAGTTTTTTTCCCGAGGGGCAACGAGCGGTTGCTCTGCCGCTGCCAACCTCTCGCCAAGAGTCGGCTGGGCCAGCAGGCCCTTGTCTTGCCCTAAATGTGGAGGTTTCCGAAATTCGGGGTGCCGTACCTTCTTGCGGTCCTGAGCATACGGGAATACTATTATTTGGGGTGTACTTTGGGGGTCCCTTATTTTCGTAAACTCCCACACAGAGGTCACAAGAGGAGCTTCAGGAGTTAGGGTGTCATTTGTTGCTTTCAGTTCTTTTGATGCTTCATTTTGGGTTTGCAAAGGTTGAGTTAAGCCCTACGCTTTTCGGGGCAGCGTAAGCCCTATTTGCTGAACGCCCGTCAGGAACCTCCCCAAGGAAACTCGACCAGCAAGCTAAAAATCCAAAGCCCGTAAAAACTGAAACTCGAAGTTGAAGGTGGCCGTGGGCTCGAGGGTGGTGCTGCTGCCCGGCTGTTCGCGTTATGGCATGTAGCCCAATCCCTGAGGGGTGTATAGGGTTTCGGAAGGTTGGGGCTTTTTTCGGTTTTTTCATATTTTCAATTTAGAGTCGCCTGGCAGAAGCACACTTCCGACCATAATCATTAAACCCAAAAAACCAAAAGCCTTGCGCCAAGTCCGGCCCCCGACAAACACACAAGAAAACGGCAGCAACGAACATGCGCGGGCCAGACTTCGGAACAAATGTCGGACTGATCAGGGACACGAACCTTTCACCCCAAAGCCCAAGAAGAATAGGCAACCCAAAACACAGATCCTGAGGCTCTCCGGCAGCCACCGGGGTGCGGCGGGGACTGCGCTGGCACCTCCAGGCCCAGACGGCCACGTCAAGGTGCGGGGAATGGGGGAGTGGGGGAACAGGGTCGTGGGGATCTCAGGTTTGGGGGTTGCACGGGGGGATCCGCCTTACCAGCCAAGGCCGCCATTTTGGGAGCCTGAAGCTCCGCCTTTTTGTTGCGTTGGGCCACCCTAGAGCCCTAGACCCCAAACATCCTCAACCCCAAACCCCACACCCGGAGGTCCACGTCCAGGAGCTGCTTACCCTGCACAAGGAGAGCTTCCAAGGAGTCGAGAACGGCCGGGCGACGGGGAGGCCCGAAAAGCATCGGGGATATCGGGGGGGTTTCGGATACTTTTTCCGAATATTTGCAGAGGGCGCGTGGAGCGTCCGAACATCTGAAGCCCTGAGTCCTGACGCAGAGTGCGGGATGTTCGGACTCTCAGAAGTTTTGGACAGTTCTTCGGGACGTCAGGTCCGTCTCTTGCGACGAGCTCCGCATGGGCGAGCTCGTGGAGATCAGCGCCGGCTCCCACGAGGGCCAGCGTGGGGCGGTTCTGAAGTGCGATCCGGTGGCTTGGTTTCGCGTTTGGGGAGTTTGGGGTTTGGGGTTTAGGGCTTGGGGTTAAGGACTTCACCCCTAAATCCTGCTTGGCCGCCCACGAAAATGAATCATTGTCTTCTGCTTCTTTGCAGGGTACGGGGCTTTTCGGTACCGTCTATGCGATGTGCTCTCTTGTTAAGGGGCTGTTTTGCCTAGTTGCCCTCAGGCCCTACTTTGGAGCCAGCAAAAGGGTACGCGGGCTCACATGGATCCCCCTTTGTAAACCATGCACATCTGGCCACCCGTAAGCTCTGTATCCCAGTAAACCCTGGCCCTACATCCCGCAACTCCCCTAACCATATGTCATGTCCTAAAGCCACTGAACCCCATAACGACATTGGCCCAGCCCGCTAACTCCCAGAACCTGCACCACCCGTTCAAAGTTGGGGGACTTCTCCGTCGTTCCGGGTTGCAGGGTTCAGGATCTCAAAGCACTCTTATGCCTTCTGAAGCCCTGGCCCTGGACCTTGAGGCCTGAAGCATGAAAGATGTTGAGTCCTCAGCCCTGAACCCATGAGAACCTCCGAACCCCGCAGCCCCCAAAGCCCTAAAACCAACTGCTCTCCTGAGGTGTCGGACCGCTTCAGCGCCTCCCGGTTTCAATTGGGATCGGGGGGGTTGGGACCCCGCGCCCTATCAGAACCCAAAAGGGCCCAGATCCGAACAGAGAGATTGCTTTTGGGCCCAAGCTCGAAGGCCCTCAAGCCCAAGCTCTCAAACCAAAGACCCTAAAGAACTCTTCAGCCGTGCTCTTATGCCCTGAAGGCCCAAAAGGGCCCCAAAGGCCCTAAAGGCCGATAAATCCCTTCCCCCTAATATTAAACAACCCCCCCCCCCCCCCCCTTGTATCAGAAAAAACCCCCAAACCCCAAAGAGTTTTGGAATTGGGGGGGGCTCTTATCGTTTCTCCGAACAAACAGCCCGTCCTTCGAGCTTGCTGGCTCAGTCATAGAGCAAGCCAGAAGCACCTAAACCCTACACCCTAAACCCTTGAGTCTTCAGGGTTTCGGGCTTTCAGAGTCAGGGTCAGGAGTTTGAAGAGTTAAAACTTCAGGTTTCCGCTTCAGGCTTCCTACGCCCCCCACCCCCCCCCCCCAAAAAAAAAACGCCTCCTGATTCGGTAGAGGTTTTAAAAGGGGTCGGGTTTTTGGGCCAGGGCGTTTTTCAAGTTGGGAGGGTATTAATGTTAGTGGGAAGGGGTTCAGGCCCTAAACGTCCCTAAATCCTTCTGAGGTGAGCCTCGGCCGCGCCGTGGAGGTGTCGGCGTTCGACACCGAGGTCCTTAGTTGCGCGGCGTCGTCGCCTGGCCCTCGTAGAAAAAATGGGCAGATGTACTCAATGAGTAAGGAATCATAGGAGATGGTCCGTTGGGGGTTTATAGGGTGGCAGCTGAGGGGCACGGGGCGGAACTGTTCCGCGGACCGCTGCAAGACGGAGCTCATGGATGACCCTGAAGCCTCCTGCCACGAGCACTGCGATAGTCAGGGCCTCCACTGCTTGCGGGCCTGGCGCAAGGGCCACGACCACTGCCAACAGGACGGCCTCCTCCCCTGTGACCACCGCCGTGGGGGAAACAAGGTCTGCGAGTGTGTGCCACAGGTGCGACCAGACCTCTGCTTCCAGAAGGGCCTCACGTATCTGCCCTTGAACATGGCGAAGCAAAGCCGCAGCCACGAGACCGATGCCCTCAGCTGCCAGCGGCGCTGTGCCAAGGTCTTTGGCTGTGCACATTTCTCCTACTTTACTGACGGTGGCTGCCACCTCCAGGACGAGAAGGCCGAGCTCCAAGGCAGCGACGGCGTGACCTCCGGGCCGGCCTCCTGCCTTCTGCAGCCTGCGCACTCTGAGCACCACACAGCGTGCCTCACCGAAGGCGTCGGCTACGCCCCTTTGGACATGCACGGCCAGGCGCGCAGCCATGGAACCCTGGCGAAGTGCCAGCAGCGCTGTGCGGACGTCAAGGGCTGTGCCCACTTTTCTTTCTGGTCCGATGGTGGCTGCCACCTACAGGACCACCGGGCCGTGGCCAAAGCAAGCCCTGGCACCACGTCAGGGAAGCCCGGCTGCTCACTCGAGGCTGCTTGATCGCAGAGGACCGCTGTTCAATCGTTGTCCCTTCGTTGTCCCTTTGTTGGCCGAACGGCGGGAGGGGTTCGTAAGGTTGGCAGAGCAGCCAAGGAAGGTGCCCGAACGGAGGGCGAGGCGAAGGATGAGGCGGAGGCCTGCGCCAATTTCGTGGATGTTCAGGACCACTGCGAGGTCGCACATGGTTGCAAGGCGCCGGAGCTTCCAAAACATCTCCAAGCCATTGAGCTGTGCTCTGGGCATGTGTGCTAGGCCTCGCTGGGCAGAGATTAAAGGATAACACAGCCAGTTGGAGGATACCAAAACCAAAGAAAGTGGTTATTACAACTGGGGAGGCCTGAGAACGCGGATAGCACAACCAGTGCCTTGCATTTTGGTGGATATTGCAACCGGAGGCCTTTCTGGCTCATGCGAATGGCTGCAGAGTTTGGCGTTGGCGACCCCCTAAGGGTGTGCCTGGCTATGCAAACCTTCGAGGTCGAGGTAGAAGAGCTTCCTGATTTACAAGGTAAGAGATGAAAAAAGCCAATGAGAAAACCACGAAATCTTTGGGCAATCACATATGAAAGAATCAATGTTGCAGAAACGAAGTAATTTGTTCATACAAGCTCCTGGTGTAGGGAATTCTGTGGCCCACGACACATAAAAGGAGGAAACCACGAAATCACTGGGCAACCACATGTACAATCAACGAGTGTTGCAGAAACGAAATACATTCATTTTTACAAGCTCCTGGTGAAAGGAATTCTGTGCAGCTAATAATAAGGAGAAAACCATGAAATCACTGCGTAACCACATATGAAAACAATCAATGTTGCAGAAACGAAGTAATTTTGCTTATACAAGCTCCTCGTGTGGGGAATTCTGTGGCCCACAACAAGTAAAAGTCACAAGGAAAACCACAAAATCACTGGGCAACCACATGTAAAATCAATGAGAAACGAAAACCCCTTGTGGCATCGAGCGCTCTCTGCAAAATCTGCAGCGTTGCTTTTGTCTCTGGGCATTTGTTACTCAAGCTCTAAGATTTGGCCTCGCAGTGCTGATAGGGTTTAGACAGCCCAGGGAGGACAGGGTCCAAGCAGATGAGAGATATCACAACTGAAGATGTTTTCAACATTGCAAGGTGTTCTGTTGGGAGCCCAACTCTGGTTTGGAATGTTGGTAACTTGTAACCTTAATCAGCGGTTGTGATATCACGGTTTCTGGTTTGCCCTCAAACCAACAGCAGTTGCGACATCCCGGTTTTTGGTTGTAATAACCTGCTTGGTTGTAGCGTCCCGTACTCGCTCGCTAGGAATGGCATAGGCATAGGCGCAGCTCCGAACCAGCCTCCGATGTGCGGAACCTTGAGAGGTGGTGGTGACACACATGGAGCATCGGTCATGCGACGTTTACTGCAACGACGAGGGCCTGGGCTGTGCCGGTGCCTGGACGGGTGCAAGCTGTAGCTCTGGGCATCGCCAGGACTGCGACAGGCTCGGCAGTGCGACCATGACTTGTAACGTGGCAGCATGGAGACGTGTGCCACAAAGCTCCGTTCGAGTTCGTTCTGCGGGGGAGATGTTTGGCACGTTGGTACATGTTTGCGTGCTTGGCCCAGGTCACTGCACCCACAGATCCAGTGCGGAAGGTGAGCCGGAGAACCGCGCCCAGCACCTCGGAGGAGGGGAGCGTGGGGAGCGCGGGGAGCGCGGGGAGCAGGAGGAGCAGGAGGAGCATGGAGAGCAGGAACAGCAGGACTCCTGGGGCTTCCACTGCAACGCGGACTCGGATGTGGAGTCCTGGAGTGCCGAGAGGCGCTGGTGGTGCTGCCGGGAGATGGAAGTGGGCTGTGTGGAGACTCCTACGAGCTACACTTGCAGCCCCTCTGGGGACTTCCAGTTCTGGGAGGAGGATGCTTGGCGCTTGTGCTTTTCTTGGAGGTCCTCCCCTTTCCCCAGCCCAGTGAAGAGCCAAGGACAAGAGACGCTTCTGTTGCCGAGAGGAGGGTGTTTGCGGCCAAGACCGCGAGTCCGGCCGGTCCGTCCACTCCGACGACTCCGACGACTCCGACGAGTGCACGCAGCTCCTTCACCAGGCGATGTGGCGAAGTAGAGAAAGCCGCTCTGTCTCAGACCCATTCAAGGGGTTGTTTGGGACACGTTTTTGGGGCTTCGAGACGGGTTCCGTGGTTTCTTATGTTTCTTTCTCTCCATGGCCTGTCCTCCGAATCCACCTGGCACCCCCCCAGCCTTCAACACGACACCGCGCGGCCCCTCCTTTTAGGAGCCCAGATTCTTGGGAATTCCCTAAGTCCTTTCCGAAGTACGTTCACAAGCCCTGATGAACCCTTTTCACCCCCCAACGAGTGCAGGAGGAGGAGGTCTCAGAGGCCATGCGCAGCTGGTGCTGCGAACACCGGGGCCTCGGTTGCCGGGGCCCCTGAGATTTTCGAAATCTGACGGTCTTAACGGTTAAAACGCCGCTTCCTTCGACCCCGTAGAAGCCGCCATGCTCCATGTGCAATAGACCAAGACAACCGAGAGCTTGCGAAGGGGTTTTATTCCACGTTTTCAGGGGTGCTAGGATGGTTCCCCATTTTTCTAAGGGCACCTTCAATAGGCTGCGGCCCTACGATGACAGGAGGCCCTGAAAGGCACCAGTTCACGAGATGCCTTCCACTCGTGGTTCTTCTCTGTTTTCTCTTGGAATTTCGCTGACGTAGCTTGTTCATGACAGCGAGTTGTAATGAAAGCATGCTGGAAGTAAAGAGAGGAATAGAACAAAAGAGGGGCAAGGGGGCAAGATTCAAAAAACGAATGCACTTTGCAACGGGCTTGCAACAGGCATCTGAAGTGTTTCTCCTCGCCCCTCAAACAGAACTCTGAAGGCTGCGTCAAAAGAGCCTTGGCCGCCCCCGAAGCTTCGTAAGCCCATGCAGGCGACCAGTGCGACGCCCGAACGCTCGAGGACCGAGACGCTGGATGGCTGAGGCTTCTTTTCATCCTGGGCTTTTTTAAGGCTTGGCTTTTCAACGCCCGTGGGTTTAGCTTCGTGCTTGGCCCCAAAATCCGACAAGAGAGCCTTAATTTCAACACCCGAGCGCCAAGGCTTCAGCGCTTCTGGGAGGGTTGAGGCTTTCCGCCTGGCTTTTCAGCGCCCGTGGGTTTGGCTTCGTGCTTGGCGCCTGCCACGAGGACTCTGGGTCGCTGGAGACGCGGAGGTGGTGCCGAGCCCTCGGTACGTGGGGAAATGGCTGAGTTTTATAGGAGAAGCCTTTCGCAGTTACTAAAGAAGTAAAGAAAGCGCTGAATGGGTTGAGCCTCACTGATCGAGCGCTGGGTCCTTGGTGTTCATGAAAGCCCACCGCGTTTTGCTCTTCAGGTTGCGAGCATGAAGGCCTTGGCTGCGAAGAGCTGGAGGCTCGTATATTTATTTGTGTGTGTGTGTGTGTGTGTTTCGTCGGCGAATTCCCGCTTGCATTGTGTGGCACGGCAATGCGAAGCCGCTCATGTGTCCGGCTTGACGTGAACGAGGTGCTTTCGTGGCCGTTTCTGCTCAGACGACCTGCCTGTCGTCTCTCTTGACCACCACTTGTCAGGTCTTGTGCGAGCGCAATGGAGCGCTGCATCAAGGAGGGCCTGCTGCCACCCACACTGTGCCGGGAGCTGAGGCTCCTTCACCTTGCCGCGGCAGTACCTGGGTACAGGCCCAACTGCACGGCCTGCACGCTCCTGGCCTGTCCCGTCTGGGGTTGGCCGGCCCTGCTCCGTGCGCGGGAGCTCGCGCGCAACGCGGCAGAAGATTTTTTCGACGAATTTGGGGGTCTCTGGCCGGAGACGACCGTCACCGTGTGCTGGTTTCCTGGGTCCTCACTGCCAATGCACACGGACAACTGCAAAGACTATCTCTCGAAGCGGCATGTCTCGGTGGTAGTCTGGCTGAGCAGTCAAGGCGAGGACTTCGAAGGCGGCGAGTTCTTCTTCCAGGGCGCCGGACAGTCGGAAGCAGAGGAAGTGGTGCGGCCAAGAGCAGGCAACGCGGCGCTCTTCCGAGCTGACGAGCCGCATGGCCTGCGAGGCGTGGTGCGAGGAGCCCGCCTGGCACTCAATGTTTGGTTCACGCGGGATCCCGGAGCCGCGGAGGATGCGAAGCTGCTCCAGCTGCACATGCTTCGCGCAAGCACTCGGTCCGAGCGCCTTTTCGGCTTGGGGCCCCAGGCATGTTGGCCATCGGACGAGGCCGCGGCGTGCCTGGCCAAACGTACCTTGGCCCAGGTTGGGCTACCGCCCCGTGCCCAGGTTCTGAAACCGAGACGCCATCGCCTCGCTGCCACGAACTTGAAGCTCCGCTCTGGGCTTCCCGCAGCGCGGCGGGCGCGCCTGGCTGTGGCAGCGCACAGCCAGCTCTTGGCCGCGGAGAATTCGCGGTGCGCTGGGCGCGCTTCGAGGTGCTTCTTTCGGCTCTTGCGCCGCCGCGAGAGGCAGGTGTGCACAGCCTTGCCTCAGTGGCATCAGCACGGCCTCGTGTCCCTGGCCCAGCTGAGCTCCCCCTGCTCTGCGTGCTGTCGGAAAGTGCGCGATGGCACAACACGCGGTGCGCGTGTGGAGGTCGTTGAGGAGGTGCCTGGGCTGGTGATTGCAAGGGGCGTGCTGGGCGGCCAGCTCCAGAGAAGGCTGCGAAAGCTTGCCGACAGCCTCATGTCTGCCCAGGGCAAGCTGATGAACCAGGCCATGCGCTTTGGCACAGACGTTCCCCCGTGGGCACATGCCTTGGCTCGGAGGACACGGGTGCCAGCTCTCTCAACCCCATAAACTAGACCGCATTCGGAAATAGTTTGAACGCAATATACAAGTCGTTCCATTGCAGGATCCGGAGGATTCCCGGCTTCTTCACAGACCGCCCGCCTGCGTTCGATCAGCTCATTGCCGGGAACCCAGCTGAGCACCTGACACCAAACCCTCAAGCATGCCCACTCCCGCTAATGTACCCTGAAGTGGGATGTGGAGTCTGGCGGAGGTGAACGCCTACTATCCCGGTGAGGCACAGCTTTTTGGGGCTGGCGCGGTCGGCGAGCTTGGGGAGCAGGGGTTTGGTTGTAAAGCTCAGCCTTGAACACGAGTCTAAAGCCCTGAGTGCCCTTCAGACTTAGCTTGAGACATCGCCAGTCTCCGCGAGAGGGCATCCGGCGCCACGTGGACCTCCTAAAGTTCGGGGACCACGTGCTGGGCGTTTGCTTGGGCGCAGACGCAACGCTTACGCTCAGGCAGCGGGCTCCGGTAGGGTTGGTGGAGGAAAAGAAATTCAAGTACTTTGGGCCTCCTTGTGGGGGGTGGATGCGAGTTGTGGAGTGTTGACTGGGAGCATGTGGTAACCAAGAGAAGGCGTGTTTGGAGTTTCAAGTGCTGACAGGACGGTTTGGGGTGGTTTAGAAGACATAGGGTTGAAATAACGGGTGAGTTTTGGTCCCATTGGTTGAGCCCTAAACTCTACACACCCTTAAGCCCCGAAACCCCGAAACCCTACAACCCGAAAGCCCTTTGACCCGTCAGAGACAGTTGCGGGCCGAAGAAGCCTCGGGTGCCTACCCGCGGCAGGCGCATCGCAGAGCATGTGCTGCCCATCCAGCCAGGTGCCCCGTCTCGGTCGAAGGTCTGTAGGGGTTGTCCGGGATTGAGCAGTTCGGTCTGGGGCTTGGAGTTAGGCATGAGGGGTGTTGGCTTGGGGTTTCGAGGTTTCGGGGGGTTGAAGGGTCACCCAGCCAGGAGTCGATGCCAAGGGGGTTAGGGTGAACGATGGTTCCTTATTGGTTTGCCTTACCACATAGTCCTAATACACAAGGGCCTAAGAACCAAAGCCCCAAATCCCAAATAACTTCCTGACAACGAAGAGTACCCAACAGTCCTGCTCTCAGAAACCTCAGCCTCTGCACTTGCCCCTGGGGCCCCCCTTTTCGGGGTTGTGCAGAATTAGTGTCTTTCGGGTTGAGAGCGTTATACCCCAAACCTAGGGGGGTTGCAAAACAATGTCGGGTAGGCGGCTTACAGCTGCACTCCAAGGCTTGAAACGCTGCATACCAGCGAGGTGTAGACATGTGCAGAATCAACATAGCCCTGCAGCCCTGAAACCTAACCCTACCAAACCCTAAACCCTTAGAGCCCTAAACCCTACTTACCCCCCGAAAGCGCAACCCCAAAACCCTTACAAAGCCATAACATCCCAAAGCCCTCAACACCCCAAAGCCTCTTCAATCCCCAGTGACCCTGAAGGTGCGGAGTGCGCCCTCGCCGACGAGGACCTCGAGGGCCCAGCGGTGGATGCCGCTGTCCGTGCCGGAGACGCCTCTTGCCTGCTTTGGGGGAGTTTTTGGGTTTGGGGGTTTCTGTTCTCTTCGGTTTGGGGTTCAGGGTGTAGGGGCGGGGCCATCGCGAATAGGCCATTGTTCGGTGAAGCCGATGTCGCCTTCAACAGCGCACCATGCAAAACTACTGTCAAATCGAGACATCTTCCTGGCGACGGGGCCAGCATGCTACCAAACCATTTTTGGGGCCTTATACAGCCCAACAGCATTACATCAAAGACCTTCCCAAGCCCCTACACCCTATATAAACCGTCCCAGCCATGTGCCTTGAAACCGTGAACCCCAACAGTCGGAGGGAAGGATCCCCGTAACGAGCCAGGCTTACTGCCTCTCGGGGGCCGCGAGGCCGCTGGCGGTGGTTTTTCACAGACTTGGGATTTAAATGATCCCTCGACATCCCAAACCTCCTCACCCACGGGGGGTCCGCTGCCCTGTAGGCCACTGGCTGTTTCTCCTTAAGGAGGTTCTAAGCCTACGAAACCCGCCCCCCGCCCAGACCCTGGACCCAAAAGCCCCTTTGTCGAGGCATCGATGGACGCATGAGATTTCGCCCGATTCCATCCGCAATGGCCGGCGTCGCGTGAGTGCCATGGCCCGCACCATGGGGGATGTACCAAAAAGCCATCAAGAGGGAGAGAGAGAGAGAGAGAGACACAGAGACAGAGAGAGAGAGAGAGAGAGACTCCAACTCAGACAGGAACCCCAGGGAGAAAACCACAAGAGTTCTCTGGGTGCACGTTGTTTGCCCTTGTATCCTGACGTGCCCTCCATCCGCCTGGAGCCGGGCAGGTGGGGAAGTTTTCACTCCGACCAAACTTTGGACATCGCGCGCCGCTGGGGCGGCCCTCTTCGGGGGGGGGGGCCATGCGTGCACGAGAGAGAGAGAGAGAGAGAGAGAGAGCGAGCAAGCGAGAGACAGAGAGAGAGAGAGAGAAACATAGATTGAGAGAGCGACAAGTGGCCTGGAAGGAAGGAAGAGACAGACAGAGTAGGAGTGAGAGATTTCAGAGTTCAAGTTGAGGGGTGAACATCTCCAGGATTGAGTAGGGAATGGGGTTGGTTCAAGGTTCCGTAGTCGGTGGTTCACAAACACGACGAGTGACACACTAGGGTGTACGTTTCAGGAAGGTAGTTTGAGGCTAGCCCTCCTTCCATGCAGCTCAAAGAATTACATATCAGTTAACAGATTTTGGAAGTACAAAAGATCACAAGTTGTAATCAGCACTGAAAATATCATAGAGGCGAGCTCGAAGCAAAAGAGAATAGGTCTGATGCCACTGAGCCCCCAACACCTGATCCTGCATCTTTTGTGAGGCCTCACATTCCGCGCTTTGAGACCCTCCGCCTGGCAGGGCCCCAGCTGAAACCGCGACGTTTCCCGGCCTGGCAGAGGTTTCAGAGCAGCTAGGGCTGGTTAGGGAGTTTTAAGGGTCTTGCTATAATAGGGGCCCTCATGTAGAAAAGCCCCAACAAGCCGCAACTCGGCACCCTAGTGGCCTAACCCCAAACCCTCATCCAGGAATTGAACGCACCTGACTTGGCCAAGGCTGCTTGCGGATCTTGCGGAGAAGACCTGCTGACGGCATTCAGTGATCTCCGACACCCACCTGCTCTGCAATGCTTCATGCTGCTTGCAGACCTGAAGTCTTGGACTACGTGGAGAGCACGAATTGCTGTTGGAGGTCAGCAATCGCGGTTGAGTGACATTGCCGGGGCCCGGAATCCCGAAAATGTCTTTGAGACTTTGAGACTTTGAGACTTTGAGACTTTGAGACGACACACGAGACTGAAGCTCGTTCCGCAAAGTCATCTCGATGCAAGCGACCCTGTCTGGGATGTCAAGCGCACTGCTATCCAATGCTCTGCTGGCTCCGTCATCCGACCTGAATTTTCACCCTGACCCTGTGGGACAGATGATGCTTGCTTGCGTCTGGAAGCACATGGAGGGTGCAGAGGGCTACTGCTAGTAGTGCTGTGAATCATCAATGTGCGACTTTTGGAGTCCCTCGATGCAAGCTTCATGGAAGACCGGGAGCTTGTCCCGGCAGCTGTGGGATTGACTATCATTGAAGTGTGCGAGACGGATCGATGTCGCGCCGCAGTTTCCGCAAAAAGGAGAGCAGCAGCATGCATCTCGTGGCGCAGCTCGCCTGAGTATGTCAAGCGTTGTCTGACGGTGTGGCAAGCTCCCTTACCCATTCAGCCTTCCATCCTGCCAAGCACAGGGCTTGTCAACTATCCCCAAAACCCTTAAGCCTTGAATCCTTAACCGTCAACACATCGCAACCCAAAGGCCCTCAACCCCATAATGCCCCAAAGAAGCTGGGAGGTGATGGAGAGATACAGCATGGCTGGGCACGCTCCTCGGGGAGTTGTGGGTTTGTTTTGGTGCCTTGCAAGCTGGGAGCTCAAGTTCATCCCGAAGCCCCCCACCCCAGACCCTAGAAACCTTACAGCCCAAACCCTGGTTTAAGTTCGGAGCTGCCATGTTCACCAGTTGGATGTTTGGGCCGGGCTCAATCCACCCCGCTTTGTTTTTTTCAGCACCCCACGTCTTGTAAGTGGAGCCTTCGAAAGATGGGGCGAACCGACGCCCCAAAAAGCCCTGAAATCGATGCCTAAAAGCTGCAGCTGGCGCCCTTCAGGCGCTCCATTCTCTCCCGGGGGCAGCAGGCTTGGAGCCTTTCCTCTGTTCTGGGTTGTACTCGAGAACGAAGGTGTTTCCACGAGCAGTTCCTTTTGTGTAAAAAATTTGCGACCAAGGGTTCTGAAGAGCCTTAAGTTCGGAGTTGTGCAAGCCTTACGTTCGCGCGTGAGGTTAAAGGGTGTCCAGTTGGCGAGCTTCAGGCTTTCAGAGCATGACAGCCTGCAGCCTGAACCCTGAAACCGGATTCCTTATACTTCGAGTCACGAGCATATCGGGATAAGCTCCAAGCCTGGCAGATCTCGATCTTGTGTTGACCTTGGTGGCGCTTTGCACATGGCAGGTCCTGCGCTCCGCCGAGAGGCCGCCCCAATAAGAGCATGCTGGTGCGGCGTCCACAACCCGCCTCAAACCTCAAAAGCCTGAACCCCGAATCCGATCTTCTAGAACCTTGGGGAGGGTGTCATCCCACTGGCGTAGGAATCGGATGGCCTCGGCCGAAATAAGTCAAATCGTCGAAGCTGCTGCAAAGACGACGAGTTTGACATGACTTCTAAGGGGCACCTGCGAAGGTAGGGCTTCTAGGCTAGGCAGAGCTTCCAGGCTCGGATTGAAGTGTTAGCCCATCACATGCCCCCCAAAACCCCAAAGTGCTTGCCAGGGCCCTGGGGCCGAGCTCCATCGGCGTGCTGGCAGGCCCGGAGCCCGAACCCGAAACCCTAACGACCTTCGCAAACGCAGCTGTGTCTCTAACATAGAGAGCATAACACATCATGGTGGTGTAGGAGGGGCTGTGGAGTTTAGGAGAGTTGCTTAGAAGCCCCAGATAAATCATGCCTTGCAGGTGTCGTGGTTCTCTCCATCTTTCACTTACTGTGCAAGGCCAGGGACTCAGCCCATGTCAGAGCGGCCGTGCGACCGATTGAATTCTTCTACTTCTGGCCCTATGAGAGGGACCATTGCTGCAGTGTTACTTACATGAACTCGGTATGAGCTCCCAGACATCCCAGACCCATCCGGAATTCTCTTTATACAGATGCTGTTTTCACCCTGAGACTCCTCGAATCGCCCGAAGCCGCCTCGAGGTCTGCGCGGCCCCTGCGGCGCGAAACGCACCAGCGCATGGCAAAGCGCTCCTCCTGGAGGTGAGAGGGTATGTATGGTAAGGGTTCATTGGTCCCCAAGACGCATCTTTTGCGCGACCTCAACAAAACACACTTCCTCAGGATCCAGAACATTGGATCAGTACCAAGAAATATACAGTTACATCAGGATCAAACCAAAAAATTAAGACCGTCCTTTCCCTACAATGGTCAGATTGCTCTTCGGTTGCCGGGCTTCTTGGCCCTTGGCAACAAAACCCACGCTATAAATTGGGGGTTCCCTTATCAACATTCTTCTTGCGATTCTGTGTACTCTTTTTGGTTGTGCGGCCAACAATGCTGTACATACCAGCCTTTTTCCTCCTGTTCCTGACGATGCGTTGTGGCTAAAAAGCTGCAAATACAGGCCCCAAGACAAGACATGGATGCACGCGCAGACATTTCTCCAGAGAGAAACGCAAGGCGAGTACTTGACGGATGCATGTGTAATTACCCCTCCTCCCCCCACCCACCCCCCCCCCACCCACCCACCCCAGCCGCACCCTACCCCACCCTCCCAAGACAAGACCTGGATGCTCGGGGAACATGGACATAACACAAAAAGGGTCAAAAACGCGATCGGCAAAATCCAGGCTGAGAATCAGTGGTTTTTTGGAGCCACGAAAAATGCTAAAAACCAAGCGCGAATGCTGGCATTTACAGCATTTTCTCGTCGAGAACGCGAATGTTTTTAAACAAATAGCTTTCAAAACGACGCTTTCGCAGTGCAGTTGTGCACATTTCAAAAGTCACCCTCAAAAACCCAAGCGAAACGCGCGTTTTTTGAACAACAAGTTGTGTTTTGTCCGTCGCACCGGGGGGCACCGGGGGGGGGGGGGGAAGCCGCCTTCTAATACAACAACAACAACAACAACAACAACAACAACAACAACAACAACTACTACTACTACTACTACTACTACTACTACTACTACTACTACTACTACTACTACTACTACTACTACTACTACTACTACTACTACTACTACTACTACTACTATACTACTACTACTACTACTACTACTACTACTACTACTACTACTACTACTACTACTACTACTACTACTACTACTGCTACTGCTACTGCTACTGCTACTGCTACGATTGCTACTGCTACTATTGCTGCTGCTACTGCTGCTACTGCTGCTACTGCTGCTACTGCTGCTACTGCTGCTACTGCTGCTACTGCTGCTACTGCTGCTACTGCTGCTACTGCTGCTACTGCTGCTACTGCTGCCACTGCTGCTACTGCTGCTACTGCTGCTACTGCTGCTACTGCTGCTACTGCTGCTACTGCAGCTACTGCAACTACTGCTGCTACTGCCTACTGCTGCTACTGACGACTACTAATACTACGACTACTGTGCTAGTGGTAGTAGTAGTGGTAGTGGTAGTGGTAGTAGGAGTAGTACGAGTACGACTCACGAGCACGACGGCTGCGACTACGTTAGGGTGTGGGGGGGGGGGGGGGGGGGGCTGATATTGCGATTGGTGCCCGCCGCATCCTGGCTTAATGGTTTTGTTGACCCTGCCTGAATTCTACTGTCTTTGATCCGTCTCCTCTGTCATCCAAGCCCGCCCTTGGCAAGGCGGGCGACAGCCACGGCTATGTTCCCGTCGCGACTGAGGTTCCTGAGGATGACTGAGCTCCAAAACCCTACTTAGTCCTCTAATCCATGAGCCCTCTCGGCCCCAAATCCCAAGCACCAGCCGGAAAATGCCTTCGAGTCCCGAAGTCAGAAAAGTCCGTACATGTTTCAGTGGCTTCGGAGTTCACAGTGGTGTTCAGGCACAGTTTGTCCGAGAGAACTTCCTGCACCTAAAGGCTCTTTTTGCTTCGTCCTGTGGAGTTTGGGGCTTCGGGGCCGCCAAGGCCCTTTTCACCCATATGGGGGTTTCCGATATTGGGGGTGCCTTATTGAACTTTTGTCGGGGTCACCTATTTTCGTGACCTCCCCATATAAACTCTGCCTCATATAGCCTCTTTGAAAGCGCGATAAGCTCACGAGAGAGGCCTCATGGCAGACTCGTTTCACTCTCCTGCGCCGGAACGGCTCCAAATCCTGTGGGTGTCTTCAGGTTCATGCTTCAAGTTTTCGGGTTGCTGGCTTGTTCTTGTTCAGTGTGTGGGGTGTTGGTGGTCGCAGGACGGGCGTGCGCCCATAATTCCGCCAGAGCGCAAAAGCGCCGCGCGGGTCGTAGAGGCAGGTTGGACCTCGTGCCCGAAACCCTAAGTCATCCGACATCCTGGCATCCTAAGGTTTGAATATAAAACCTTAAATTCAATACTGGGTCTTCGCTGGGGTCGTGCATGCATGGAAAAGCCACGTTTCTCTGCGCCAGGCTTCGGGCGACGGTTGGTGACAGGACAGGATTGGAGCCCTACAATCTAAGTCAGGGTGGTCCTGTGTCGTTTACCAGATGTCTGGAGATTCGAGGTTGTCCCAGACCCAAAGCCCTGAATGCCAGAGCTTCGGGGCTCAGTGTCCGAAGTCCGTACTGTCGCTGGCTGGCTCGAGTTCGCGGTTTTGGACGCGCCGGACGCCGAGCCACAGCTCCCGCCTCGCCTCCCATGCAGGTGCCGATATGTTTTGCTTGGTTGGTTTCTTTTTGTAGACAGGCTCTTAAAAGGGTTGAGGAGTGTTCATTTTTCCCAAAATCCTTCCAAAGAGCCAATAAGTTAGAGGTTGAGGCGAGCCCGGGGCTCTCAAAACATCTGCGGTTTAGGGACATTTTGGGGTGTAGGATGTCAACACATCAGTTCTCACGGCCTTCATATATATCGGGATGGTGAGCCTTCCATCTCCCTTGCCAAAAGTAGCCATGAATGGTTCAAAACTGAAATAGTTTGGCATTGAGAAGTATTCCGAGGGCTGCACCTGGGACTTTAGGCGGAATGGGAACAAGCACAAGAATACAGCAGCTAAGAGGTACTTGCGCCCCTACATTCTGCAAATGCCCCTGCAGTCGGGGGTTCTAGGATTCGGGACGAACCCCAACAACCAAGAAGCCTTGCTGAAGCCCCCCGGCGTAGGCCATGGACTCTCTGCCAAGTGCCGGCCCGCTTGGGGCAGATGCACTGCAGCCAGGATCCCCAGGATTCGATTCCCTCACCTCAGAAGCCCTTAAAAGCCTCACCTGAGCCCTCAAAGTACCCCTTACATAGACAAAAGAGAGATCTTAGTACAAACCCCAAGCCGTCTGCTGAATCGTTTTCTTGTTATATTTCGTTGGACTTCATGAGAAGAAATCTGCATGACGCCCAAGGCCGTGCACGGCCCGCCTGGTGGTGAAGAATTCCTTCTTGGAGCCTGGGTCTTTGTCGACTTAGAAGCCCCACCAAAGGTGTCTCTACTTGAAAGGAGTTCGGACGGTGCAGGGCCTGGATCCCACCATAGGGGTCTTGCTCCAAATGATGGGCCACCTGAGCTATGGGGAATGTACTATCATAAACATGCCAGAAGCCCCCCTTGATGCGCTTGGACTTCGGAGTTAGCCCCAGCTGCTGGGGGCCAGAACTCCAACCGCTCGAAAGCCGCATATGCTTGTGCAGTCGAGCATTGTCATGCTTTCATGCGGGTGTCTGGTTCAAAGCTCAGCCTCGAAACCTGAACCAACCCCAAAATCCGTCAGCCGAAGACCGAAGCACCGGGAAGAACCCTTCAGCTCGAAAACGAATCACCCGAAACATGGAAAAAATCATATTCGGAAAATGGGGAAACCCGAGAAACAATCGAAACAATCACTGATGAACTTGGTTTTTCGCGCTGAGATAGCGTGATCGATTTTTGAGCCCCATGGGCTGCGTGGACCGCGGCGACCTCTTCGGAGACCTCCAGATGTCCCAGATCTCAGAGGATGAGTTGGATGTCGCCGGCTTGGGCTTGGGCGTTGCTGGTCTGGAGGGAAGTGGTTCAGATTGCTCAGATGTTTCGGGAGAGGGGGCATTTGGGTCCGAGCTTTTCGAGGAAGAAGAGTCGGAGTCGGAGGGCTGCAGTTCCGGGGATGGTTTGCAGATTGGGATGGTTTCAGATGGACCAGGGCCTGCGTTTCCGGAAGCCCTTCACCTGGCCCGCCGCCGGAATTCCTTCGACTGCGGCTACGACGAAGACGGCTCCTTGAGCGAGTTTTTGGGGACCTGCCGGGCCTCGGCGCCTGGGCGGGGCAGGATCCTTCGAAGGCAGCTGCGACAGCAGCTGCGAGAGCAGGCTTCCGGCGTGCTGAACCTGGAGATCGACTCAGGCGACCGAAGCGTCTTTTCCTTCCATGGCCTGGCTCAGGGGTTTCCCAACTTGAGGCAGTTGTTGTACAAGACCACGGACTGCCTCCGCGTCATCTACGATTTGCGCGGCTTCGGCTCCTGCCGGAACCTTCGGAGCCTAAAGCTGCAGCTCTCCTTCCAGACCATGTGTGAGGAGGAGCCGGCCCGGTGTGGGGTCACCGCTCTGAAGCCTTTGGCAGAAACCTTGGAGGTCTTGGAGATTGGGCGGCTGCGCTTCAACGTGGCTGAGGATCTCGAGGTGCTTCAGAGCTTCCGCCAGCTGAAGGTGTTGAAGTACGAGGGTGTCAACGAGGGTAGCAGTGAGAGCAGCAACGACGCCCCAGGCTCCATCCTGGATCTCCGACAACTCAGCGCCCTGCAGGAGCTGGAGTTCACCGAAACCTCTTTCACAGCGCCTCGCGAAACCGGCCAGGGCACCGCCGCAAGTGAAGAGGACAGCTCGGATGATGAGTGCTGGATGTGTCCCAGGCCCTCGTTGCAGGTGCTGATGCTGCCAGAACATCTCAAGAGCGTCACCTTCAAGCATCAGTACGGCTCCCGCATCACGCCTGCCTTGCGCCGGCTCCTGCGGCAGCATGGGTGCTCTTGCCAGGAGTTCGTGCCAGAGGACATGGTGGGGAGGGGCACTCTGAACTTCGTGGGCGGCTTCAAGCCTCAGACCGGAGCGCAAATCGAAGCGAAGGAGGAGGCTGAGAAGGAAAAGCGGCGGCTTCGCAAAGAGGAGCTCAGGGCAAAGCAGGATCAAGCCCGGGCCATGGCCTTCGCGCAGGTGCCGGGGCTCTTGCCCTCCAGCGACACGGGCTTCGAGAAGGGCGAGGAGGTCTACATCTTTGAGGAGGGCTCCTTCCGGCAGGGCACAGTGGAGAGGAAACCCAAGAAGAGCACCAGCTCCGTCTGGGTGCAGCCGAAGTATCCGGGTCGCCGAGGCTTCGGCTTTCAAGGGCTTCAACCCTTCAACCCAATGAGCATCCTTCATCCCAGCTGCGTGTTCCGGGAGCTTCCCGTGCTCGATTCCCTGCAGCTCTGCGGCGGAGGCGAAACTCAGGCGTGCGGGTCCAAAGGTCAGCAGCGGCCAACATCCTTAAACTCATCCTTCACCATCCCGAGCTAACCTCGACCATCTCCAGCCCCCAATGACAGTTTCTCCACAGAACTTGCCAAGGTGTGGCGGCACAAGCCGAGCATGGGACCACCTCCTGCGAAGCGCCGCCGCTGCGAAGCGAGCGAGCCGACCGAAACGAGCAGAATGGCGATCTGCGAGACCTGTGGGAAGCAGCTGAGATCTGTGCAGGGCCTGAAGCAGCACAGGAGGGACAAGCATGGAGAGGTGCTGGGGATCTGAGCTCATCTAGGTGAACTTCCTTGATGAGAACCGGGTGCTTGGGGAGAAAAGGAAGGCTCGTGAAGCTCATGAATCCCCAAACCCACAACAAACCCAAAACTTTCTCAACCCTAAAAACCCCAAACCTTGATCTCAAAACCCAAGCCCCAAATTCGACAAAATTCTCGGTTCGGCACCCCAGAACCCATGGAGAGTCCGAGGGTTCACAACCCAGTCTGGGGCGCATGAGCGCATGCTCTGAAGCCTCCGCTTGCGCCAAGGCTAGTAGAGAGCTCCCCGAAGCTGCGAGCTCGCCGCGCCCCTCGGCCCAAAGACCTGGGGGCGTCCTCCTGGCCTCTGTTGCTACTTGGGATGCCGGGATCGGAGTTTTGCGGTTCAGGATTTCGATGTCTGTCGCCCCCTCACAGGTCCACGAGGGCACAAAGAGTGAATCCGACCTCCCGCATCTTCATGCCAGGTGCTCGGAGGTTCGCGTTTTGGGTTTCCAAGGAGCAGTTCAGCCCTCCCAAATTCCACCTCAACCCAACTTAGAACATTCGTAAGCGTAGACTGGGATGTGTTGATTTCGGAACCCTTTTTTCGGTACCATCTCTGACGGACCTTATGCAAAACAAGTCGAACGGACGCTTCAGAACAACCCTCACACAGACCCCCTCTGAGAATCACAAAAGAAAGGGCTTGACACGCTTTGTCTGAAAGTCACAGTCTATTTTGGGAGACCGCCAGAACCCTGCCAAGACCCCCAAACTCCAACGTGAAGAACACACGGTCGCCAAGATTCCCTGTGAGCCCTACTACGAGCTTCCACATCAGCCGAGCGGGTGGGGACCTCGGACGTGGTCGTAGAGCGTCTAGGGGTTTTAGTTTCGGGGTTCTACGTGTTGAGGGTTGCCCAGCACCCTAGCCCCGAATACAATAATTAGGGGCATCAGGGATTCAGGGACCTTCAGCAGAAGGATTCAAAGACCCTCAGGCGAAAACCTTTAGCCCCGAAACCTGATCGCGCTCCAATGGCTTCCCGATTATAGCCGCCTCTTCGTGCTCAGACGCCCCATCGCCCCATCCCCGATTTCGGATCGCCATGGCCCTGCCAATGAAGACGGCCATGAAGAAGGCATGGGAGGGTCAGTGCACCCTGGAGTCTACAGGTCTTGAGCCTCAACCCTTCACAACCCCTATAAACCCAAGACGGAATTCTGAAGCCGAACCCGCGAGCCCATAAGGCCCAAAGCCCTCCGAAGCCCAGCGCAGCGAAGGCCAGCGCCATGAAGGCCAGCGCCATGAAGTCCAAGGCCATGAAGGCCTCGGAGGGTTCAGGGCCTCGGAGTCATTGCACAAGCAACAACAACAGCGCCACACAGGCCGCAAGCCTCGACGCTGAGCCCGAAACAGAGACTGAGGGTTTCATTGAGGGTTTCATATGGCCTTCTCAGGCCATGAAGAAGAAGGCCATCAGCACCATCGCACGGGGCAAGCGGGCGAAGGTGGCCGTCTTCAAGGGCAGCAAGGAGAGCCCTGAGGAGGGTTCCGGTTGTTACCGTAGGTTTTGGGTTCTAAGAGGGAGATGTTGGGAGTCAGGGTTGAGAGTTCTACTGTACCGTCCAAGACCTCTTTGCTCATGGGTGGGCAATGCCGGCTGCTGCATGCAGGGTTTGTATGGCACGGGTCGTGGGATGGGTTCCGGCCAAGCCGGTTCGCGCGAGGAGAAGACCTCCACGGGCCTCCACAAGACCGACCTGATGAAGAACAAGAGCGGCCGGGTTGTGACCAAGAAGCAGCACGCCAAGGGGAAGGCCCTGTTCCAGCAGTTCGCCAAGAAATGGCTTGAGGCCTGCATGCAGGCTAGGAAGGAGCTTGGCCTGAAGGGATTCTGTGCGATTGGCGGCAAGAGCGCCCAGGGGAAGGCGCTCTATGCCAAGGCAAAGGCGATTCACGCGGCGTGAGGGCTTCAAGCTCTGCCGCTTGAGGGGTCCTTGCTTTCGTGGTAGTTCATGGAGCAGGGACGACCCCGGGTGTTCCCACATCTGACTGTACAGATGCTCCAGATGCTGTTGTGCGGTGGGGTGCGGCGAAGCTTTTCTCAGAGCCGCCGTGCGCAAACCTGCCTCAGCTACCCGGTGAAAACACGCAGCCTTCCAAACGTTCGCTTCGTCCAGTTGTTTCTGCCACCCCTACAAAGGGTACAATTTTAGTTAAAAACCTAGAAAAGGCTGAGCGATGACGACACCGACGTCGAAAGCGGCCGCGGCCCCGCATTCTACCACCTTCCGTGGAACCTCTTGGCATGTCATGCCCCTCCCTGTTTACCAAGTAATCAGTATCCCGGTATCCCATTTTTGGTAGAGGGTTTGAGGGTGTTGAAGTTTTGGGGTTGTTTAAGTTGGGGATTGAGGGCTTTAGGGCTGTCTTGGAGGTTGTTAAGTATTGGGGGCAGCGCTGAACTCAGACTCCTTAAAGCTTACAGCCGTAGACGCTTCTGTCAGGCTCCTCCCCAGACTACGAAGGGGAAGAGGTGGCTCAGGGGGTGGGAGGGTTGCTGTTTCAGGGTGTGGGGTGTAGATGGATGCAGGGTTCAGGGCTCGGGGTTCGGAGGTTCTTCAGGAATTGAGGGTTTCAGGGTCTGACAGCTGGGAGAAAGAGCACCTTAGGCAACCACAACCTCCTCCTGACCCTCTTCATTCGGCCCTTTCAGCCATAGGCTCCTCGAGAAGTGCCCGGCTCCTGCCCCTTTAACAGTCTTTCGGCAGGACTGGGATGCCGAGGCTGGCTTCGGCAATGGGCAGGCCACGTGTACCGGGGGCGCAACGGGACGCCCCCAAACGAAGCCCACGTGCGTCTCCCTCACACACTGTGTCAGGAGAGCCGTGGCAAGGCTACTCCCACGAAAGAGTGCCCCAAGGCTCGCGCTGCAATCTCCGGAGCCCAGGAGGTTCGGGTTTTTGCCCTTCAGGGTTCGGGCCGGGTTTTTGTTGTTATGGGATTCCGAAGCACGAAGCCAAATCTAAAGCCTCGAGGCTTCAAGGCCCTAAAACGCAAGCCCTTAACCCCAAACCTCGGGCGAACCGTACTATGAAGCTCCCTAAACCCTCAAGTCCTTTGTGGCTTAGATACCTCTTGTGGAAGGGCTGTGTCGGGGTTTGAGGGGTCTGTTTTGGGGTCCAACCCCACATGCTACCGAAGCCTTGAAACCCTCAACCCTGAACCCCAAACTGCAACTAAAACCCGCAACCCTCACCCTCCAGGTCGAGATTCCGCTGCCCCCTGTATCTCCGAGCGCCGCGACCTCACAGTTGAACCTTCACCCTCAAGCGCCCCAAAGACGATTTCTTCTCCATCTGGTTCATCAGCCCTATCTTACCTAACCCTATGTCCAAACCCCCAACCTCCTAGATTCCTGACGCCGAAGCTGGTATCGCTTTGCATGTTTGGCCGAAGCTGCACGCGACGAACGCTAAGCGTCGGTTTGGTGCCTCAACCCTCTCCCTGAACACAACCCTAAGCCCTAAGGCCTAAACCCTAAATCCTAAACCCTAAATCCAAGACCCAAAATCCGAACCCTAAACCCTCAACCCTGAACCCTAACTAGGGCCTCGGAGGCCTTTGGAGGGATAGCCCAACTCTAAACCCTCAGAGCCCAAGATGCAGGAACCTCTCTACCTGAAGGGAACACAATTGGTTCTTGTAAAATGCTCCGGCGGCTGTGCCTGGGTGCTGCGCATGGCGCCGCCCAGAGCTCCGCGCCGCTGCAAGGAAGTTCCGCGGGTCTCGGGGGCGTTCCAGGGTTTTTTTAGGGGTTTGGGGGAGCTGGAGGCCTTCAAGGCCACACGGGGTTTCGGGTTTAGCATTAGAAGGCTTCCTGTCAAGTCAGTGTCGGCCTGCCCCTGCAGGTTTGCCGACTGCCCGCAGTGCTGCCGCACTGGCGGCTGGGGCGCTGCTGTCGTTAGTGGTGGGCTCTTCGGGCAGCTGCAGGTATCCTTGATAAAATTGTGTGGTTCCCAGAGTGGGGAAGTGGGCTCCGTGTCTGTGCTCTTTGGGGCTTTGCTCATGCGATCCAAATCATCAGCCCAATGGCCCAATGGCTTATGCGATCATGCTCCCGTCCCAAGAGCCACTTGACGTTGGTCCTCAAGCCTTTCAACCCCCACATCCTAAGCCGAAGCCTGAACACTGAAGCCTACAGGCAGCTGCGCTGCTCAACCGCACCGGAAGCAGGCCCTGTAGTTTCGGATTAGGCCGACGCGAGCTCCCAGTCGCTGCATTCCGGCGTTCCTGACAGCATCCATGCGCAGTTCGCCGTGCACGGGCAGCGGCACGCGCAAGCTATTTTAGAACGGGGCGCGTGGTCAAGATGGCAGGGACAGCGAGAAGGAGCGGTGATGGGAGGACCTGCAGGCTCTACACGTCTTCAGGCCAGCTGGGGAGCTCGAGAGGGTTTCGTTTTGGGCTGGTACGCCCTGCAGGATCCCAGACCTCAATTCCCCTCAGCCAAGTGTCAGCAATGCAAATGGTTCCATATGCTTGCTGGATACCGAAACCCTCCAAGAGCCCCTTAAAGCCTGAAGTGTGAAACCGGCGCTGCTTCTGCAGGGCCGCCTGGGCTGCGCGTGGCTGCCTTCTTAGCGGCCTTGGATCGTGCAAGGCCGCTGCCCCTGGGCGTTTCTCAGGGTTTTGTGTGAGGAGGCACGCGAATACACCCTAAGCTCAGTGTATGTAGGGGTTTGTTGAACTCTACCTAAACCCTACCGAGCTCGATGCAGCGAACTTGCTGATAGTTCAGTCCGCCGGGCATTCTTGGCCCGCTGCGCAGCGTTTTAAAGAGTTTTTGTGCCTGTATGATGCCGCGTGTGTCCTGGCCAGGCCTATCCCAGTCCGTTTCAGTTCTTTTGGGCCATCAGTTCTCTACGATGTTCTACGTCAAGATTCCTAAGCTCTCTACTCGCCTATCAATCTTCAGCAAGGGCGAGGAGCGAGCATCGACCTCCGGGATCGTTGCAGCTCGGCCCCAAAGGGAGAGAAAGATGAGAAAGAGCAGAAACCCTCTTTCAACCCGCAAGCCCTATGTTGCCGTGAGGACTTGGTTTTTCAGTATGCCCCCCATACCACCTAGGATGGCAGGGGACTTGAGGGCTCACTTCCGGAGCGTTTACGGGTGAGGGTTTTATGCTTGGGGTTCGCCAAAGCCCTGGCCTGATCTCTGAACTTCCCTAAGCCCTGAACTTCCCAAAGCTTCTGGACCCCTGAGCCCTACGGAGAGGTCTCCAAGATCAGAGTTTGAGGCTCTTAGCTCTCAGCCCTCAACTCACCCCCACGCCCTCAACTCGGCTCTGAAAGGTGCCTGCTTTTGGTTTTGGACCTATTGGGCTCAGGGCCCCGGGTTCAGGGAATTCGAACACCCACACCTACTGCGCCTAGTTTCGCACGTGTTTGCAAATTTCGAGACCCTGACCCAGACAGACGCGAGCAGGAGTGGCGTCTGCCAGGATGTCTGGCTGCTCCTGGACTTCGTAGACTTCGCCGAGGCGTCTTGGGTGGGTGGAGTTGTGGGCTTGTGTGATTATGGCCGCCTACAGGTTGGTTCGTGCCAGATTCGGGGCTCTTCTTTTGCAGGTTTTCCAGACACCCCAAACCTAAAGACCCTGAACGCTTCCCTGAGCCTTTGCAGCCGCAAGGAGACCTGGGCCACGGCGCTGCGGTCACTGCCAGCCGGTGTGCAGCACCTCGAGGACCTCGAGGAGGCTTCGAACGTCGGGTCTGCGGCGGGTACGCGGCCAATCTGGGAGTTTTTGGGAGCGGTTTGATGAGTTTGGGCGGCTGGGGGGGGGGGGGGAAAGGGCTTGTCTGGGTGTCTAGGGCTTAAGAGTTCCCCCTCCTGCAGCAGGCTCTGGGGGCACGTGCGGCGGAGCTTTTCGAGCATTTCGTGGAGTCGGCGCGGGATGGAGCTGCAGGCGACCGAAGCCCGCTTTCTTTAGGCCTCGAAAAGGGAAGCTGCATCCCCGAATCCTTGGGGCCTTAGTTTAGGTGATGTGCAATGGATGTGTTTTTTCTTGCACGGTCTTGTCTTATCTTATGAATCATGAAGGATGCATGTCACGTTTTGCAGTTTAAGTACAGCCATGTACAGCCACTGCGCTTGAGTTCCTGTTGTAAACATATTGTGGGTGTTCGTCTTCCTCTATACTATCCTGTTGAGCTGATAAGACTTAACACCCTAAACAACCCCAGGCAGCCCTAAGGCCCAACACCATAAGCAGACCCAAGCCCTGCGTCCCTAGGCCGGGTCCTATTCTCTGCGACTGAGCGAACCCATATTGCCTGTCGCAGGCTTCGGGGCATCGGCTGCCCGGAACAGCCTGGCGCAGGACTAGCCGCCAAAACCTTCTAAAACCCCACACTAAGCCGCAACACGCACCACACCTGAACCATGAATCGTGGTTTCTTGGAGGTCAATTTTGGTCAATTTTGGTCCTTAGGAGGCTCTTCTTGCGGCTTAGTTGCCGGGCAGAACTCTAAGTTAACTGCCGCCATGTCGGAAAGTTACAGGAAGCCCCGAAACAGACTGAACTTAAAACCCATCTTTGAGGACTATTCCTTCGCCCTGCTGGGGCGGCGAGAGGCGCGCGCCGTGGCACGGGTGCTGCGCGAGCGCGGCGTCCATGTGGTGGTGGACCCCATGGCCGGCACGGGTCTGAAGCTCAGTTGCAGCTTTAGGTTCCATAGGTTCCCCTAAGCCCTAAACCCTATAGACCCTAAACCCTAAGCCCCCTCTGCCCCAAAGGCCCCCCGAAGCCAGGCATGCGCGGCTCCTGTCGGATGAGGGCCTCGGGGTGGTCGCCTCGGACGCCCGGCCCGGCACCCCCCGCCGCCTGGCTTCGATAGAGTCGCCGAGAGCCGACACTTGGGGGATGTTTTGGGGAGCTTCAGCGTTTTGGGAGGTTGGGGATGTTTATTGGGGGAGGTTCTTAAGGGCCTTGAAGTGCTGTTGCAGGCTCTTTCGGGGCTTTTTTCAGTTGCTTGAAGTTGGTTTGAAGTTGGTTTGGGTCTCTGGTTTATTGATGTGAAGGGCTTGGGGGGGCTAAGTGGCTCGGTCAGAAGGGATTGCATTCTGCCAATAGAAGGGACCCTCCCACATATCAATAGCCCAGTACGCATCCCAGACAGAGCGCGCCTGTAGGGCTACGACTGGCCCGAAACAGCCTGAACTTCTGCCCTCAAACAGAAACCCCTTGCGCCCGAAGCGCCGAGGTGGTCTTTGTTGGCACCCAGTGAGCCAGAGGCCTTCTGGCACGGGCGGAGTTGAGTTGGACCCTACGTGGGGGTTCAGGGCTCCAGGGCTCAGAGGTTCAAGGGCTTCAGAGTTAGGGGAAGTTTTGAGGGGTTAGACAGCCGAAGTTCGGCCATCGGCGGAAACCCAAAGCCGGAACCCCTCAACACGCGCCCTTTTTCACGTGGGCTCCCTCGAGGTTGCTGGAGGCCGCACCAGTCCCGGCGCCCGAGCACACCGGAAGCGCCCTGTTCTTGCCGCATTGATGCATTTTTGTTTTGGGACCCTGAGCCCTGCACCTGAAACCACCCCTCCTTCAGCCCTGATTACCCTCATAAAGCCGCCTCTAATGCCCCCTTCCCTCCCAAAAAGTAAGAAATGAAAGCAAAGCAAAGCTGAGAAAGCCAGGAGCTGGCCACCACGCAGTGAGGCCGCCACGGCCGCTCTGCGCTCCTTTGGCCGCGGCCTCGGCGAGGGGGTTTGTGTCTGAAAAAAAGTGGCCCTATAGTGGAGGGATTTGGATAGGTTTAGGAGCATTGCTTTTTGCTTGGTAGTGGCCAGGGGACAAGACCGTCACCACCGTAGGTGGCCCGATGTTGGTGGTGGTCGGCGACCGGGGGCAGTGGCACGGCTCTGCGGCCTTCCACCGCGCGCTGGAGGAGGGGATTTGGGGGTGTTAGGGGCTGCTGGCAACTCGTGCGGAGTTTGTATAGGGTCTCGTTTTCGAATTGAGGGGGACGGGGGTGTTGGGTGCCACCTACATGAGTTCAAACTTCCGACTTCCACCGCGAATCTCAGCGAAGCCCGTGAAATGTGTCGTGAGCATTTAAGTGGTGTTTGCTCACGCAGATCTTGAGCCAACGAAGGAGGACTGGGAGGTCGTCGCGGAGATGGACATTGTGACCTGGCCCCGGCTGCAGGACATGGGGGCACGACGCTGGCTTCATGCTTGGTTTTTTGCGGCATTCTACAGTAGTATTTTCCCAAGCCTTGAATAGCCTAAAGCCTAATGCAGCTGTCGTTGCTCTGGGGTTGTGGGTTTCGTAAAGGTGGCTTGCGGGCGACCATCTCGGAGAAGAGCGGTATGGTTCGGTTCACTCTTCTGGATTTGAGGACTTAGCACCGAGAAGGAACCGTCTGCCGTGTGTCGGGAAACTGCACTTGTAGGCGAGAAAGCGCAGGATGAGGTGTATCTGCTGGGTGCCTAGAGAGTCCGACGAGGGTTTCGGTTTAGTCGTGCTTGCTGGCATGAAACAACGAGGGGCTTGAAGGACTTGCCTTTCGGCCTCTGGTTTCTGGAAGCTTCGAAATTTTATCCGGGCCTGGGACAAGTCATGCTACGAAGCCTCGATCCAGAATCTGACCCCAAAACGAACCATAAAAACAAAACACATGTACGCATATGGAACATAACCCCTAAAAATCCTAAAGAGCCCTAAGCTGTAACCAACCCCTCCGCACAAATCGGAAGCCGGTGCAGGGTAGCTCGTGCTCTCAACCTCCAGGGCCTTTGTGTTCTAGGGAACTGGGGAATGGGGCCCCTTGAAAACAGCCTTTGAGAGGGGTTATGTCGGGGATGTAAGGTTCTAGGTTTCGAGGTTCAGGGTTCGAAGGTTCTAGGTTTCGTAGTGCGTCAAGGGTTCCAGCATTTTTTGGCGTTTGTTTGGTTTAGGGGGAAATCTTTGAAGACACGCGACTCGAAGTCGATGCCAGAGATGGGTCCCTCAAGTTCGGAAAATGGGCAAACGAAGACAAGTGAAACCACGCCAAAAAACATCCACTCTAAGATTTGTCAAGCGCATAGGAAATGAAAAATCTGGCAAACATCGAGTGAAATCGGGTGCAGCCCTTACAAATTGTGCACCTGTAATGGCGAGAATCACATTGGCAAACGTGTGAAATCAGAAGGAGATGATGTCTTCATAGGCGTTGCTCAGCTGTACGGTCGTTGAGGATCTGCCATTTAAAGCTTCGGATTTTGGATGTTTCCTGCGTCGGGTTCTGGGTTTCTGTGTCGTTTTTTTGTTTGTTCTTTTTTCTTCGGGGTTTCGTCCCAGACCCAAAGACTAGAAGACCCTAGAGTTCTGAAGCTGTCATCCAGGACGACCTCCGCATCTTCCGCCGGGCGGAAAAGAGAGAATTTGGGAGTTCTCAAGATCAGGGTTAGGGTTCAGGGTTTTGGGTTAGCCTTTGTGATGTTCCATACTAACAGTCCTTAATAGGGATTTTCATGGGGGGGGGTACTATAACCCCTATAAGGGGAAACATCCCAAGTTACCCTACTTGTAAGGGGCTGCGTGCGAGGGACACAAGAAGGGACAAGTTCTAGAGAACCTTGCAGTTGGGAGAGTGGGCGGCTCAAGAGCCTAGAGCCTGTCTGGCATGTTTGAGGTCTGCTTGGAGGAGCTTTGTAAACCCTCAGCCAAACCAGCCCCAAACCTGACCAAACCCCAAATGGTCGCAAGAGGGATCAAAGGCTTCCGGTGCATGGCGAGAGGAAAGCACATGGGGCCTCGAAAGGGAGGTCTGGGCTGAGAAGCCTTGGTTCAGGCTGATTCGGAGATATTTTTCGCGAGCTTTTGTGAGCTGGGACACTAGCAGCTCCTTTGCGGTTGAAGGCTTCAAGGTGCAAGAATCTGCTAAACCCCTAAACCCTAAACCCTATACCCCAAACCCTAAACCTTGGACCCAGAACGGGGCCTGTTTCGGGGCAAAGGCCCTGGAAGCGTTGCCGGCGCTGTCGGCTGCAGCAGCTGCAGCGGCCTTTGATGCTGCAGGCAAGCCCGCAGTGCCAAGGGTTAGGCGCAGGGCTTTGATTCTTCTTCTTCTTCTTCTTATTCATTGTTATGTTAGTATTACACATTACATATTATTCATTATTTACTATATGTTGGATTATATTTGTTTTCCTGAGGCCTCTTGCGGGATTCGCGGGTGGTACGGGGGTGGGCGATGAGGACTAGCACATGGGGGTCTAAAACCGTCATCATTTGCCATTATTGTTGTTCATGTTCGTTTTCATCATCATCATCATCATCATCATCATCATCATCATCATCATCGTCATCAATACTCGTCCTCCTCATCATTATCAGTAGTAAAGGTGAAATCCTTCTCGGGTCAGTCTGTTGTAGTGCTCGATGGTAAGCAGTGCTGCAGGTTGTCTAGGTAAGCCCTTGGCTCTTTTGCGTTTTCCCTTTTTGGGTTTAAACATTCAGAGGGTGTTAAAGGGCCAATAACCGAGATGCTAGACCCGAAAACGCCCAATAACCCCCAAAAAAGGCCCAAACTCCTAAACCAACCCCTCAAGACCCGCCGAAGCCCCACAACCCTCGGAGGCATCCAGCCTGAAGTGCTGCAAAGCCTGCTCAAGGAACATCAACGTGACTCGCCTCATCTGCGAGTCACTTAGGGTTGAGGGTTCGCTGGCTTCATGGCCTAAAGACGGAAGGCAGCACTGTTCCCGAGAAGTCCCAGAGAACCCAAACCTCTCCCTTCAAAAGTGGATTTCGGGGTTGAGGCTTGGCCACGCTTCTCTCTCGGCACCCCTAAGCCTAGCCCCGAATCGATCGATTTCATAGCTAAAGTCGTCGGTCGTGTAGTCTCATGTCATCAGAAGCCGTCGGGCCGTCGGGTGGCACGGGGCCCACCAGGCTTAGAAAGCCCGAAAAAACCCCGGCCACAGCCCTGAAACCCCAAAAGCTCCCAAAAGGCCCAAAGGCCCTTTGAGATGAGTGATGTAAGGCTTCGCGGGCGCCGTGGCCACGGAGGTACCAGCACCGTCAGGCCTGAGGTTTCAGGGGCTCATGGTCGTGGGCTCCAGGGTTGAAGGAGGATGTGGGGTGCCTTGCTTTGCTGGCCCAGGGACTTGTAGTGGAGCGGGTGTCGGGGGGTTATGAACAGAAGGGATCCAAGCCTGTTAAGGCTCTCAATCCCGCATGCTCCATTCCTTTCAGCATGGGCTGGAGGTGCTAATTCTCTCGATAGGTCCCATTGTAGATCCATTGCTACTTTAGGCGTTCTCGAAAAATTCAGGGCCTGGTACCAATCCAGGATCAGCTTTCACAGAGTTTGGAAGTGCTGGCCCAACGCTCCCTTCCCGGACCCTTCTCTCCAGACAGTTCAAGCTGCTGATGCAGTCCACGTAGTTTTCTCCCCAAGTTATGCGTACCACATCAAGTTCACCAAATCCGCGTCTAGAGGGCATCCACCGCCGTACTGTTATGAATTGGTCACCGAAGACAAAGTCCGCCCAACGCCTGACGACTGCGCCACCGGCCAACGCTCGCTCCAGACCTTTGGTCTTCTGATTCAAAGTGCTGCTGGCAGCGCATGGCGATAACATGCGATAACCAAAGTGCAAAAGGCTCTCTAGCAAATCCTCACTCTCGGAGGGCACGTCAAAGAACCGAAGCCATGATCAACCCCCACGCCTGCACGTCCCTGCTTTCTAAGCTTTGTGCCCCAAGCCTCCCCAAGCCTTATAGCCGTAAACCCTAAACCCTAAACCCTAACCCTCAACCCCCAACTCTAAACCCTGCACCCTAAACCCTAGACCCTAGACTCTCAACTCTATCAACCCTACACCCAATGAGCTTTCGCATGGCAAGGCCCGGTTGGCCCAAACGCGGCCCCGCCGCTCGTGATCTCCGTGTCTGAGGCCCTTGCATCCACGGAGGCACCGCGGCTTAGGTTTTTTCTTTGATTTTCTAGTCATGTTTGGGGGCTTTGGGCTTTGTTTTGATTTTCAAGTCACGTTTGGGGGGTTTGGGGTTTGGGGCCTTGGGGCTTTGAGGGAGGCTTTAGGCTTGAGTTGCATGAGCGTTTCGGTTTTCAACCCAAGCCCGGAGCCCGCAGTCCAAGGGTATGCTTAAGTGCACGCTCTTCACAACAGCAATAAGAGTATTGCTACTCAGAACCCTACGATTCGTCATGATATCAGCAAATAAAGTCAAAGTCGTAAGAACAAGGTTTTGGGGGCATTAGAGAGCAAGTAGGTCTTGAGCACCGTGGGCGGATCCTATGATGGGTCTCCATCATGCCCCCTTCTTGGCACGCACGTAGCGTGAGGTGTGGCCAGGCTTGCAGTGGCTTGTCATTGAATTTGAGGTTTGTTTGAACTCTAATTGTGAGCTGCTGTAAGTTGTATATCATAATGCGGACCCAAAAAGTCCTGCAATCGGTTGGTTTCCAGTAGGGGGGCCGTGTTTTTTCTCATGACTAGTACTGCATGGGGACCTAAGTGGATCAATGGTTGTAGTTTGCCCATCTTTTTTTCAAACTTTTGGTTGACCTAATGGCCTGATGACCTAATGGACGCGATTTCCAAAGTCGGTCATTCTGGTTACACACACACACACACACACACACACACACACACACACACACACACACACACACACACACACGCAACACATGGGGGTTGTATCTTCGCAGGGACCACAGGCCGCAATTCAGCGATCCTGGGAATATTTTTGTTGCCGGAACCCATGCCACGGTACGTTACCAGCAGCACGTTCAGAGCACAAAGTTCGTTGGCCCGTTTTTCCAGGTGTGAAAACAAAGCTTCTTGATACCTGACTGTGCAATTGGTTTTGATTCTGCCTCTACTCCGGGGGTTTGCTTGCCAGGAGAGCGGTGTGGCGACACCAAAGACAAAGACCACGGTGTGGCAGCCAAGACCCAGCGAGCTTCGGGAGCCCCCACGACAAGATCCTGCTACCCCAAAGGACTTTGTTGTTTTGAAAACGCAGGCTTGCAAAACCTGAGCTTTCTCCCCTAGGCCCTAAGCCCAAGTACTATTATGGCTCAAGAGGTACAAGAAGACGCAGGGTTAAGAGACTTCAGGGAGCCGCTGCCTCTGGGCGCCGGTGCGCGCAGCTGAGGGGCGTCCCGGTGCTGGTCCTGGGCGCCGCGTGCGCAGCTGGGGGTCACCTCCATCCTCTCGCCGCCATTGTGCTGGCATCCGGTTCCTCTCGTGGGGAATCCGTCCTGTCCCCCGGTTGAGACAGTCCGGCTCTGCCTGTCGTCCGAGCGCGCCTCTGCGTCTGCGCGTTTGGCTCCCCATCAGCCTGTGTCCAACGCTCGCCACACAGCATTGGGGCGCTGCCTCTGGGCGCCGGTGCGCGCAGCTGAGGGGCGTTCTTCTGGTGCTGCTCCTGGGCGCCGTGCGCGCAGCTGGAGGGCATCGCCGCCACTGCTGGCATCTGGTTCCTCCCCTGGCTCCCAGTCATGGCCCCCTCTCCTGGGCCCATACTAACTGCCCTGCTGCACCTACTCGCCACACTGAGTGCCTTACTCGTCCCAACCCTGCCTGAGTCCACTGCGGCCCTGCACGCTTTGAACCGGCATGAGCGGCGAGCCCTGACGGCCGTCCTCAACCACACACCCATTCGCCCAGCAACCGTGTGGGACCCCCTGCGAGGATTTCAGTCCCCTGCCCGCATCTCCTGGCGTCGGCCCGCCCGGCGGTTGTTTGACAAACAGCGTCGCACATGGTGTCGCCAGTCGCGCCGCTGGACTGGCTGGCCTTACCGCGGCCAGCGAATTGGGGAAGCGCTCCACCCGGGTCCTGATGCGCCTGCGAGGGAGCGGTCGCCCGCCCGCGCTGACCGCCCCAGCCTTGTTTTCTGCCCTGTGCCCGGCTGCCCATCGGGCGATGCCTCCAATGCTCGCGGCTGGAAGTCGCATGCCTCCATGCGCCCTCACCTGGATGCTCATGCTGCAGGGACCCTGGCTGGCGCTGTGCCCAGTGGTTATTGCCGCACACATGGCCTGGACCATTGCTCCGTTTGCGGGATGCTTGTTGCGGCACGCTACAATGGCACTCATTGCCGTTGCCGGCCGGCTGCTCGGGAGGCTGTGCTGCCGCCGCCGGCTGCACCCCTTGCCCCTGCCAATGGCCGTGATACCTTGCCTGACCTTGCCACCATTTTCTCTGCTGACATCCCTGTCCTGCGCCATGTGCCCAAAGCCGCCCGGGGCGTGTGGGCCCAGTGTTTGGCCCGGGCTCTGAGCCACCAGCTCCCTCCTCGCTTGGCGCGAACTCCTCATGCTCCCAAAGGCCGTCCTCCAGCCTGCCCCACGAGGAGGCGCTCGGCGCCGTGACCAGGCAGCCCGCTTCACCCAGCGCTGCTGTTCCAGGTGGCTGGAAGGAGAACGTGAGGAGCTTTGGCACGCTGCCCCTGCTCGGCGGCGCAGGGAACCCCTTGAGGAGGAGGATGCGGCTTCGGCCCTTGCCCGCAGACATGCTCGTTGTGTTGCTCTTGCAGGTGAGGGCGACCTTTCCCGTGCCTGCGCGGCTCTCTTGGATCCCCCGCCGCTCGCAAATTCGGCCGAGGTCACTGCTGCGCTCCGGGACAAACACCCGCGAGCCTCCCCAGCCCGTCCCAGTTTGCAGTCTTTGGGAGCCCCGTCCAAGGTGGATGTGCCAGAAATCTCTTTAGAAACTGTGGTAAAGGCAGCCCGGGGCTTCAAGCGCGGCAGCGCCCCTGGCCCGACTGGTCTTCGAGGGGATCACATCCGAGAGGCCTTGTCCTCGGTCCACTCCAACGAGGTTGCGGCGCACCTCACCGAAGTGGTCCGTCTCCTCGTACGGGGAGAGGCCCCCCTTGCACTCGCTCCCCACCTTGCAGGAGCCACCCTTCACGCTCTTCCCAAAGGGGCCGGTGACCTTCGGCCCATCGCTGTGGGCGAAACCTGGCGCCGCCTTGCCGGCAAGTGTCTCTGCAGCACATTGCGTGAGCCAGCCGCCCAGCACCTTTGGCCGCTCCAGGTTGGTGTGGCTGTGCCCCTCGGTGCGGAGGCTGCCATCCACACTGCCAGGCAGTGGATGCAGCGCAACACTGGTCATGTCGATAAGTGCTTTCTGCAGGTTGATTTCCGCAATGCCTTCAACACTGTTGATCGTGCTGCGATGCTTCGGCAGGTCCGCCTGCATATGCCGGGTCTCTCGCCATGGGCCGAGTGGTGCTACGACCACCATTCCCGGCTTCTCTTCCACCACTCCCCCCTCTCCTCGGAAGCTGGAGTCCAACAAGGCGACCCACTCGGCCCTCTCTTGTTTGCACTGGCCTTGCACCCGGCTCTCCAGGCCGCTGCGGCCGGCGGTTCGGGGCAGAAGCCTGAACTTGCCTTTGCTTTCCTGGATGACAGTTACCTTGCTGGCGGGTCCAAGCAGGTCGCTGCAGGCCTGGCCCGCCTTACCGCCGCCAGCCGCCAGGTTGGCCTGGAGCTCAACCCTAGCAAGTGTGTCCTTACCTACTGCGCCGGCGCGGACAGTGCTGTTGACAAGCGGGCCTTCCCGGACGGGGTGCAGGTCAGCCAGCACGGGGCTATGAACCTTCTTGGCGCTCCTATTGGGCCTGCGGCTTACACTGAAGCCTACACCCATGCCAAGCGCGTCGACAAGGCGAAGCCCCTCTTGGAAGCATTGAGTGAGCTCCCTGACCCGCAAACAGGGCTCTTGCTGCTGCGTCACTGTGCTGCCTTCAGCCGGATGGTTTTTGCCATGCGTGTCACGCCCCCACAGCTTCTTGGCGAGGCCGCAGTTGATTTTGATGCAGCTGTTCGTGCCTGCTTGGAACGCTTTTGCACGGGGCCTTTGCCTGCCGAAGCCTGGCTGCAAGCCTCCCTCTCCACGGCCGCCGGCGGGCTTGGCTTGCGGCACGTTGCCCGACACGCCGCTGCTGCCTACGTCGCCTCCCTCAGTGCTGCGCTGCCGCGCTGCTGTGGCTTGGACCCTGGCTACACCGCCGCCTGGCCACTCTTCGACGCTGCCACTGCCCTCCACAACCAGCTCGTGCTGCCCGCCGACCATGTCCCGGTCCCTGCGCCGCCTTCTACCCGACAACAATCGTTGTCGCAGGCGCTGGATCGCGCTGTGATCGAGCAGCTCCTTGTCCCCGGCGCCGGCCGTGAAGCCTTCCGTGCCAACCTGCAACTCCAACGGCAGCCGCATGCCGGGGCGTGGCTCCATGCTGCGCCTTGTGAGGCGCTCGGCCTTGACATTGCTCCGGCCCTGTTCCGCGTCCTCATCAAGCTCCGTCTTCGCCTCCCGGTCGCTGCAGCCGATGTGGCCTGCCCCCTCTGCGACGGAGTCGCTGACAGCTTTGGTGATCACGCGCTCAGCTGCCCCTGCGGCGGGGACCGGACCAAGCGACACAACCGCTTGCGCTCCGTGCTGGCGGCCCGTGCGCAAGCTGCTGGCCTTCATCCCGAGGTCGAAAGGCCCGGTCTTCTGCCGCCCCGGTCCGACCAGGATGGCCTGCCAGAAGATGCGCGGGACCGCAATGGCCGCCGTCCGGCGGACGTTTACCTTCCAAACTGGGGGGTCCATGGGCCCGTTGCCTTCGACCTTGCAGTCACCACTGGGCTGCGCTCGGGCAGTCTCCACACCTTGCTCTCGGACACTGACCGGCCTGTGACCGACTATGAAGCCCACAAACGCTCTCACCTGCAAACGCAGGAACTGTGCAGTGCCCAGGGCATCCAATTCGTCCCTTTGGTCGTCGAGAGCCGTGGGGGGTGGGGGCCTGCTGCCATCAAAACTTGGCGGACCCTCGCTGCGGCCACAGCGGCTTGCTCCGGGGAGGGTCTTGCCGCTGAAACCAAACGGCTGTATGAGACACTAGCCGTGGCACTGCAACGCGAGAATGCCCGAGCTGTGCTCCGCCGCCAGCCCGAGCCTGCACACGCGCCCGGGCCCGGGGCCCGGTTTGTGTCACCTTGATCCTTCTCGTCCTGGCCTCCGCTTGCGTCTGTCAAGCTCCCCCCTGCAGCTGATGGCGCTGCGATGCATGCTCACATCTGGTTGAGGCCTGTGCCCCGGGCGTCTCAACGTTGTGCCGCTTGCCAGACCATCAGCCATTCGGCCAATGCCCGGTGTGCAACAGCCTTCACTCTGCACCTGCCAGAAAGGAGCGCGGCATGACCTGAAGCATTCTTTGCTTGTAGGCTCGTTCCCGCATTGCCCTCAGAAGCAGGGATTCGTCGGGTTTTCGCCGCCCTCACAAGTAGCGGTAGGCTCGGCCCTAAGCCCAGCAAAGCTTCAGCAAAGCTTGGGGCCCTTGGACCCCCCCCCACCCCCCAACGACAAACGAAACGCTGCAAAAAGCACAGCAAGCAGAGATGGAGCACACGTTGAGCGTGTTTAGGGTCTTCCACGATGTTTTGGGGCTGACGGCATAGGGAACCAGCTCCCTCCCAAAAAGTGCTGAACCGGACCGGGGGGAGCCACGGCTTCTTGGAGCATTGCTGCCCAGGTCATGTTGCGCAACTTGCCGAACAATTACACGCCAGCGGCCAAGATGTTCGGAAAGAAAGAGAAGAACACGTGCAAGAGTTGAATCGAGCCGTTTACCCAAGCCTGCGCCTTGATCCCAAGGCGTTCTATGGTGCTGAACTTGCTGAATCAGGAGCGGAGCGGAAGGGCGCAGAAGGGCCGCGCGAGGGTGGGAGATTCGAAAGCAAACCCCCCGACAAAACCCATCCTCAAACCCAATGTCGTCTCTGAGCCCCCCCAGCCCCAAGCTTGGTTCAGTCTTGGATCCGAAGCCCAAATCCCTGGCGTGGCAGGAAGGCTTTAAGGGCAAGATCGACTTCCTGTATCTTCCAGTTGATTTTAGGCCACGGGTGGGGCCGTGGGCTTTCCTCCCCACCCCGGTTTGAGGTTTGGGGTTCACAAGGTTCACGGTTCAAGGGTCAGATCTTCAATGTGCACGCTTGCCCCATGTTCCGAACAACGAGTCCTGAACCCCAAAAGCCTCCGAAAAGCGCCCCGACCCCACAGCAAAGTGACCAAAGCCACTTGCAAACTGCCAAGGCCAAAAGGTTTCACTGTTCGGTTTGCATTGAGGAGTCCCCTCAAAAGCCCCTGAGACCCTCGAACTGATTGAAAACCCCTAAGACCCCTAAGGGCCCCCAAGGTGCCTAAAGGCCCCGAAGATCCCCCAAGACCCCCAAGACCCTTAAGACCCTGAAACCCGAAGCCAGGTCAAAGGCCGGCTTGGGTTACGCGTTCGTCAATCTGGTCGAGCCCTGTTTTGCTCCTGGGCTCCAGCTTGGTCCAGGCGAGGAGGCTTTTGAGGGCTTAGGGTTCGGTGTTGGGGCCCAGGGGTTGAGATTTTAAGTCAAGTGTTTTGGGGACTTGGCGGGGGTCGCGGCACGGAACGAAACCTTCACCCCGAACTGTGTAGGGCTCAGTTCTCTCAACTATGGGCCCAAAATTAAACCATGATTTCGGCCGTTGCCCATCCAAACTCTCAATCCCCTTCCTCCGACCGTGGAGGCGCAAATCCAAGGATGCTCGCTTCAGGGCTTTCGGGTGCGCAGAGGGCTTCCCCCCCCCCCCACCCTGAAATCCCACCAAAACGTTTGCTGTCTCGATGCTCATCAGTTTGCAGGACGAACACCTGAACCCTGAGTCCGAAAGCTCCACGTGACCTCCTGCGGGTTGAGTTGAGGTGAGGGGTTGAGGAATCTCGGGTCTAGGGCTCTCCAACATGTATACCTCCAACGTTGCTGAAACCCAAACCCCCAAAACAAACACCCAAAACCGGTAATCCTAAACTCTGCATCCGATTCCTGCCTCTGTCCTCTTGATGTGCCTCTTTCGGCGCCCAGGTGCCGCAATTTTGGAAGGCTTTTGACGGCTTTACGAAGTGGGTGCGCCTGCGTTCAGGGGGTCTTTGATGTTGGGCTTTATATGGTTTCTTAAACTCCACCTCATCCACACAAAAGGCCTTAAACCCTTAAAGCCTAAACCATGGCCCGCTCGGAGGTACTGCCTAGCTCCAAGGTTTGTCAAGTGCCGGGCTCGGCATGGTAGCAGCTTGGAAGGTTCATGGAGACTACTGGCATCCTCCCAGTAGGGGGTAGCGGGGTAGCCCTTCAAGTCAGCTGCTTGAAGTCGTTGATGCGTTCCTTGATCATGTTGCAGCAGGGCCGTTTCATCTTGCGTAATCGATGGCCCTTGGCAGGTCTGTGGTCCATAGGGCAGTAACGTCCTTCGAGACCTTGCACTAAGCTCATGCCATGGGGCAGTAATGTCCTTTGAGACCTTGCACCAAGGTCATGCTCCAAACCCCGAAGCTGTAGACACCTCACCCCCGAGAGCCCCCAAACCCTACACCCTTGTAACGCCTGAACCCTATACCGGCCAAAGCCGCTCCTGAGACGAGGTCAGTTGGAGTGGTCCTCACCAGGACCGGCCCCAACAAGTCCCAAATCCCAAGCCCCCTAAATTCGGGGTGGGGGGGAGCAGAGGGGCGAGGGTTCGGGGTTTTGGAGGTCTGAGCGGCGGTGTGTGGAAGCCCTGCTCAGGTGGGATGCCCCCTAAGCACTCAACACCCAGAAGTCCTGAACCTGAAATCCCCGAGACCTGCTGCCTCCAGGGCCAGCGCGCTCATGTCGACCGCTACAGAAGCAGCTCCTCGGGCTGAGCTTGGGAGGGGCTGCCATTTGGCCTTGGCCTTGAGAGCCCCTTCCAAAGATTCCAGGTCCCATCATGCATAGCAGCGTGCCCGACGAGTACAAGCCCAGGGCCCGGATGGGGTTCTCGGTCCAGGGGGGGTTTAGGGTTTAGGCCCACGCCTCCAAAAGTCTTGCCGAACGAGGCCAACAAGTTTTCTTGTTTCGCTCACCACCACGTGATTTAGGACCGACATGATACTGGCGCAAAGAAACCCCCCAACCCCCCCCCCAGACCCCCAAACCCCCCGCCCCCCCCCAACCCCCCCCCCGCCCAACCCCCCCCAACCCCCCCCCAACCCCCCCCCCCCCCCCAAACCCCCCCCCCCCCCCAAAAAAAAAGAAAAGGATAGGAAAACATGAAGCATTGCTCTCTCCTGAAAGAGTTTGGGGACTCAAAGAGGTTCGTAGAGTTAACCCTAAACCCGATTACCACTCTGAACCCTATAGCATCCTATACCCAAGGTGGGCCCAGGGGCTTCCATGGGCCTTGCTCCCAACGAAACCATCGAGGATCAGAATGAGCTTTGTAAACAAAGGGTTCTGCGACCCTACTTTTGCAGCCATTTTTAGGGTTTCGGGTTTAGTGGGGCCTACACGCTAAGCCTTTCAACCCGAAAACCTCAAAAACATCGGAAGCCTAAAAACCAACTCTTCAGTCTTCACCCAAAGCCGAAACCTGAAAGTCAGGAACCCAAAACTGCCCCGAACCCCCCATGGAAATTGCATCCGACTCAGGCCGATCGTCGGGACCCCGGCGCTGTGGCCAATCACCTTACTCGGCGAGTGGCAGCTTAGTACATGTAGGATTCAGATGACGGTGAAAGCAAAGCCGTTAGCGCATTGTCATTGTTACTATCGTCACCCGTTTGGGTTCATGTTTCATTTTCGAAACTTCAGTGTCATGGTCGGGGGGAACCGTTCTCCTTTTTGGGGATCAGACTCGTCGTACTCCAGGCTTCCGCACCCCGTGTGTGTGTGTGTGTGTGTGTGTGTGTGTGTGTGTGTGTGTGTGTGTGTGTGTGTGTGTGTGTGTGTGTGTGTGTGTGTGTGTGTGTGTGTGTGTGTGTGTGTGTGTGTGTGTGTGTGTGTTGCTCAGGGTTTTAAGGGGTTGAGGGGTAGAGGGCTGGAGGGGTTGGGGGGTTGGTGAAAGATGTCAGCCTCCAGATCCTCACAAGGTCTTGCAGAATGGCGAGCGCATCCCTTTTCCAGCAGCCCAGAAAAAAATTCGGGCGTGCGGCCCAGCGACAGTGCGCTAGGGCGCTGGGGTCGGAGGTTTGAGGGCCCTCGCTAGGGGTTGTTCAGAAAGTTCAGAAACGAAGTGGTTGAGGCTTGAAAGCTTTCGGAAGCTTGGGGCTCGCCAAGGGTTGAGAGTTGAGAGATTACTCTTCCCAAATGGCGTTGGGAATGAGGCTTGTTGTTGGCTTCAGTGGGGATGCAAATCCGAAATCTGCCCCTCCCGCCCATCGGCCATCAAGAACCACCAAATTCTATTCTATCCCCTGAGGGCGAAACTTAAAGCACTCCCGAAACCCTAAACCCTAGATCCTAAACCCTAAACCCTAAACCCTAAACCCTAAACCCTAAACCCTAAACCCTAAACCCTAAACCCTAAACCCTAAACCCTAAACCCTAAACCGAAGGGTTGTTAAACATAGCCCTAAACCCTAAACCCTAAACTCTAAACCCTGTAGATTGGGGTCCAGCCTAGATCGAGGCTCCGCGGCACAGGAAGTGAGGCCGCTGACGTGGGGCAAAGATTTTGAGGCTGGGCTTTTTCTGCATTGGGCTTTGGGTTCAGGCCTTGGGTTCAGGCCCATTGGGTTGATTTCTCGGGTTTGGGGGTTTAGTTTTCTTGTCTTCCCACGCTTATTTTTGTTGTTATTTTGGTTTTTGACTTGGGCTTTGGGGCTTCAGGGGCGTGTCCTACTGTAGCCTTGCGGCTGCTTCTCAAGGGTGTGGCTTGGAGGGCCTCCCAGGAACCTGTCGAAGAAGCCCTGAACCGTGGATAACCCTGGGCATTCAGAGTGTCGGGTTCCTGCGCCGCGCCCTGAAGCTCAAACCCCCCACCAATCTCGCCTCCCTGGCAGTCAGGAAGACACAAGATTCTTCGAGGGGTTTGCGCGCACGTTCGGCACTGAGACGGGTCCAAAACCAGGGTGTAGGGCTTCAGGATTAGGGCTCTGAACCCAAATCGCTGCCCGCGAGGTCGCCTCTGGTAGTGCCCACAGGCACTCCACACGCCTGTGCCACCGCGGTGAATTCAGGCGAATTCAGGATCAGCCGGCGGGAGCAGCAGGATCAGTGGGTTTCAGACTGCTCTTGCGCAGCTTGTGTCGGCTGAGCTGTAGCTTGCGATGGGGAGGCGTTCTGACAAAGGTACTTTTGCTGCGCCTTCGGGGGTTCGTGGGCACCATCACCCGAAACCCTAACCCTTGAAAACCCAACCTTGATCCCATCTTCACGACCCAAGAACCTCCGGGCCCTGTTCCTTTTTCGGAAAGCCCTGTACCATTTCGCCGGGCAGCCGCGGGAAGCTGTCTCGACAGGAGGCTGGCAATGCCAAGCAGCATGTTGTCAGGGTATGTTGCCTGGACCCAGCAAGAACGGGCCCGTACACCCGTGAGTTTGGGCTACGGGGCATTCCAGGATGGACTATTATGCCCTATAGCCCCTTAATAGGGCTAGTAGGGTTGATTCTGGGGATTTTAAGGCCTAATATTCTTATGGATGCGAATTTAGGGCTGCAAATTGAAGGCTCGCAGCCTCTGTCGAGGAGCTTCGCGTCGCCTGTCCCATTCCATGTGCCCAGCGCCCAAGGTTTTTTTCCCAGGCAGCCTCACCTGTTCTTGGGAGTCGACGAACCCCGCAAAGTCCCTAAAAGCAAAGCCCCTAAGCCCCCTAAGCCCTCCCTAAGCCCCCCCTAAGCCCCCCTAAGCCCTCCCCACTCAAAAACTTCCGGTTGGATTTCGCTGCCGAGCATTGCCTTCGGCGGCGGGCACACGCTCGGGGAAGTCGACCGACGCCCGGGCCACCGCCTGGGCTCCTTTCAGCACCCGAGCTTTCGAAACCTGTTAAACGCCTTCGGGATCGGGCGGGCAAGGCCCAGATCCGGCCCCCAGGGCATAAAATGGGGTGTGGCTTGAATTTAGGGTCCCTGCAAAGCCCCAAAACTCCGTCAGTTAAGGAATCCGCTTTGGTCCTCACTATGGATGAAGGCAGATACATATCTTAAAGAGGCACATTGGGCTCCCTTGCTAGGTGCGCGTTCCATTTTGGCAGTTGCGTTTGGGGCCCTCGATGTTGAACAACTCCCCCCTACAAATCAGCTCCTTTTCTCGGGTGCCTGTGAGCAGACAGGCCCAGCACGGCTTAATTTCGGAGCAGCAAGGGCCTCTCAAGACTTATGGCTTTAGGGATGTTGGGCTTTCATCTCAAGGTTCACGGAGCCTGCAGGGTTATTGTTTGGAGGGTGAGTCTCGAGGTTTCAATTGTTTGGGCTTGGCACTTTGCTTTTTCTCGGGTATTGGGGGGGGGGGCAGAGTTTTTCTTTCTGGGTCTGCAGCATTCCAGGGTTTAGGGTGATTCAAAGGAAGTTCCAGGTGCCGGGCTCAAACCTTAGGGGGGAAGTTCAGGGTTGAGGGTTCAGCCATCAACAGCCCTCGGCCCAAAGCGCAGATAGGGTTCGAGAATCAGCTGGACCCTTGCAATACTCGCCATGCCCTGTAACCTCCACCATGAGAAGAGTATCATTGCCGGCCCTTACTTTGGGGGGTCACTGGGAGCCCACTTAGTGGGGTCTGGCTGTCTTATGGCTCTGACAGAGGGTTTTCAAGTGAGGGTCCCGTTTTGGGCATCCATTATACGATATTTAGCGTCCTCAGTAAGAGTTTACGCTTGCGGCCGTCGTCCCTCCCGACCAAAAAAGGCACAGCGTTTGGGGTTTAGGGGTAGAGTAGGGGGGTTGGGCTTTCCAGAGAGGCGCTGCCAATACCTGCCTTGTCAATTTGTGCATCCATGCGCCTGTGGCGCAGTCGCTTCCCTCCTATTCCTTTAGGCCCCAAGGGGGAACAGAAACTTCAGAACAACAGAGACAGGAAACGCGTGGCCAAGGGACAAGATCCGACTGGCTTTAAGGTCAAAGCTCTTAGAAGTCTTAGTGACTTCGTGTTTATGGGGGTTTTTGGGGTTTAGTGCCTTAGGATGGCCTCGATCGCAGTGCCTTAGGATGGCCTCGATCGCAACAAATCTCGAAAATCCTGAATTTGCGCCTGATGGTGCAAGATTGAAGGGTTTAAGGGTTTAGGTTTATACATGTATGTATACATGTATGTCGGTAAGTAGGTATGTATGTCGGTGTACAAACGAGCCTGGCCGCAGCGTAGACGAACCCTGTGGCACCCGGGACACGAAGTCGAAAAGGTTGGCGCGCAACGCCCCAAAGAGCCTGAAAAGCAAGGCTTCGGGGTTCTTCCCTCAACCTCGTAGTGATTCAGAAGCCCGAGGAGGGGAGCCTGCCACAGGGCGCGGCTCTGAAGCTGTTCCGGCTGCACCGGTTCAGGGTGTAGGGTGTGTAGGGTCTCAAGGTTGGGGACGCTGCTCCGCTTTATTAAAAGCCCGAAGCGCGTAGACCAGAAACCCGGCAGCGCCCAAAGGGGTGAGGGCATGCCGAAACCCCAAACCCTCAACCCTCAACCCAAACCCCAAGCCCTAAATCCTAAACCCTAAACCCCTGCGTAAGGTTCAAGCCTTGGCCGCTCTTGGCCCGGAACAGATTTTCCACAGAGAGAGGAGCGCAGCTTGAGGCGGCGTGCCTTTGTACCTCCAACGAAGGCCTCTCGCCATCCCTTCGGCTGCTCTAATTTTTCCCGAGCTTTGGCTGCTCTGTCATCATGTCGTTGAGAGCACCGCTCCTGCACTGTAAGCCCTAATTAAACCCTAAACCCTAAACCCTAAACCCTAAACCCTAAACCCGAAACCCGAAGCCCGAAGAACCCGAATCGCGGCCCCCTGGCTACGCAGGGCGCGTGGTGTCAACAGCATGGATCCGGTCTGAGCCCTGAACCCCACGCCCATCATTTCTTGTTGTGTTGTTTTTTTTTTCGAGCAGGGGTTTGAGGTTTTGGGCTTCGAGGTTTTGGGGGGGCAGGGGGCCCCACTTGCCTTGGGCAGCTGGGGCCGGGTGGAGGCACCCATGAGCGCTTGCCTGGGCGACGTGAGATGCCATGCCCGAGCTCGAAGCCCTTACTTGCCCCAAAACCCTAAACCCCCTTATACGCCGACTTCCCTTACGCCCAAAGCCCTGAACCCTGAACCGTGCTTAGGGTCTAGGGCTTCTACAAGCCCTGCGAACCCACATCCGAAACACCCAACCGTCCAAGCCCGAACTCCGACTCCCAAAAGCCCTCAAGACCCTTGAACGCCTTCCCAGCCCCGTAATTGAGGGTCAACTAACCCTTATATTTTTGAGGCTTGAACTTGCAGAGTTTCGTTTTCTCGTCTCTGGACTTGCCAGACTTTTTCTAACACAACCCTCAATACCTGCATAGCGCTCGACGTTGCTTGCGCGGCCGCAGCGGCTGTGAACTGGGCAGTGCACGAGGACCAAAGATTTGTCGCACAACAATTCGCGGATGTACCCAAATCCTCGGCCCCGGATCTTACATAAACTGCTTCGTGATGCATTTTTGGGCACACAAATCCCGAGTCAACCTGGTAGTAGGATCTCCGCCGGCTGACAGAGCGAGCGGGAGAAAGAAGGCTTTTTTTGAGCTCGGGTGTTGAGGGTGTGTAGGGTGCCGATCGGCTGCGCTTGCTGCTTCATGAAGAAGAAGCCCTACAAAGCTCCAAGAGCCCCAAGTCCGAAACCCTAAGCCGTCATGTTTGGTCTTTTGTTTTGCCTTGAACCTGGCCCTCCCAGAAGCCCTGAGGATCCCCCCAAACCCTAAAAAAGCATCCGGTGCCCTCAAGCCTCAGCCATGGACGGGCTCAATCATCCACGTGTGGGGGGGACTTGTAAGGACTTTACCAATGACTTGCACCTTCCGGGCCTGAAGACGTCTGAGCGCCTCGGCCTTCCGAGACCCCCCCCCCAAAAAAAAAGGCAAACAAAGTCTTCGGAAGCCCTAAGAAGCCCTAAGAAGCCCTCAGAAAGCCTTCAGAAAGCCGCACCTCGCTTGAAGCCTTCGGATGCAAGAAGTCACTTCCGCGGCCTTCCCTGCGACTTGGCCATGGCTCCGGGCGGTTGGCGAGTGAGGCGAAGGGCTCAGGGAAAGGGAATAGGGGGGCTCGGAACAAGTCTAATAGTATTCCCTTATGGTCCCTTTAGGTTTATATCATAGTCACCCCCGGAACCCTATTCTCATCTTTAAGACCCCGACACAACATTACATCAACACGGGACCTCAAGCCCCTCTCAGGCCACTCGGAGGCCTCTGCGCCGCCCTCGTCCTGCTCGGCGGGCGTTCGCCGGGGCCCTTAAGGGCTACCTTTTTAACACGCGCCTCTCAAGGGTTCAGGGCCTTCAGACGTTCCCCCTTATACTAGTCGTGCCCTGTTATAATCCCTATAGGGGGTTTCAGGCTCGGGGTTGTAGCAGTTCATGAAGAGAGTATTTTCCACGTCAACCCATAAGGGCACCATCCCTAGGGAAAAGTGGAAGACAAGTCGTGATAGAAGCCTTATGCGAATAGCACTGTGAATCCAAGTGAAGATGAAGGCCCACCGGCCCCAACCAGGACCGCTTCTGCGCCAACTCTCAGCGGGTTTAGGGGACACCTTCGTGGGGCTAGGACTTTAGAAATTCGGAGCTTTTGGAACCTGGGGGCTTCGAGCCCCAAGCCCCAAGCATTAAGTCCAAGACCCTATGCCCTAACCCCAAAACCCAGCCCTCGTTGGCAGGTTCATTCAGGTGGCCCCCTTGGCGGCGCCACGCGTTTTCTCGACGCCGCGCTGTGCCGTGGAGGCTGTCGAAATCGAGCACTTGATATGCTCCTATGCAGTATGTACTGCGTTAGTATCGAATATGTGGTCAGTACCATACAAAACGCACATACTGTACATACTCGTAGTATGTTATATTTCTTGAAGAATGTGATGTATGAATGTGTATGATGTGCAATATCGGATTTTTATGTGAACACATTATATAGATGTGTTTACATAGAAGCTCGCCCTCCCAATGGACCAACCGCGACATGGACAAATCCCGACAATTCAAAACCAAAATCCTAAGTTTCTGTTTTGTCTAAATGTGTCTTGTTGTATTTTTTTTTTGCACTTGTCTGTGTTTTCTTTGTAGTTTTTGCACCTCTTTTGTTTGTGCGTTTGCTGCAATGTCTGCATTTTTCGCACATGTTTTTTTTTTTTCATAAGCCTGAGCTGATTTGTGCTTGCTTGCATTTTTGAACCCAATCTAGTTTTTTTGGTGCACTAGTTTGCGTTGTTTTTGCACTTTTGTGGCTCATTGTATACTTTCTACCCTTATCCCAAGCATACAAAACAATAAATCATCCAAAAACCCAAGAATCGCAGTACCCAAAAGTCCAAACATGCAATCCAAACTTTCCCGGAGCTCCAGGAAAGTTTGGAGCTTTGGACTTTGGAGGACGCTTCAGGAAAAACCCTAAAACCCTGCACTGCAGGCTCCTTTGGATCCAGACCTCTTGAAAAGCGCGACCGAGGCGAGGCACTTTTTTTTTTTTTTTTGGGGGGGGGGGGGGGTGGGGGGTGGGGGGATGCGGGGTAGGGGGATGCGAAATGTATAGGGTTCGGGTCCCAAAAATTTGAGCGAATGGGGGGGCCGTTTTCGCACGGGTCCCCATATTCAGAGGCTGCTGGCTTTTGGGCTGCCAGGAACTTGCAGAGCTCGAGGAGCGCGCGGCCCGAGACGATGCGGACGCCCAGTTCAGGACGCAGGGTGGGCTGTTGAGGCTGAGCACTTCTTTTGGGGATCCAGGCGGTTTGGGCACGGAAGTATCTACAGCAACAAGACTTGACCCTCTGGTGTCAGCGCCTGGGAGCCCTGGGCTGCACTGTCGAAATCATGGAAAAGACCTTGTGCGGCCTTGCCTGTGAGGAATGAGGTTGGTTCGCCTTGTTCCTACGGTAGTAATGACTTGGGGCACGCCTCGTTCCTACGGTAGGAATGAGGTTGGTTCGCCTTTGTTCCTACGGTAGGAATGACTTGGGGCACGCTAGTTTTGGTTACCGGCCAGGTTTCGGGAATCCATTCGCTACGGGGCTCAATCAGAATGGCATAACATCCATGTTTATATGTTGGATGAGGCGTCGACCCCCGAAGCGGTAAGGAATTGCCTATAGCAGACACACACACACACAAACTCTCAAGGGTCCATACCGAGATCAACCCCCCAAAAGAGGGTTGAGGGCGCAATCGCTTGCCCGAGCTGTTCCTAAACCCCGGCCTGATCGACCTAATTCCTGAGTCCGAAACCTCAACCCCAAACCACTAAACTCGAGAAATTCCACACCCTCAACTCTAGCAAGCTCCTCACACATCCTCACACGAAAACAAAGACCTTCAACCCCAACAACCGTAACCTGGATGCTTGCAGGCTGGGCCAGCTACTGCGCAAAGGCCGTCGCGCCGGCCGGTTTAGTGCAGTGGTCAACATTGAGCATGTTTAGGGGTTGAGGGGTTTGGGGGCTTGGGCACCCAGGGAGCCCAAAACACCTCGGTTATGGACAGGACCCCTTTGAGGAGCAACAAGGGTCTGAAGGTTTTGCGCGGAGGGCGTAGAGAGTTGAGGCTTGAGGGCTTTTTTCTCCCCAGGAGTGGTGGAGAAGGACATGGTTCGAGCGTGTGCAGCTGAGCAGTGGAGGGAATCCCTGAAACCCGCAACTCCGCATGTCCAGAACCCTAACAGCCGCAAGACCCTCAACCTACTTCACAGGCGGGTCACCAATGCAAGATCAGGCTTGTTGAGATGGAACGCCTCCGCTGTATGAAAGTCGTAGGGCTTTGCAGAGTTTACGAGTGGTTAATTACAATGGGGATTTGTCAGGTTCCCTCTTTCATGCGCCGCCCCCGAGGTTCCAGCTGGTGCTCTCCGCCGCCGAGCAGGACGCTCCAGGGATCGCTGGAAAGGTATTGCTACCTAGCCCACACAACCAGAGGGGTCCCCGCCTTTTGAGCCTGAACGCCGCATCTTGGGTGAATCTGCCTGATTGCAAGACATGACATGTAAGGGTGTGGTATGGTTGAGGGCTTTCAGGTTTCAGGGTTTATGGCCTACCCCTGGCTTCTGTCTGAAGTATCCGAGATGAATCCGACGAAGCGTTGACCCCTAAACCACAAGCAGGAGCATGTGAGGGCGCAGTATCTGATCGGGACCTGCCCTCAGTTTGGCCTGGGGAGGGAGGATGGGTTCTCTCCTTCAGAGCATGCGATCACGACCATAAGCCCTGAGCTGCTCAAAGCCTCCTTTAAGCCAGCGAGGCTGAAGGTTTCATATGCCTTATAGTTAGTAGTACTCCTTCAGTTGTAGTAGGGATCCATAAGACATGCTCCTGAAACTGTTGGAGTCGGAAAATGCGTGACAAGGCTCATGCTGATCCGCGGGGAGGGCTGTGAGATCGATGAGGAGACCGGCGTCAACTTCGTGCTCATGGCGGCCGAGGACCCCTCCTTTGAGCTTTTTTGGGGGTTTGGAAACCGGGTTTGGGGTGTAAAGCCCCTAGCTCCTACATCCTCTAACACCCATCGTTGCCCTTCGCCTCGTCAGCGCGAGGAGCCACCCACGCTCGGGGAAGCTGCACGACACGAGTAGATCTCCGAAATTGTGCAACAGCTCCTCGAGCCACTCTTGTGAAACCTGGAGCCCTCAACTTAAGCGTGTTCATGCGCCAGGCCTACCCCTGAATTCTACACTCTGCACCCTGCCCCCCCCCCCCCCCACATCGAAGTTCCGGAACTTGTTGTCACAGCTTCCGCGAGGACGGACTGCCAGCTGCCCAGCACGCCATGGCAAAGATCTACCTTACGGGTGTCGGCCCGCAGGGAAAGGACCACCCTCAGGTTGTTGAGAGAGAGGCCCTGAACGACCCCCAAAACTTGTCCCACAAGCCCTGAGCCTCTGAAACTTGAAGGGGGTTGGGTTGGGGGTTTAGGGTCGCTGTACTTGGGACGCTGCAGTCGAGCCCGCAGGACCTGCTGTCAGGCGTCTACTGGCTGAAGCAGGCGGAGCTAATTTGTTTTTTATTGTTTGTTTTTTGCGTGGGGGCGGGAGGGTGTTTGCCTTAGGTGGCGTCCTGGGGTTTTGAGCCCTAAGCCCCCCTCAAGACTGGGTTTTAGGGTGTGGGGCTTGAGGTTTGTGGGCTGATGGGGTCATGGGGTTAGAGGGTTTTGGGGCTTGAGGTTTGGATTCCGGGCTTCGGCGGCTTGGAGGGTTGAGGGGCACGTTCTAGAGTCCCGCCCAAAGCCCTTGCACCCGTAACTGCCCATTTCTAAACTCCAGCCCCCCCATATCCACACCCTGAAGCTCCCTCTCTCTCCTCGGAAGAGGCAGCAGCCAGGGATCACCTCCAAGCAAAGCGGCTGCACTTGCGGATGGGGGCGGATTCAGGGGTTCGGGACAAGCCTAGAGCTTTAACAACCTTAAAGCTGTAACACCCAAAAGCAATGCAGTAGGACTCTTTCGGGGTTTAGGGCTTAGGGTGTCGATGATGGGTTTCATGGTTTCGGGCTTCGGGAGCCCCAAGCAAGAAGGGAGCTTCAAGATTTGAGACGCGAGCAGCTGAGGCGCAGCTGATGCTGGGGAACATGCTCCTGAGCGGGAACGGCGTGCGCAGACTCCCGGTGCAGATCTGCAAAGTGGCAGTGGAACCAGGACTTCACCCAAAAATGTTCAGGCCCGAAGGACATCCAAGCAGGCCGCGGAAGGTTTTGACCGCAGGGTAGCTGTAAACCCTCTCCAGCCCTAAACTCTCAGAAACTACGCCAGCATCCCAAACGCAAACTGCGACCTCTTCAAAACTAAATCCCCACCCCCTTCCGCCTGAGGAAATGCAACGCTGGCTGGCGACTACTTCCTTCTGGCTGCCAAGAAGGGGTCCGACGAGGCTGCTTTGGGTCCAGGGGGTTTCGAGTTTGGGGCCGTCGGCCTTTTCTTTGGGAGGTTTTGGGAGCGGTGGAGACGATGGTAAGGGACTTCCTTTTTCTCTTCCGCAAAACCTTAAGACCATGTGCTGTACATTGCTGTATACATCAGGACCTTAAAGCCTCAAAGCCCTAACCTGCCCACTGCTGCGTCAGGCGCAAGAAGTGGTTGGCCAAATGTTTCGAACGGGCACCGGCTTTGACCAAGACAAGGCCAGGCGTGTTGCTCTCCTTACGAAGCTCTTCATGCGCGAGTTAGGAATGCGTGGTCCTTCTTGGGGAGGGTCGGTGACGGTTTGCAATGGAGCCCCCTTCGTTCTTGAAGGAACTGAGCTGGTGGCAGATCACCCCTTACATGTCTTCCCGGGGTCTTGGGACCTTTGCCTCCCTAGTCCGAGGCCCCTGGACCCCTAAGCCGAACCTGAAACCCCTTGAAGCCCGCAAACTTGCCCAGGACTCAGCCATGGCCTGGATGTCGAAGGCAGCTGAGCAGGGCCGCGCCGAGGCCTGACCCCGAAGTTTCTAAAACCCTAAAGCCCTAGTGCCCTGAAGCCCTAAAGTTCTAAAGCCCTAAAGCCCTAACCCCATAAATCCCTAGATTTCCTAAGTCCCTAAATCCCTAAAGCCCTAAACCTCCAGATCCATTGGGGACCCCCCGTGGCTTTGGGGTGGTTTGGGCTTTAGGCTCCTCGGACGGGCCTCTTGCTCCCAGCACGAGAACAACTGCAAAAACCCCCCACTCGCGCCTGCGTGACGGTAGGTCACTACTGTTCCTTTTGAGCTTGGGGGGGGGGGGGGTGGGTCTTTTTTATAAGGTGGCGCACGGGGGATCTGTGCGCGACTGGAAGGCCTGTATCGCCCTGGCCTCGATGTACCGGAAGGGTGAGGCAGGACTGAGGATTGGTTAAGGGTCTCATGGTTCCGGGGGTTAAAAGTTTAGGCTTTCGGAATCACGGCACCCTTCGTGCCTTTGCCGGATTCCTTCTTAGCAAGACCAGCCTGCAAATGTGAGGTGAGGGGGTAGCGGTTTCGCGGTTCAGGGTGCAGGCCAGTGAGTTCTTGGTTTAGAAACCCTATCTACCCTAAACTCTACATAGGACTCAATATGTTCAGGGTTTCTGAGCGGACCCGCGGCTTCCTGAATCATGGCCCTGGTCCCAGGGCAGTGTGAGGGATGCAGCTACGGCTCTCCACTACTTCAAGAAGGCCTGGGCCCTGCAAGCCCTAAGCCCTACGAATCCGTGTGCCCCCTTAATTGCCCTTAACTCCCCTTATAGCTGCCCGTACAGCTGCCCTTAGAGCTGCCCTTATAGCTGCCCTTTTCGCTGTCCTTATAGCTGCCCTTAACCTTCGAAGCTTGAGCGTACGTTTCCTCCGGAGGCCGCTGAGGCCGGCAGCCCTGACGGGGCCAACGAGCCGGGGTCCAAGCCAAGGAGTTCAGGACTTTGGGTGCAGGGCTGTGCATACACGTGTGTGTATATATACATACATACATACATACCTACCTACATACATGCATACATACATACATACATACATACATACATACATACATACATACATACATACATACATACATACATACATACATACATATACACACATATTACTTGTGCTTTTCAAACTTAGGGTGTTTTTTTGTTGGGGGCCTTAGTTAGGGAATGCAAACTGGGCTGTGTGATTCAGCACAAGTTCAACCCTGGTTCCTCCATGCTCGTCAGATACCGGAAACTTCAAAATCTCGAGCCCACGCTCCCAATCCGAGCCCCCAAATCCCAAACGAAAGAAGCCAGGAGCAGTAGACTCAGTAGTAGACCGAGGCCCCAAGTTCGCAATCTGAGGCTCGCAGTCATGTACCTAACTGGCGAGGGCACGCTGCCGAACGAGGTGCAAGAGACGATTCTTTTGCACCATTTGTTCTTTTTTTTGGGCTGGGGGGAGGGGTCCGTAGGTTTTGAGGGCGCTTTGGCAGAGGTTCTGTGACCGCTGGGTTTTGGATGTGGGACGTAGCCAGGTGTTTTGGCCTTTTGGTCGTGGGATCCAGGAATGTGGAGACCGTTAGCTGTTGATGTTTGCAAAATGGAGACAGCGACCCTAAAAATGTCTCAGACCTTGCAAGCTAGGCCCTGACGTCGCGAATGCGGAATTTGCCCGTCCGGAGACCCCTTGTGCGAGGAAGCCTCTGCATACTGGTTCCAGCGTGCCACCGAGCTTGAGGCCCAGTTGCTTTGTGTGGAAGACGAAGGGCTTCAGGGTTTGAGAGTTTAGGGGGCTTTCGGGCTTTCGGCAATTTCGGCATTGGAAGGTTTAGTGGTTGGGGCAGGAGCACCGCCGCGCGGACGAGGAGTACCACGACGCCGTGTGAGCAGAGGAGCTCGACTGCTTTGAAGCCGAGGAGGCAGTGACTCCCACGACGACGGCCGTGTACGGGGGGGGGCGGGGGCCACGGAAAACATGCTTCGTCTCCTCACATTGTCTGGCCAGACGATCTGAGCCAGAAGAAGAGCGAGCGGCGGCCCTCGGTGCTGGGTGTCCTTCGGAAGCGCTTGCGGCATCGGGGGCCCGACGGTGAACCGCCTTTTCTGTTCAAATTCCTTGTGCTCGCATTCGTGGCCTCATTCTGCCTAGTGGCCGAAGCCCCTGGGCCGAAACGGAGATATCCAAGAGCGCTCGGTCTTGGCGTTGGTCGACCGCAGGGGATGGCTGCAAAATTGGTCGTTTGCGTTGTTGCCGGTTTAGGGTCTCTATAGGGTGCGGTTGGGGCTTTGGGTTCTTAGAGTCTCAGGGTGCTCTCGCCCCAGTGAACTTCACCTTCGGAGCGACTGGATAAAAATCGCGATACGCCGTGTAAGGCTCTTAAGGCTCTGCCAGAGCTTGTTTCACCATCCACGTGCCCATGTGAATCATTCATCATGACGCCGATTCCGGTGACCTAGGATGTTTATAGTATACTACATGATCTGTAATGTACACATGCAGGTATTGACAGTAACACGGTGAAGGCAGGGGTGGCCAGCAGTCGCATTGGTAGAAACATGTGTAGCAACCCTGGATCAGTCGAGAAGTTCCCAAGAGCTGCGGGTTGCCCTGCGGTCTGCGTTTTTGTGGCATCCCTTTTGCTGACAAGATGTCGGAACCAAGAACCTGGAGCCCAAACCCTCAACCATCCTAAGCCCGAGCCTCTCAACATTTTGGGCTCCCAGCCCCGCCGGTTCCCTGCCCCTTGCCGACTGCGTCTTTTCATTCCCAGCCATGGCCTTGCCAATGAAGACCGCAATGAAGAAGGTCATGAAGGCCAGCCCAATGAAGGCCAAAGCCAAGGCGATGAAGGGAATGAAGGCCTGGGGGGGGGGGGCGGGGGACGAGGGCGGGGTAGATGCCAGGGATGCGCGCGCCTGCATGCCTCGCATACACAGCAGGCCTCCAAGTAGGCTGTAGGCAGCGGTTGTCCAGCTGAGGTGATGAAGAAGAAAGCTGTCAGCAACATCGCTCGCGGCAAGCTTGCGAAGATGGTTGTCTTCAAGGGGCGCAAGGAGATCCGGGTTTGACTGAATTCCTCTAGCTTTGGGTTCCGGTAGTTTTTATGTGTAGGAGAAGACCTCGACGGGTCTCCAGAAGACGCACCTCATGAAGAACAAGCGTGGCAAGGCAAGGAAGAGAGATGCGAGGGCCTTCCGCACAGCTGTGCTGCAGCATGCAGGCTTGGAGGCCTAGACCAGCCGTGACAGGGCCATCTTGTTGCCAGGTCGTTACGAAGAAGCAGCACGCCGTGGGCGTGGCGCTCTTCAAGAAGATCGGCCAGCGCTGGCTCGAGGCAGTCACGACGGCGAGGAAGGAGCTTGGGATCAAGGGGTTTTGCCCAGTTGGCGGAAAGAGCGCTCAGGGCAAGGCGCTCTATGCCAAGGCCAAAGCGCTTTACGCTGCTTGAAAGGCGTGAGGGTGCGAACGCTTTCGTGGTAGTTCACGGAGCATAGCCTGAACGCCGGCAGCTGCTCAGGGTGTACAGCTGATCGTGTGTTCTCTGAGATTCGGGAAGCTTCTCTTGGAGCTCGACCTGCAAGAAGCACATTGGATGGCTGCAAAAGTCCTTCTGGTCCTTGAGCATGTTGAGCGAGGATATTGTAAGCCCTAAAACCAAAATCCCCAGTTACAAACCCACGATGCGCCCGAGAGGAAGTGCCCGCGCTGTTTCGGCTCGATGCTGGGGGGGCTTGAGGTTGTGCCGGACGTGAAGGCACAAGAGGCCGGGAAAGGCCTTGAAGGTTTCTGGGAGCCAGGGTACCAACAAGGGCGCAAACTCCAAATGAGCTCTCAAAACCCCAGGGTTCCGTGTCCAAGGGATGATGATCTCTCTATCCAGCCGCCCAAAAACCTGTAGGCTATGATTCCAATACCCCCTTTCTACGATTCCAAACAGAAAACGACTTAACCCACAAGGGCATATAATTTGGATCAACCCCAAATGGGTCCCCCTTAGAACACCCCCTCTTCCCCAACAAACAAGAGCAGCAACTTTGTTTCAGTCCCCCCAAAAAAACGGAGAATAAAGACAGCAAGGTGCCCCTGCCTTGCGAAAGCCTCATGCGAGTTGCCGCATCTGAGCTCCCATCCAACCAAGGCCCAAGGCTGAGTGTCCCCCCCCCCCCCCCCCCTCTACGGCCCCCCGAACAGAGCACAAGTCTCGAAACTGGGGATTTAGGGTTCTGACAGTTCGAGAACTTAGAGGCTAGTGTTTAGGGCTGAGGACTGCCCCCCCCCCGCTCTTAATTTTGCCAGGGGGCGGCGCCATGGCTCTCGTGAGTACAGGTCAGCCGGCCGGGGCCCCAAGGGATGAACCAACAACCCAGAGCGAGGGCTTGCTTAAGGCTAATGTCAAGCTCTAAGCCTTGCACATCTGATCTCCGAAGAAAGGGTTGAGGGCATTTAGCCCCGAACCGAGAACTGAAAATCCCCTGCAGTAATTTTCAGTGGGTTGGGGCTTGAAGTTCGATGAGAGGATGCTGTCGATGGGTTTAGAGGGTTATTGTCGAGGTTCAGGGTCCAGGGTCGAGCATGTCGGTGTTCCATCAAAGGATTAGGCTGAAGGAGCATCTGGAAGCTAGGGGGGGGGCTTGGGATTGCAGTTCAGTTCCTTGTGGCCAAGGAAGCCAAGCGGGCAAAGTACACGGGCGGCGCCGAGCTAGCCGGCCTCTCGAGGGTTCGGGGGTGGGGTGTTTACGCTCAGGCCGACTTGAGGGATTTGGGGCTCTGGGGGGCATTGGGGTCGAGGAGAGCACGTGTGTACCCTAAGCCCTAAGCCCCAAACCCTGCTAGACCCTCTTCAGCCCTTGATCCTACGCCCTAAACCCTCAACCTTCAGCCCTTGAGCCTAAGCCCCAAACCCTCAACCCTCAACCCTAAGCCCTGCAACCTCAGTGGCGGGTGGAGATCCTCGCGGCGTGAATCTGCGCCTCGCCGAGGTCCCTGCGCTGCAGGAGCAGCTCATCCATGCCCGCGGCTTACGAAGCCTTGAACCAGCCAGCGAGTCCCGAGTTCTGGGATTTGTTAGGAGCCCTAAGCTCCTAGGCCCTTGAGGCCTTGAACCATGAGTCCCCCTAGTTTGGGGCACGCGGAATGAAGCCTTAGACTCTCAGACCCCATAGAGTGTTGGGGTTCGCACCAGGTGCAGCATGTGAACCGGAAGAGCGGCCTTTTTGGCCCCACCATGCTGCTCACGGGCCACGATGGGGAGGCATCGGTCGCCAGCAAACTCACAGCGTTCAGGCTTTTGTGGTACTTGGGGGGTTTGGGCTTTAGGGTGACTGGGGGGGGGGGGGTTAGGAGTTTAGGGCTTGTGGGGTTGATTGGTATGGTGGGGTTTTGGAGTGTTATCACAAACTGTAATGACCACTCTGGGGGATCGGAGCCTGAATGTGGGAGGGTTTTGGCCTGGGGTTCGGGTCGGCCTAAACCCCTAACATACCCCAAAACCCTAAATTCCACGAGCTTTCTCAGGGCTCATATTAGGGATTCTTGGGGGGCTCAGGTGCCTCCAAACGCCCCCCCCCAGGTGTTTTGCTCAGAGTTCTCCCCTGACGGGCGCGCCCTGGCGACCGGCTCCTTCGACAAATCCATCTACCTTTGGAATGTGGGGCGCCGCAGATCACGAAGCCTGAGCTCTGAGCCCTCAGCCATCCTAAGCCAGCCTAAACTACCCTTAGCTGCCCTAAACTACCCCAAGCTGCCCAAAGCTACCCTGAACCTCCACCAGACACCTTGGGTCAGGGTTTCGGGCCTTGAACAGCAGGTTGCTTGAAGCTCATGTCTCAGTGCTTCTCTTGCTGCTGCAGGGCTTAGGTTGTAGCCGTCGTGTGAAGTCCCACTGGGGCATGGAACGGAGAAGCGATGGACAATTTCAAGGGGACCCCGGAGGCCCATCCGCTGCCCCCCAGGTGTACGGTGAGTGTGAGAACTACGGCGTGATGAAAGGACATGCCAACGCTGTCTTAGAGGCGCGGCGGGCTTGCAGGTCAGGGTTCCCATCGTATTGAGGGGCCGCTTGCAGGGCTTTGACATGAGGCCTGAGCCTGGGTTTGGAAGGTCGAGAGCTTCAGGGAACAGGGAAAGATCACGGCCTGTTGGTTTCAAGATCTTCAAGTTCAATTGGGGAGTTCACAGCTTTGTTTCGCCCAGAGACAGGGACATGAACAGCTTTCTAGGCGAGCTCGCGTGTCTGCTGCTTGAGTTCTGTTGGGGTTCTTGCAAAAAGTCTCAAGCTCCCCTGCAACAGCCCTGAGCTGAGTAGGTGCACTGGAAGCATGACGGCACTCAGCTTTACAGCTGCTCCGCGGACAAGAGCGTGTGCGTGTGGGACGGGCCGCGCTGCCTGGGGGGAAGTGAAGGGGGAGTTCGAATGGATAGATACTTTTTTTGGGTGGCTATAACACGACTTCATCAGCATTTGCATTATCTGCCTTTTTAGCCGCATTTCTTAAATCATGTTGTTTAAGCTATTGTCACATGAAAGGGTTCTGGGGGGGGCGGATAATATCGGAATCTCTCTGGGCTCCTGTATGACCTGATGAGCTTCGGGCTTCAGGGTTAGTATGCCTGGGTCCCGAGCCAACACTCCGCCTGATGGCCTACTTTGAAGCTCCATTTCGCCTTCAGAGCGCTTGAGTATCTATCTTAACCTTGCGGCAGCTGCTCTGGGTGCTGCTTGTCCGAATGCCAGGACTTAGGGGTCTGGAAGTGTCTGGTTGCGTAGAGTCTAGAGGGGTTCTGTGGGCCCGAACCCCGGGACAACAGGCATGCCCCAGACCCCAAACACCCGGCTGGTCGGCGCAGGACCCGGAATCCGGCAAGCGGCTAAAGAAGCTGAACGGGCACACGGCCATCGTGAACAGTATGCAGGTAGGGCTTCAATGTCAACAAGCGATTGGTTGAGGATTTGAGGCTTTTTCTTTGCTATCGGGGCCTAAACGGAGTGCACGCGCTGGCTCGTTGCTGCCATCCCGAAAGCCCTGACTCCAAAAAGTGTCGGGCTGAGGGATCCTCGAAGGATCCTCGATCCTCTGAACCCGTGCATAACACCAAACCCCTTCGGCCCAGCCACCTCAGCCGCTAGTCAGCTGTTCTTGTGCCTGGGCCGCAGACTTCGCGTCGTGGAGTACCCTACCTCGTTAGCGGAGGAGATGATGGTGCGCCGCGTCTGCTTCTCTAAGCCAGAAGCCCTAAACCGAACCCCCCGAAGCTTAGGGGCACCGCGAGCCAGGTACCACCAAGCTGTGGGACTTGCGCGTGCGCCGGTGCGTCGCCCCTGCCACGTTTCGATCTGACCAGGTCCAGGTAGGCAAGAGTCGCATTGCGAATGGGTCTTTTCGGGTATGCTCCTTGATTCTGTTTAGTTAGTTTAGTTAGGGGAGAAGGAGTAGGGCTGTTTATGGTCAAGATTTATGAAAGATGGGTTGAGGCATCCGCAGTAGACTGAGGGTTTAGGCTTTTGGTGTCCGTGATGGAAGGGATCCCTCCAGGCCCAAGGAGATCTGAGAGGCCACTTGTTGAAAAGCCCATGTGTTACATAATGGGTACAAAGAGGGTTTCTATTGAAATTCACGAATACCAATTGTTCATTTGCTTCGAGCATCCGCACCTGGAGCCATCCTGCCGGTTTTGTTCTCCCACTGCGGAATCGGAGGGAGCATGGGCGAGGAGGATGGCCGATTGTCGAACAACCCCACACCCAGGGTGGGGAAGAAGCACATGTCAAAGCATCGTCAAATAGAGACAGCGGGGGCCTAACCAAATATTTGTATATATATGTATATTATAAGATACATATGTGTATACACATACACACACACACACACACGCGCGTATGTACGTACGTACGTACGTACGTACCCGCGCGTGTGTATGTACGTATGTATGTATGTATGTATGTATGTATGTATGTATGTATGTATGTATGTATGTATGTATGCATGTATGCATGCATGCATGCATGCATGCATGCATGCATGCATGCCTGCCTGTATGTCTGTATGTATGTATGTATGTATGTATGTATGTATGTATGTATGTGTGGTATGTATGGTATGCATGGTATGCATGGTATGTATGGTATGTATGGTATGTATGGTATGTATGGTATGTCTGGTATGTATGGTCTGTATGGTCTGTATGGTCTGTGTGGTATGTATGGTATGTATGGTATGTATGGTCTGTGTGGTATGTATGGTCTGTATGGTCTGTATGGCCTGCATAGTACGTATAGTACGTACGTATAGTATGTATAGTATGTATAGTTGTATGTACGTATGTATGTATGTATGTATGTATGTATGTATGTATGTATGTATGTATGTATGTATGTATGTATGTATGTATGTATGTATGTATCGTTACTTCTTGTGAAGCCTATCGGCGCTGGCCAGGTGCATACATTTGAGCATCAGTGCGCCCGCCTCCGACACCTCGTGTTCTTGGTGGTCAAGACCCGTTGTTGCGAGTTCTCTGGGACACGCCAAGCCCCCCAGATCCACAATCCTAAGCCCACAACCCGAAGCTCCGAACCTAACTGCCTCAGCTTGCGTGTGTCTGCAGGTATCAGATCCTGGCTGTCTCCTTCGACGACACTGCCGAGAGAATTTTCTCTGGGTGGGCCCTCCGAGTCTGGGTTGAGGGTTTAGGGCAAGAACATTTACAGGTCCTGCGTGGGTTTGTTCGTGAGTAGCCCAAGAGACACCTTAAGGAAAGGGGCCTTTTTGGGGTCCCTAATTGTGCATGTCGGCGGCATCTGGAAGCCCTGAACGGTTCCCGGTTCCTCCTTCGCCATATTCAAAAGGAGCACCCCCTAAAAGGGTGCCGCAACCCCGAAAGCTCCCACTCCAAGCCCCTTAGAGAGACCTTACAGCACGGGGTTTTGGGATTTCAGGCTTCTGGAGTTCCTGAACCCCTCAAGCCCTAGACACCCAAACTCCTAACCTACCAAACCCTATGCCCTCAACGGACACCCGAAAATCCTCGCCAAGAGGTCTCTGGACAACACAGTCCTGGTCTACGACATGCGAATGCGGGACCAGGATCCTGAGGCTCCTCTTGCCTCGCCTCTTTTGGGTTTTCCATGATACCTTGGGGGGAACTTGAGTGCTTATTGAGGGCGTAGCTGCCACAAGAGCCTTTTCGCTGAGATGCGCGTAGGCTTGATTTTCCGGACACGACTTTTGGAAGGTAGCCCGAAGCCCTCTTTCCAAGGCTTTCAAGCATTTCGCCCGCCTCCCTCAACCCTGAACCCTGAAGCCTGAACCCTAAAACTCTAAACCTTAAACCCTAAACCCCAATAAAGCCCATTGACCTGTAAGCCCTGGTGGCAGGTTTGGGAAGGCCACACGGACAGTATCACGGGCTTGGACGTTTCCAAGGACTGGAGCTGCGCAATGTGCACTGAAGCTCAAGTACTGCACCGTTGCATTCCTCATCCCTACCTTACGACCCCACGTCTCCCCGCTCTACACTGTTATGAGTATTTGGGGTTGGGGGGTGGGGGGCTTAGGGGAAGGATGAATCTCTTGTTTGAATCCCCAAGCCCTCATTCCATGAACAAGAAAGCCCATACCCACAACCCTTGGCCAAAGTTCAAACCCCCAAGCCCATAAGCCCAAAGCCCCTAAACCCTGAACCCCTAAACCCCTATAAACCCTGTAAATCCTATTTGAACCCTACACACCCCAAGCTCGCCATAGGCCCGAGGGCACCTAAGTCCTAAAGTGCTCAAAGAAACGTCCCCCCAGGACGGCAACTTCCTAGCGACCAACTCGATGGACAATACGGCCAGGGGCCCTCCTTTGCCCCTCCTTTGGTGATTTTTGTAGTTTTGCGGGTCAAGTTCAGGATGCGGAGGTTCCGGGTTTTCGGGGTTTCGGAGTTCGGGTTTGCGTTTTCGCGTGTGTGTTTTGTGATCCAAGGTTTGGGGTTGAGGGTTCTTTGGAGCTGCATAACGCCCGGCCCCCCCCACCCCCCCAGCTGTTCTCGAACTTCGCCACTTCCAAGATGCATGTCTCAGGTAGAAGCAAATGGTGGTTTTGGGGCTGTTTAGGTTTGGGCCCACCCGGGGTTCGTTCCTTCTCGACTGAGGCAAAGATAAGCGAGCCCTGGGTCACCCCGCCCCTCCCTCCAAAAAACGACTTCCACAGTTACCGCTCAAAGCCCTGGCCCAACAAAAAGCATCCCTAGCCAACAGGAACTAGCATATGTATACCTCTGTATGTACGATGTGCATAGAATAGGTACATGTTTCATGTATGCAGTATGTACGCACACACATAATAGAAACGTGTATATATGTATGTATGTATGTATGTATGTATGTATGTATGTATGTATGTATGTATGTATGTATGTATGTATGTATGTATGTATGTATGTACGTATGTATGTATGTATGTATGTATGTATGTATGTATGTATGTATATGTCATACATAGTTTCAATTTGCATTTACATAAGTTTTTGTTACGGCTGCTCATATTTCTGTATATATATATATATATATATGTAGACACATATGTATATATGTATAGAATACATACATACGTACATATTATAAATACACACGTATATGGAAATAAACAAGTATATACACACAACATTCGGTGTCGTATGTGTACCAGTAATCGTGATCAACTCCACCAGGTCCGCATCTGGGACGTGAGGCCCTTCGCGGGAGCCAGGCTCGGCATTGCGGGCGTGGCTGAGGTTTTTGTTTTAGGGTTTGGGTTTTAAGCTCAGTTTTTTGGTCTATAAGGTTTTAGTATAGGGTTTATTGGGTTTGCTTAGGGTTTAGGGTTTGCAGTTGGGCTTGGGGCCTATAGGGTTTTGGATTTCCGCACAGGGGCTTGCGGTAAGGGACCTACAGGCGCCGCTCCAAGAAGTTTGAATTTCTCCTGTGCATTGCCCAAACCCCCCCCCTGAAACTCTACAGCAGCCAGCCGGAAAAGCCCAGGCAAAACTCAGAGAGCCTAAACCCAAAAAAACTTGCCACCCCAACATGCAAAAGCTCAATCCATTTGTTCTTCTCCCCCCCCCATCCCCCCGTCGCGGTATGAAGGAACCGGTGCCTCCGAATTCTGCGAGGCATGGGCTGGTAGGGGTCCAGGGGGATTAGTAGAGTTTAGGAGTCAGGGTTCGGGCGAGGAATTCAGGGCCTTCAAGACCCAAGCACTTCTACTCCTGTGTTTGTGACATCCTCAGGACTGCTTAGAGAGGTAGAGGGGATTGGCCTTTGGCTTTGGGGGAGCTGGGTTTGGGGATGTAGAGACCCCGAAGCTCCTACTTCGCACCTACTTTCAACCACTTTAAAATGATCTTGAGGGTTTGTTGTTCACACTCGCTTTAGCCCAAGCATCCGATCCAGGACTTGAACTTTAAAGCATCTGGGTCCCGGAGCCCGGAAGGTCCCGAAACCCTCCTGAAGCTCTGTGAATCTGGCACTTCCGCCATAAACTCTCAAACCCTCAACAGCCTCCCCTCCTTGGCAAGCCTGTATTTCAGCCAAACTGCGAAACCCTGAAACTCCAACCCTAAACTGCCAGCGACCGAAGGGCCTCCGGGGTTTACCAGGGTTGAAGACCCCCAGGGGCGACGCACAACTTCGAGAAGAATCTGCTCCGAGTCCGGGCCTGGGGTGGTTTTTCTTGGCTCTTCGGAGTTGTCTCTTTGGTGTCGAGGGATGGTGTTGCAAGTCAGGTTCGTAAGGGGACCTCTCCCCAAGAACTACAGAGCCCGAATTGAGAGCCCCCAAAGGTATCCGTGAAGCTGCAGTAAGGACCTGAGGCCACAAACCCGTCAAGCCCCGAATCCCTGAAGCCACGGATCCTCAAATTCTCTAAACCCCTCCCCCGCTCCCCGCTCCCCTCCCTGAACCCCTTCAACTCCCTCAGCCCGAACAGCCCTTGAACCCCTCGAGCCCTAAGGTACGCTGGTCTGAGAAGGATTCCCTCCTCGCTGCTGGCTCCGCGTGCCAGAACGCCCTTCCAGCTGAATTGAGACAACACGGGATGTACGAAACTCTGGGGGGCCCTTTGTGCGGGCCCAAAAAGTGACCTCCGGGAACCTACCATGTAGGCTAGGCAGGTGTTCGGGGAGACTTCTTCTCCCTTGTTGAGCTCAAGAGCTCAAGAGTATTGGGTCACTTCTCCAAAAGATGGCCCCCTTTTTTAAGTCCTTTTTCTAGGTGGGCCTTCTTATTTAGGGCACCCAAAAAGGGATCCGGTTTAGTTTTTGTTGTCGCAAAGTTTAGCACAGGACCAACCCAGTAGCGACACGAGGGACTTGTACTTGGCCTAGCCGGTCGGGCTTCATGAGACGACCTTTCACTGAGAATGGTAAACAGGACGAGGGTGGACAGCTACGGGTGTCCTGTCATGAAGACTTCACCCCTGATTGGCCCCTGAGTCGTAATCCCCAGGAAGCTGGGGACAGACTGCAGGTCAACATCTGGGACATGAAGATGCTGCAGCTTGCATACAGGCCCCACGGTTTTGACTCTGCAAGAAAGGCACCATGCATGACAGCTTGGCCATGCTTGGCTCTTGGTTTCTTGGCCTTCGGCACGGGCAATTAGCGTACTAGGTCTTCTACATCGAGAAAGTCATGAGAAGCTCAGGTTGCAATAGCTCCGCTTCTACTATGTTTGATTGCAACATATTGCAACAACGTCCACCCCCATGCCATGCCTAAAATTTTTCGTTCTGAAGCACACAGCCTACACTCCAAACGCTGAGGCCCCTGTGCTATCATCTTTGAAGACATGGTTCCCTCTCAAGTTCTCCCTTCCCCCCAAACTGCACAAGCCTCAACACCAAGCCTTTGCTTCCTCCACCCCTAAGCCCTACAACACCCTAAGCCTGTCTTGTTGGGAGCGCGAGGCTGCCTGGGCACACTGGCAGCGTGAATGAGGTCTGCTTCCATCCCAAGGACTGCAGCTCCGGACCTTTGCTACCGCTACCCGCTGTCTTGTATTTTCTATTTGAGTTGTGCATGTCAGAGTTTTTTTTATTCTATGTCCCCCACGCCGCACCCACAACTGCTAAATAGCAAAAGCCCTGCGTACAAACGGTGCCAGCTTCATGGTGATGATGGTGTAGATTGACTCAAATACCCACGACGGGCTTACCCGTTTAGGGTGGAATCAAAGCGCGGGAGTCCATGGGTTTTCGAGGTTGCGTCGACAGCAGAGTCGAGAGCATTCGGGGCAGTTTTTCAGGCGATTCGGACTTGACCTTGTGCCCAAGCTACGGTCTCACGGCATGGGAGAACCGTCGCCTGTTCGCAAGGAGCCCATCATAGCCTCTGTGGCCTCAGACAGGCCTTCGCCATTGCGATTTTGTTTTGGGACTTCGAGTTTAGGAGGCAGAGCCAGGCAACTAACAGCAATGAACCGGCTTGTTCCTGAAAAGCGCATATCTTCGCTGTTCTTCTGGCTAAAGGATTTGCTGTGCTCGACCCGAGGTTAGACCCTCAATTGCCTTGGACGGTCAGCTCGCTCAAAGCTAAGCCTCCCCAAAAACCCTAGAACTCCCCAAGCTCACGGAGGTTGGTCTTCATGGGTGAGCTCGGCGACTGAGAGGGGCTCCGGGCGTGGAAGGTGCCGAAGACGTGGCACCGCCTACAGCTTAAAGAGTTTAGGATTGAGGGCTTGCCAGGGTCCCCACAGCTACGTATCTGGGCCCGTTGCCTAGGGACCCCGTGAAGGGAATATGGGTTAAAGCTCGGTTCAAGGATGTTGGAGGGTTCAGGACTTCGGTTTGAGGGCAATGTTTAAGAGTGGCCGAGTAAGGAAGCAGGACAAGTAAGAAGGGCCTGAAGGGATTGAGGCGAACAGCTGGTGAGGTTGTCAATGTTGGCGCGAGCGCCAGGCAAAAGCTCCGCATCGCCTCTGACAGACGATTGAGTGCCAATATCAAGTTGATAAGGGTTTAGGGTATGATAGGGTTTAGGGTAACAAGTTGATAAGGGTCTAGGGTTTAGAGCATGACAGGGTTTTCGCACAAGTGTCTTCAGCTTTATACAGACAAAGTAACATGAGTTTTGGTCATGAGGAGTTCAGGAAATTCACAGTGGGCCACCATGAGTCCTGAACTTCAATGACAGTCGCCGAGCTCGCCGAACTCAGCAGCAAGATGACCCCCCTAAACCCCTGAACCCCAAACCCCAAACCAAATCCAGAACCCTATCAGGCCTAAAGGGTTGGTCGAGTGGCTAGATTTTTACGGGGTTGACCATGAGACCCCACAAATATGGGCTTTCCCTCAAAAAAGGGCGGGGGGACCCCTTGTATGCCTCCATATATAGCGCAATCCCTGTATCAGGACCCCCGGCACCTAATCTTGGGAACCCCCTGACCCCAAAAAAAGGACTCAGCGTTTCTGATTTATGGATCTAGCTGGTGTTTAGGAGGCTTGAAAGGAACGTAGGGATCCTGGTGCCCATACTCTTACGAAATCACGACCTTGAAGTTCCACATTTTTCCGCTCGCGCCCCTTCCCTGGCCTTTCAATTGTGAATGTTTTCGCCGCTGCCTGGAGACACTCAAGTCAAGTACCTTACGCAACTGTGACGGGGCCGCTGTGCGGCTCCTCGTCCCAGCTTCCAACTACTTTAAGCAGCAGCCGTGCAAACTTAACCGACACAGACCCCGCACTATTGATCGCTCTCAGCTGAGACTCTGAGACCCTCAAGCCTGGAAAGAACTAGTGTAGAACTGCCTCGGCTGAATCGCTCCCTGAGTCCCAGAGCTCCATGTGCCGCCGGCTTTGTTGTCGTCAGGGGCATCTTGGGAGCTTCGGATCTAGGGCCTAGGGGGACGTGGGTCCCCTGCCCACCCCGGCCAAAAGCTGATACACCCACCAGGCCTTAATGCCTCCTTTTGGGCAGTTCTGAATTCTGAGCCCCAGAAACCCTGAGATCCCGTGGCAACCTGCCCCCACCTCGAAAGCCTGCGCCCACGGCAGGGATTCCGTCCACTTCCAGAAGAACCCCTGGTTGGGTCAAGTTTACTGGACCGAGGCAAAGAGCCTTGTGCAGGATGTTGTGGCAGCGCTTTTGAGACTTTGGGATGGGTTTAGCAGGTTGGTAGGCTGTACAGTTGCCGAAGGCTACACTTTTCTGCGTTCTGGTGTTGGGGTCCTGAGTGCCCTCGACTGCCACACTCTAAACCAATGCGTCCTGATTCACATCCTAGCTCCCAGGTCCGAAGCCCAGAGTTTTGAATCCCACAGTACAGTACAAAAGTACAAACCCTACTGTTGCTCGCAGGCTTCTTCGATATCTCTCTTGTGCTTCCTGGGGGGGGGATTGCCGCGGCAGGTCTGCGCCAGGGAGAAGAAGCCGCACCTCTTCCACTACACGCGGCTGCCTCGAGGGAAGCCTTAAGCGGCCTGGAACCGACTTTGAAGCCCTGGAACCCTCTGCAGCACCTCCTTGAAGAGGCGCGTGTCGCCGCCGACCGTGGAGAGGCCGAGACGTTTGGGGGTGGATGCTGTGAGTTTAGGCTTAGGGCTGGAAGGCTCATGGGCATCTTTCGCACTTTTTGAACATACCTCTAACACCCTCATAAACCCCCAAGCCCTGACAACTTCAACTCCTAAAGCCCACGACCTCGAGACTGCCCGTAGCCTGCCCCTCCACAGACCCTTCCCGGTGTCGACGGCGAAAGCCCATTTTCATGGTGGGCAGGCGAGCGACATGGCACTCGCTGGGGGGGGGGGGTTGGTTTAGGCCTGTGGTTTGGACTTCCGGCCTTGCTCTACGGCTTGGCGTGATAGAGTATGCTTCGATCGCCTTCTGTCAGAACACGGAAACCCTGGACCAAGAGCTCGCGTCGTGAGATCGAAAGAAGACACCTTGCCTGCGTTGAAGCTTTCCGGGCGCGGGCTGCAACCGGAACATTACTTCAGAGAAGCCTGAGCCTTCGTGCCCCAGCATCTTAAGCCTCTCCATCCTCTGTTTGCTGCCTCCAGGGCCTTGGGATCATCGTCGAAAGACGCCAGCTGCCACCCCGCCGGAGTGTTTCGCTGAGGTTGCTTCTTGCAGGAGTGTGGGCAAGGGTCTCCTGTCGGATCTATCGGTCTAGACGAGAGTGTGGTATGAGCTGAGGGATGAAGCTGCTCAGCTGCGCGGCCTATAGGGTAGCCTGTTTGGGTTCGGGGAGTAGTTTAGGGCTCAACCACCATCCGCCAGCTGGAAACCCCTCTGTGCATTCTGACACCCCAAGAATGAGCGTGTTTTTGCAGAGGGAGCTTATGTAGAAGCTCAGAAGAAGCCAGGCCGGGCGTCCCCAACGCCGTGATGGGCGACGAGGTGTCGGCTTGGGGCTTTCGAGGGGGGAGACGGGTGTTGGGCTCAAGATCCTCAGAGAAGAGATTTACAAACCCATGCCAAATCTGCCGCGGCAGGAACGGCCTGCCACAGCTCTGACGACTTCCGGCAGGTGCTTCTTGACGAGTGAGGGTTCCCATTCTCAGCCCCTTGCCCTCCCCCGAAACCCCGGTCCGAAAAAACGGACTGTCGTGGACAAGCCGAGGAACCCGATTCCCTCCATGACCTCAGAAGCCATCATCGCCCTAAGGCGGCCCAAGTTCGAATCCCGAAGCCCCACGGTGCCAGGATGGTCTCGACCCCAAGATCGCTCAAGGAGAACCGGCCCGGCACAACAGGCTCCGCGCAGGCGCGGAGGTGGTCATAACAAAAAGAAGGGAACCCCTAAACTTCTGGAATTTCAGGGTTTCCTTTTCGTTTTTAGGCTGAGACTCGAATTCGGTCACTGAAAGGTCTGTGCAGGGTGCCAAAGGAAACCCCCACACCCTCAACCCTCAAGGCCATCAACTGAAAATCTCTCTGGTCCCTCTCAAAAGCCAAAAGGCAACCAAGTCCCAGGGGTCTCTGTGAGCAAAAAGGGCTCTCCAAACTCTCATCTGAAAGACACCTGGCTTCAATTTTTCGTTGAACATACGCTTCAGTTTCGAACTCCTCTGAGCCTCGGGAGCCCTTTTGGATCCCCGGATGTCCACAAGGGTGGCAGACCCGGCTTGTTCGAGCTGCCATGGCGAGGCGCGGCCCCGCAGGAAGCTGGTCTTCATAGCTTGGGGGGTTCGCCAGCATTGGAGAGCGTTCTGGTGGAAGAATAGATTTCGGGGGAAAAGCGCCCAAGTAAAAGCCTCGCACGCGCACGGTGCGACCGCTGTCCAAGCTGGGTAAAGGAAGCGACTTAATCCCTTCCCCCTAATATAAAAGGCCCCCCCCCCCCCCCCCGGGAGTATAAAGACCCCCCAAAAACCCCCAAAGGGGTTTTAGTAATAGGGGGGGTTCTTACCGTTTGTCCGAACAAAACAACCAGTCGTTCTAGCTTGCTGGCTCAGCCATAGAGCAGGTTTCAAGCTTTAGGCCTAAATGAGTTTCAGGCTTCTCCACCCCCTAATTCTGTAGAGATATTAAAAGGGACGACTGCCGGACCAGGTTTTGGGGCCAGAGGGATTTTTATATTAGGGGGGGTATTAATATTAGGGGGAATGGATTAACCCAAAAGCTGGGTTCAGGGTTTAGGATTTGTAGGCTTAATAAGGCTCACAGGGTTCAGGGCACTGCAGACATACCTAAACCTCCATGAACCCGAGCCCCAAAAGCCTTCGCAGGGGGTGGTGCCGGACTGCCCGGGCCTCTGGCGTTTCTTTGAGGCAAAGGGAAGGGCTCCACTACAGTAAACCTCGCCCCCAGCGGCCTCCGCGAAAAAAGTTACCCCAGGATCCAACCTGCTGAGCACCATGTGTGCGTTTCGGGTCGAGAGAAAACGCTCCCGCCAAAGCAGCTCCGAGGCCCACATCGCCCATCCGAGGAGGAGCCTTGCAAAGCTTCCGAGGTCTGCCAGTCTTTGGGGGGGGGGTGGGAGTAGGGAGTCCGGGATCAGGGAGTCTGGGTTTCTTTAAGGGACTCTGAGGATTCTTGAGAAGAGCTTGAATTGAACTTGTGCTTCTGGCGTTGCGTCGTTGGCTCTGCCCTTTCGGTTGGTGTGCCGCTTGTTTGAGGGGCCTTCCAAACACTCAGCCCCAAATCCCCACGAACCTTCAGAAGATCCAGGCCGCCTCACTCCCAGCCAGCGCCCGCCAGCCGGTGCAGGGGGCGCCCAGCAAAGCTTTCAGGGGTCCGGGGGTTCGGAGGTTAGGCACGGAAGTCCATTGGACCAGGAGATCCCGCAGTTTGGATGCCAGCTCATGGAACTAAAATGTTTCGGGGAGTTGAGATTCTTTTGGTTCCCGGCTTTTCCCCCAAGATTGAGAGCAATTTCGAAGCCCGAGGCGTGACGTCCTGCGGAGAGGATGCCTGAGCACCCTCAGTCTCCGGCTGCAGAGCCCTGACATCCTAGGCCGTCCTAAACATCAAAGCCTCCGGTTGAGGGTTTCACTCTTTCGTCCGCCTGTTGGGAGGCTGTTGGGAGTTTCGGGGGCTCTGCGTGCCCTGGACACTTCGCAAGAACTGTGCGCGAGCACGTCTCACTACAGTCCAGCGCCAGGCTTGTGCAGAATGCACGCCTGAATGTTGGCTTCGATAATAACAATAGAAACCCCAAAG